AATGATTAGAAAGTATAAGCGTCTATAACCTCTCTTGAAGCTCCAAGAAGTTTTACAGTTGTACAGCAGTGCTATGAATGGAATGCTAATTTGAGCATGCTGAAATAATGATTGTTGGCATGTAGTACGCTTATTGGTTCAGCTTGGTAATATTTAACTATAACTGGAAATTAAATCGGCAAAGAATTACATTTTGAAGTGATGTGATGATTCCATGTTTTATGGCTATCCATGTAGCAGATGTGGATATTTTTTTTACTGGATAAGTGGACAGATGTCAACACAATAGCAAACCAATAAAGACAAATACAGACTTAACAGTTGTGTACTTAGTTGGGACTAAACTAAAATAGGGATAGAATAGGTAATGGGTATGGGTTATACATTTGCCACCCACAGCTCTTTACAATAAGACATTGCGCTTGTAGTGATCCCATTTCATAATCGCTTACAATATATTTTTTTTATTGGCACAATAATGGTATATTAGGAGTACTTAATTAAGTCACCCTTCATCAAGTAAGATCTAATGGCTTTATATGGCCATTACATCTTAAGTGTGAGCTCCTGTGAGTTTTGCAACAAGACTGGATACATTTTTTCTACGTTCCTCTTTTGTCTTGCAAGACAGGTTTTAATGCACCTTGTCTGAATACAGAAACACTCTATAGTTGTCGTGTTATGATTTGGAAAGGTGGGTAGATGGTCACAGTCAGCAGTTGAATATAAAACTTACAGATAAAGTATTTGGGAGAGGCGAGCCCTTTAAAGAGGAAGTGAGTGCTCACCGTATTTGAGGGCAGCTTCAGCTTTTGCTAAATCCCTGTTCAACCCCCATATAGAGATCCTGAGGGGCTGACTGGCAAAGACAGGGGGTTAAGGAGATCATTCAGACAGATGAAGATGATGCATGGCTTCCTCTCTCTCACTGTGTGTACGCCTTTTGTCTCCCTCTCAGATTCACACATTACACAACATTTCTTTCCTCGCTGCACTTTATCTACTCCCTGCAACCTTGTACACCCATTTATTTCTCTCTGGCTGCCGTCCAACTTCTCTGTCGTCGCCTTTCATCTCTTTGGCTAAGACAGGAACAGGCAGATTAAGGAGAGGAAGAGTATTAGGGGTGCCATTCTTTCTGCCTCTTTGTGACAGGAGGGTTACTGTTAGTGCAGCAGAGCCCTCCCTCTGCTGAGTTTGGTCATTAGAGAGGCTGCAGAGCAGTGAGGGAAAAGTAAGCCTGAGCCAGGGAGTGTTTACAATACTAGATACTGATACTGTGAGACACTGGTGTCTACGCATTCCTGTATTAAGTGCATGTCTATGTTTCCTTATCTAAATACATAAAATAGCAACGGTAAGAGATTAATTAAAACAAACAGACGTCAAAAAGCAATGTAATGAAAATAGGAAAATGTGCCAAGAACTAGGGCTGCACGATATTGGAAAAAACTGACATTGCGATTTTTTTTCCCCCTGCGATATATATTGCGATATGAAAACATACAGGAATTGAAGAAAAGACCGTTTTTTTTTAATCACCGGGTCCGTTTGCGTTGGAGATTTGATTGTGATTGGTGGTTTGCTGTGCATGCAGAGCCTGCATGTCACTCACTCAAGTACCCCTGACATGAGAGCCGCGCAAGTTTTCCTTTTGTAGCAAGCAGCAAAAATAATTGTAACATGACATGTTTCAGTTAATTTGCCTACTTAATATCACAAGTCCTAAAAAAAAAAGAATTAATAAACTTTTTTTTAAATCGCACGTCCACGCGATGTGAATATCGCGCATGCGCATATCGCGGTTATCGTCGCGACACGATATATCGTGCAGCCCTACCAAGAACCATTTCAGATATATGGTTATAGTGGACATAAATTGCCAAAAACTAGCTGCATGTCAAATTATCCAAAACTGTAATTTGCTGGAGGCAATGATGTAAACCATGACATGTAACGCAAATGAATAGACCGAGATAGAACAAATTAAGTGTGAGGGCTTATTTAATCAAACCATTATTTTCTGAAAAAAGAAATAGCCGTATTATCGCTTAGAATTGATTTACTCTTCAAAAGCAATGAACATTCCTTTCATATACAGGACGAATAGTTATTAACGTCATCCAGAAAAGAAAAATAACTTCAAGAAATCCAGCATGAGGCGAGGTTTGAACTTACTAACAATGTACTTTAACTTTTAATGTTCTGTTCCATGTTTCCTGGAAATGACACATGAACTCATGCATGAGTGGCATTTTCTTTTTTAAGTTTACTTGCCCAAATGCTTTTCTTGTATCTCAATGAGGCAAATTTAGACAAAAACAGACCTTAACAGAGCTAACATCCCCGCACCACGCAACTGGTGTTTTCCTTTTCTGTTCTGTTTTATTCAGCCATTATTTGAGCTGTGCAAGTTCTCAACTACACATCCAACTCTGTAAAGACACAGCTATGATTTATGATGAAACTACAAAGGCTTTGTTCCCGGAATGTTACATTTGTCTAAAAGATCAAATAGCCTCTCAAATTTCAAAAGTACAATTCTAAGGGTATGCTTTTATTAAATATTGATGTCACACTCATGGTACGCGGGATGTTAACGTTTGAAGGGAAACAGTCTCGCCCTTGTGCTACCTTGCATACAGTGAACAGCTGTTTCATCAGCCTTGAATCATTCATTCCAAGAGAGAAACCAAAGAGTTGAGGTAAACACAAAATCTGTAGAATGTAAATGTTCACCTGTTTTTAAAATGAATTATTAAAAGATGAAGCAGCCTGCAGTGAAGTATATAGGCCTACCTGTGTCTGACACACACACACACACACACACACACACACACACACACACACACACACACACACACACACACACACACACACACACACACACACACACACACACACACACACACACACACACACACACACACACACACACACACACACACACACACACACACACACACACACACACACACACACACACACACACACACACACACACACACACACACACACACACACACACACACACTTTTGTGCATTGTATTTTACTTTGCTGATTTCAAATAGCATAAAACATGAGAAATGGGCACTCTTTTTTCCCTATAGTGCCATTCAATAGAAACAAAGTTAAATATTATAAAAGTACGTTTTTTATTTTTATTTTGATGGTCCACAATGTTAACCTAGACCCTTGTGGCGAGCCATAACTGTCATTGTTGGCGTAAATGAACCATATCTGTCCATTAAATAGGTAGCTACAGCCAGCAGCCGGTTCTTTTAGCTCAAAGAAAGGAAAAAGTAATTTAATGTTTTACTGAAGAACATTACACTTTTACTTTAAGGTTCCTCTATTGTGTAAAAAGTGTTTAGGGAAAAGTAATAAAGTAGGACTCTTAGAGGCACAGTAAAGAAAGAAATAAGCTTATATGATGACAAAATATGCAAGATCCAATTAATTAAATAACACTTAAAGGCTATAAATTAAAAATTGAATAAACTAGTCACGTACCAGAGCACATCATAGCCCTTAAGGCCCAACCAATATAATCCTTATCCATAGATGACACTCTGCAGCCTGTGCACACAACTGCTTATCATTCAGCATCTTTCTCAGTGTAGCCTTGCAAGAAGTAAATCCAGAAAGAGGACAAAACTCAATATTCAACATATGACCGACTTAATGACCAAATAAATGATTAGAGTCAAGTAAAAGCCACACCTCGGCGGGTGTGCCACAATGCATTAAGCCACATACAAGACAGACACTTATCATTGAGTTAACAGCAGAATAAAACATCCCCAAGAGAGAAACAACATGTACAATATAAACCGCAAAGGCCAAAGTACACACAATACACAAAGCATATTAGGCAAATAGCAAAAACAGAGCTGCATGAGTGTCATTTCTTTAACTCGCCGGTTTGAAGGGCTTCCCGTCAGTCTTGTGCACCATGAAGTCCCCCCAATATGCTCCAGGATCAACATCTTTAAAATAAAGCTGTTTCAAGCATTAAGCAGTCCACTCAGTCTTTATGTCCCAAACACTCCTCAACATTTTCAAACATTTTGGGGTGGAATGAGTGTGTGCAGTTGTAAAGTGAGCGGGATATTTCTTTACAAACAAATCTCACTGAAGGTACAAGGCCCTCAATGAACGCCGACATCAACTGAAGATCCATTTTGAAAACTTTAGCGGTACCACCTGTTCCGGTCATTTCGTTGTGTTTGATTTACGTCACTTAGCGTGCCGACGGGGTGGAGCCAGTCAATTAACAATGTCAATTTAGGTGATCGGTACGCTTTTTGGAATAATTCCAGTTTAAATCATACATTTTAATCTTGTCTTTATTGTTTATTAAAGTGCATGTGGTAGGTTCATAAACCGTTAATTCAGGGCCAGTTCCAATTGTCCCCCAACACAGACAGAATTCAACTATAGCGAAACAAGAGATGAAAATAAGAATAAAACATATTATGATTTTCACGTCTTGTTTTATCTCCCATTTGTTAAGTGAAAAAATCTACTGTATAACTTTTTCCATAAACACAAAATGCAAATCACTCTCACATTTTGGACATACATTTGATAAAATATGTACTCCTTTGCCATGAATATCAATCCAACGGAGGAGTGTGGCTTAACAAGTTGCTGTTCAAAAAATACCTTTACTAAACTCTATATGGATTACCTAGACCAGAGCAACGGATAACATGTTTTGGTAACACAGGATTATTCAGTGATTACGTGGAAGGCCATCCGAGGTGAGCTTTTGCCGAATTAAGTCAGATACGTAGACGGACTGCAGTCAGGTCAAGACCCTGTTGAAGACGACCAGCATAAGGATGAGCTTACCTGAGCTAACTGTTATTGACAGTCTGTGCAAACAATTCTGTAGTTTTTCAAACCATTTGTTTTCTGTCCTGGTGGCTGGCCGGTCTTGCAGGTCAAATCAAATGGTAAAACTTGATTTAACGAAATTATAACAGACAAGGAATCAAAGCTTGGAGACATCGTTTTATCAGTGGTGGATACCAAAACTTTTAAAAACATTATCCTGTGATGATATGAACAAATGACCTTTTGCTCAACAAGACATATTGTAATTAAGGTTACAATAACAGCACATGTGCATAACAGATCAATCCTTCATCGAAACAGTGTCAAATCAAAACTCAGCAAAAGTATATAAATATCACATACAGTAGTTTACATCAGTCCAGTGATTTAAACTTTAAAAAGTCAGACAGAGAGTCGAACACAAATATCTGAACAGCCAAGAGGGTTTTATTGTTCCAACAACAGTCAAACTCCTCAGCTCCTGCATTTCAATTAGTTGCGGTACCTGGGCGCAGTGCGCTGTCAGCAGGATCTGTGTTCCAGTTGGGTGACTGAGCCTTCCTATTGAAACATGATGACAGTGAAGGCGAGTCTCACACCAGCCAATGTAGTCATCAATAATAAGACAAGGTGAGCAGGAAAGGAGGAGTGAGGGTTATCTGGGAACAGCACATGCACTTCCCAGTGGGACCGGGGGACAGACAGGGCCGCAGAGAGGCCAGATACTCCTGGAATCTGTGATTTGACATCTGCTCTGTGTGAGAGTCTGTCAGAGGGCAAGAGAAGGTTTTTGAGGGCATCACCGCTTCCTCTTCAGTTTGAGTCCCCGGGTTTTTATCAAATAGATCTGACTGGCAGGGCACAGAGAGTGGCGGAGCAGCATGGCGCTCACAGGAGGAGGTCAACTTTGAATGTACGCTGACTTGATGTCATCCATCCCCCAAAGTCATTCCTCCTCTTCCACGTAGGTAGATGGGAACCAGCCTATCTGAAAAGGCAAAATAACAGGAGAAAATCCATTAAATGGCACATATAATTGACGGGTAAACATTTATCATGTAGGTTTGGAATTTTTCATTCTTTTTCACTATTTTGAAGGGTGAATTTTCCTCACACTGTAGTCCTTGTCACCTCCAACTCTTACTCTGATCCCAGCTTTCACATTTTTGCATAATACACACACATACAAATATTTCTACACTACTCCTTCCCACCCTGTCAAGATCAAACCACCCTCCATGACACTCAGATATCAAGCCTTTGTATTGTGAAAAAATGTGCTTTAATAAGTTTAATCACAAATATAATTTGGGGTAAAGTTAGTATAGACCAGTAGATACACTGAGACTTTAATCCTCACAAAATAACACCACGGGAAATCTGCTTTAACAAAAATGGTTTTACTCCCTTTAAGCTCTAAGAGATGGTAATCATTGATCATTTGTATTCAAATTAACTCAAAGCAGAACATTATAACCTAATACTGCAATTCTAATGCCTGGTATTCAAGAGTGAATTGTCTAATCAAAACGATGTGTAAAAATACTGTATAAGCATGCAGAATACATGTGTGAAGAACTTATGCTAGAGCTACCACTGTATTTGATAAGAGTGCAAAAACACCAGGGTAAGGATGAAATCTGCCACAGTGACACATTTCAGTAATAACATCTTACGGGAGACCTACCCTGCCGTCGACCTCTCCCTTCCACCACCCATTGGTCATCTTGGTGTAGATCTTGATGATGTCAGCCTGCTGCAGGGAGAGCTCCCGCGTGTCTCTGGAGCTGAAGTCATAGCGTGCCACTGCAATACCCACCACCCTGGGGGAAAACACTGAGAGGAAGAGTCTTATTATTGAGAGACCTCTCTTATTTAAGTTCATAGAGCAGCCATTAGACTTAAAATGGAAAAATAACTTTCTTTGGCACTTTATTCAGAATCTAATGAAAAAGTATGGATACTCTTAGATATGATTGGGAGCACTTAAGGGCAAGGATTTTTAAACATTACCCTAAACTGATCTTATTATTATATTTTAATAAAACTTTGACAAGGAAAATGTAAACTCGAGGTCAACTGCAAATTAGAAACCAAGTACTTGTCCATGGACAATCACAAGGCAACAAGTTCAACAAAACTCAGTTTCTCTACCTTTCATATACAGTGGTATATGTTCATTATATTTTGTAGTTGATGGTTAAGGTTTTCAATGGTATGACACACAGGTATTATCCACAGTAAAATCATTGTGGATCTTGTAAGATAAGGCAGCCCTGACTCCTGGTCCTGAGTTAAACTAAGTATACATGTAAAAGCAAAACCACAAAGATGAGCGAGACATATATACAGCTACCTGGCTTGGTTGCAACAAAAAAAAGTAGAGGTGGTAGGTCATGGGTTATCATTCTATCATTACATGTTTCTAAAGGAGCATTTCTCAGGTTATACCAGGTTTTTCCAACTCATGCAGGTCAGGGCTCATATCACTTGTGACGCAGGTGTGCACGGGTTTGTTTACCTTATCTATGAAAATACAGGAGACACAAATGGGAAAATGTGCTGGATGAAAGGAATACATTTACTCCCTCATGCACACACAGGCGCATTATGCCAATACAGACGCCCACACATACAGTACATGCATGCATATACAATATATGCACATGCACACAAAGGCGGACAGAGTAATCTTATACCTTTATTATGTGTAACACAAAACTGTATCTCTTCCCTTTTAATTAGCTGAATTGATAGTATTTGTTGGATTTGGGTCAAATGTAAATGCTAGCATTGGTGGCTTTGCATTTCTTTGCCACTGTTTTGTGGATAATTCTGAAGTTATTTTCCCAAGAGATATCAGAGCTGTCAGAAATTCGCAATATTTCCGATTTAGAGTTACAGGAAGCTGACGTGAATGTTTTTTTCCCCACATGATGACTTGTTAGGGTTAGCAATATGACGTATAAGCGGCATCATTACAATACATTATTTAACAGAGGCAGGGAAAACAAGACAGTTTGTCTTTGGAAACCTGGAAATGTGGGCATACAGCAAGTGAGAGACGAAGAGAGTAGAAAAGATGTTCCTGTACCTGACCAGAAAGGCGAGGAGGAGGGAGGAACAAAGCTGCAGCCGCCAAGAGGAACTACAAGAGAAACGGAGCGAGTGATGGGAGGGGGATTCAGGCCGTAGTGGGAGCAAAGACAGAACATAGGCAAAGTTAACACAAGTTTGACAGAAAGAGGGTATGAGAGAGGGTAAAGAAGAGGGAGATAGAGGAAAAGTTGGCAAAGTCAAAAACAAGAAAAAAGCAAGGACGGGTGGGAGAGAGAAGGGCAAAACTGTTAGAGCATCAGACATTTGTCAAGTCACCACACACACATTATTTTCAGAAAATACTGACAAGCTATTATTTGGGCTATGCCCCTTAGTTGTAATTAAGGTTAGGTCTTATTGCAACAACATAAAATAGTATTTCAGAGAGTACTGTGCTTCAAACTTTGTGGTAACAGTTTTAAGGGCCCTTCCATGACAATGCCCCCCTGCACAAAGCCAGGTCCTTAAAGAAATTGTTTTCCAAAGTTTGCTGTGAGACCCTTCCAACTCTGATCTGAAAGGATGTGTGCAAGGCCCGTCTTCTCAATTCTTTGCATGAGGCCAATGCAGAGGTCCTTAAAAAAAAGCACAGAGGGTTTTCCAGCACAAGTTTCACCAGCTCAACTTTTGCTGCACTGCAACACAGTATCACCCAGCAAGGAGCTTCAGTAGCCAATCAAATGTGAAGAGTACATTTCTACTACACAGTTATCGTGTTGGCAGATAAAATAATTGTCGTTGAGAGTCGTAAAATCCTGTCTCAGAGTATAATCAACCTCTATGCAGTGATTTGGCTTTTGATAAGCCTTTGAAGGTCACTTTAACTGGCTTTCCTGGATTGTATTTTGAAAACATCCCACTGGTATTTGAAGCAACATGACCCAACCAAGGCAGCCTATTTGTGTTAGGTTAACATCATGGCTGCTTTCGGTGTGAACGCCCACTTATTGCCCAGCAGCAGTGGCCGACCTCACTGATGCTCTGTGGCTCAATGAAAGCAAATCCCTGCAGTTTTAAATTCTCCTGTAGAAGCTCCCTAGAAGAGTTGAAGCTGTTGTAACAGCTTATTGAACTGGATTCATACTTCTATAATCTCCCCCAAGTCATACTGTATAACACAGCAATAAGAACCTTTTAAGCCTCAGACCAGGCGAGCCAGAGCAACAGTATGGGGGTAAGTATACGTCTGGGCACAGCACAGGGAAATGACAAGAACATCTACACCGCAGAGCCAAAGACTTCTGCTCCCATATGAAATCCCATGTGAGCCAGCAGCCCCTCACACTCAGAAAGCCGCCTGCTGTCATCACAACAATATGGTTACATGACTTCTTCCTCTGCCCACAGGGATTAGTAAATGCAGGCCAATAGGTGTGAACTGTTTGTCTGACCAGAGTGCACACACACAACATACCTGCACAGAGTATAAACAAACATGTATGTGTGTGCATACATATATACAGTGGTGGACAGTCCCTAAGTACTATAACTTAGGTACTGAACTAGTACTTGAGTATTTCTATTTCCTGCTACTTTGTACTACAATTCAGTGGCAAATACTTTACTTTTTAATCCATTACATTTATGCATCTGCTTTAGTTGCTGAAAGAAAATTGTAATTAATAATAAAAAAATAGTATTTTATTAAATACCAAGGATCAAGGAGACTCAAGAGCTACACGGCATTATTTATAGCAAAATAAACAAGTTCCACCTTTACCAGTGTAACAATTAAAGTGATGAACACATTAAAGGATCAATAAATATAATAAAGTATTATATTATCTTTTTTCTTTCTTGCTGGTACTTTTTGAACTATAAATACTTATTAATGCTAATGTTTTACTTTTACTTAGAATTTTGAATACCACAGAGACTTGTTACGGAGTATACACTGTGATATTACAATTTTAATTTAGTTAAAGCTTAGTAAAAGATCTCCATACTTAGTCCGCTGCTTTATATATATATATAAAGATACAATGCACAAAACGTATGTATTTTAATGTGTACATTATACTGATGCAGTTTCATCTTATCAAACTAAACGTCCAATCATATTTTCAATATTTCTCTATTAAATGCTGAAGATTATTCACTTAGAATCCTTTTTTAAGACCGAAAAATTGTAAATCTTAATAACACTGATGATTTTAAATTGTTTCCCATCCATCACGTTCACACACACACACACACACACACACACACACACACACACACACACACACACACACACACACACACACACACACACACACACACACACACACACACACACACACACACACACACACACACACACACACACACACACAGAAAGCACTCAGTCAGACTTAATTAAAGTTGCTGGCTGGGATTCCTCTAAACAAATTACTCCAGAATGTTGATGTTTTCTTCAGTAGTTCTGCATCTTGTGATTGTTTGCTCAGGCTTGCATTCACTCAGAGTTGTCTGTTTTAAGATTCAAACCATTTTGTGTGTGCTTTTTGTTTCTGGCATGACATCTGTCTTTCTGTGGAGGCTGTTTACCCGACAGAGTACGTGTTGCCCACACTAAGTCTGTCTATGGGGGTGGACGACTTAAGGCAATAATAATCTATCCCAGAATGCACTGAGGCAACGCCGGGTCTATCAAGGCTTTCACACAGAAGGAAAGCGCGTTGATTGGCAGCGATGCACAAACACACCTCTTGCAGAGCTGCTTTGAAGCGTGATGCGCTGGGAGAGCGTTGCTGCCAACGGAGGCAGAGGCACAAGGATGTAGCAGAATTTTACATCCGAGCAGACACAAAGGGCTAACTTTGACTTTGTTCCAGCGTCGCCTGCTTCCCTCTGCTGCAGCAACTGTGCTTGTTTACACGTACGTCTCTCTTTAAGTTAAGACAGTTTACCTCCAGCTGCTTTCTGCTCTTTTGCATCAGATCATATTTGCAAACTTTTCCCAGTTTTGTGGAAACAGGCGCAGCGCCTCAGTTGGACCAGGGGTGTCCCCCAGGTGTGTGTCAGCAGGCGGCTGTCACAGTTTCCTCCACTGCCAGCCCAAGTGAAATGTCATGTCCTGTCAGGAAAATTGTGAAGCCATCTCGGAGCTGAGCAGCCTGTGGAGTGTGACGTTTGGAGTAGCAGGCTCCTGGTGCTTGCCTGGGGCATTGGGCCCTAACTGGGACCTTCCTGCCAAGCCTGGTGAGCTGCCGACGCTCCTTTTAGTTACTTCACTCTCTGTCTCTCCTACTCCCTTCTTTGTCTTTGTCTCTTCCTCTATCTCTCCCCCCTGCCTTCTCCGCATTGTGTCTTTGTTCTACCTCATTCACACTAGCTATTAGAATGCAATCTGTATTTGAATATGTGTTTATACAAAAAAAACAGGTTCATATGAAGGTGCAAAATCACAAGAATACATTAGATCTTAGTGGGAGGTGGTCTGGCTTGTAATGTAATGTGTACAGTTTGGCAGCGAGGAATGGTTCAACACTTTGGGAAAAAATGAAATGTTGGTATCTTACCAGACTTATTGTCAATAAGATAAATATACCACAATAGTCAGGAGTAGGATCCTTGGCTAAGCACAACAACTTGCTGGAGTCTCCAGACGTAGCTGAGAAATCATTATGGAACAAAAAATCCCATGAAATGTTGTTTTTACACTTTGGTTTAAATAAATAAAAATAATGTGTTATGCTTTAGAGGTGCAGAACACTGCTAGCTGACACCTGGAGTTTCCAGTTTTCCACTACAATAAGACAGCATAAAAAGCCCTATTTGTATTGCACAGACAAGAGCGTGGTTTCTATCTCCTCCTCTAACTCTTGGTTAGCTTAAAGGTTTATTAACTCCACTACAAAAGCCGCCAGATGACTCTTTCCTAATTGTGCTCTTTTCTTTACTCTCTCTATCCCCCCCCCTTGCCATTAATCTCACTCTTACCTTTTCTTCTTACATCAATGTTTTTCTCACTATGTCCCAAATAGTTCTCTCTTCCTTTACCCTATCTTACTTTCTTACACCTCTTCCTGAATTCCTACCTATCCAACACTCTCCCTCCTTTCCCCTACTTCTGTCAATTTCACTCTGTCCACATTGTCCCCCTCTCACACTCTCTATTGCTGCCTCTTTCTCTATCCTTCCTCTTCCTCAGGACCTTTCTCCTTCACAGGCCTCCTCAGAGTGAATGAGCATCTGCGCCTGTCTCCGAGGGCCAGTAATCACGCAGGGGCCGGTCTTGTTGAATTTAAGCTCGAGTGTGCATTTATTCATGTCTGTTGAAGCCTGCAGGTTGAAATCAGAGATGCTGCTTTACCTCTCACGGTCAACATTGACCTAGTCAGCACAAGGTAACCGGTACTTTAGCAACGTTATCTTGGCTGCATGTTTCATTCATACACTTTGAAAGCTTCTCATATTTGAGTTTAACAATAATTCTATATAACATCTTCTGTGAAAGGGATGGGGTCTTTCACATAGCATGCATAGCCTCATAACCCAAAGCCATACCTTATATAACAAAGGTTGAGTGTACATTCACAGTAATGCATCCTTGATTGTGTACATTTCACCATCTTTTGCATCCTTTAGCAAAACTAAATAAGGCATGATATATGTATGAGTCATTGTCTTCAAAGGAATTCAAAGCCAATTTAAAAAAAAAGGTTTGACCCTTAAGAATAAAACATACATTACTGACCAACCTACATTAAGCACTGTTTGCAAGTTAGCAACACCGATAGCAAACATTTCAGAACCAAACTGAACAAAGTCTAGGTCCGATGTCATAAAGAGAAGATGTTGTATAAGACTTCATTGTAATGATGGAAAGTGTGAAAGAGGCTCAATCAAGCAAAACAGCAAAAGCATGTCTCCCAAGAAAAGCTGCTACTATCTTTCCACCAGTGCTGTTCCCTTGGGAATCCTGTGGCTCATTAAACTCTGCTAAATATTTCTAGCGTGTCTCAAATATCACAGATGGGACTGCCTCAGGTATTAAGACACACGGTGTCTGATAGCCAGACACATGCTTTCTGTCATCATAATTTCATAATGTTACGTGGCGTGGGACATCTTTCTATAGTTCTTAGAAGTGAGGACATTAGCTGGTCTGTAGTCGGGGATATAGCAAGTAAAATACAGATTTTAGCATTTTTTTTCCTTAGTTCTGTTGTTTATATTTAATGAGCTGGGAAATATCAGTTTCTAAAAATTGCTTTAGAGAAAGACATCCACACTGGTCTACTTCTGAGGGGAAACCCACTCACCTCACTTTATCTGAACTATAAACCCATCTCTACAGTTCTCAAAACAAATGCTTTGAATTACTTTCAACTGTAACCCGGATCCAGATCTCATCTGAACTGGTAACTTTTCCCTGTGTCAGGGAGTCTCTCAGAGGGTATCTGGATTATTGAAGCACACTCACCACTGCCAGCCTTGGTAATGGCCTTGGGCGTGTTTCCATTGGACATCTCCCTATAGGGGACCTGCAGAGAGGTGTCAAGACTGCTGAAACCCTCCTTTAGTGAGTGCTGCTTGTAGTATTCCACCAAGTCCTGTGTTAAACAAGCACAATATAACAAAACAAACTCTTAGTAAAGAAAATCCAATGTGAATTCAGATGCTATTGTGTGCAAATGTATAGAAATTAATGCAAAGACATGGGTGGGTAGGTTGGTCAGGAAGTAACTGCTTGTTTGATCTTAATAATAAAACAGCAGGCAGAGGAAGTGTTTATGAGTAGGGCAACTAACTGCAAAAAAAAAATGTATCTACCCAATTCAAGTTTAAGTACTGGAAACAAGCTAATATTAGCTATTGAGACACAATACCACAGGCAGTTGCTAACAACATGTCTGTGTAGCCATGCAAGTGCACACACAAATGTAGAAATAAACCACAAGTAGACATATTTTATCATTTTACAAAGCAAAAGTAAACCTTTATCTTGCATGCTGGGGGTTTATCTCAAGGGAGTGCAGCAAAAGCAATGTAATGTCAACATGATTATACTCATTAATGCTTCAGTAGTTTATAGGGCACAAAAATCCATACAAAGTTAAAACCTTTACCAGCACAGTCCTGAACAGCCGGCTCTCAGCGATGTAAAAGCAGCCATCCTTAGTCAGAATCTTAATGTGCTTGACTTTATCGTTGAACCTGTGGAGGATGAATAAGACATGGGCTGCTAATCAACTATACATGCTTCCACATCAATCCAGTCTCTATGGTGAACCATCACGAAGGTCTGACTGTCGGCTGCCACGCTGAGCAGAGCCAGCCAACTTTGTTTTACAAGAACTCCTTGGGTTTTCCCTGCTGTCAAAATCAGATCAAATTCACTCACATTAGATCATAATAGAAGCAGCATAGGGACACAATGTAAGATGAATTAATACTGTATACCAGAGTCTGCTGGTGACTCTTTATTCCAGGTAATGCCTTAAAGGGGACATGACTTGTGAGCGGTTATTACAGACATGGGGTTTCTTTCTTCGACTGGTGGATTTAAAATCTTTTTGGAGGCATTAAGAGCTAAACATTTTGAGCAATTAACAAGAAAAACATGATTAAAATACTTTCCTCCTTTGTTATCCCTTAAATACTGTCAGAACCAATAACACTTTGTAACAATCTATTTATCTTTTGAAAATAGCAGTTTAGTATTTTTTTCAAACCCAGAAGAGGAAAAGAACACAAACAATTTACAAAATGTATGTTTTTTTGTTTAAAGGGCCCATGTCATGGCCATTTCCACTGATCATAATTCCATTGTTGAGGTCTACTAGAATAGATTTATATTGTGCAATTTTCCAAACTCACATTGGTTTCTCATACAGCATCTCTGTAAACTACGTGTATTCACTGAATTTCACTCTCTGCCTTTAACGGCTCATTGGAGCTCCAATAGCTCCAGCCCCCACCCTCCCTGTGAGCACAGTGTGCTCTGATTGGTCGGGACGTTGTGAATCGCGCTGAGCTCCGTGGAGGTGTTGTTTCCTTGTTAGCGATGCCAAACACAGCCAAACTCATCCTGAGCACACATAAAGTCACAGCCGAAGTAAAAACAATAAGTGTGGCTTGAGATTGAGTAAGAAAAAGGTTGATAAACGCTGTGAGAATGGGTCTGCAGAGAGAATTTCGCCGCGATCCCAACTGTCTGTTCAGCCTGCAGCCAGGGAGGAGAAATCAGCTGAGCTGCCTGCTCCCTGCACACAGATGTGTGTGTGAGGAAGTCCGTGGATTGGTCAATTTGGACCAATCAGCGGGGGCTTAACGTAACGGCTCCACGGACATAACGTAACGGCTCCACGGATTGGTCCATTTCGTTCCGGGTGCGGCTTGACATCATGCCGTACCCGGAACGAAATGGAAGAATCAAATGGACAATGACGTATCTCCAACGAGGCGTTTTGGGGAGGTATTTTCTGTGTTAGAGTTTTACTCGCTACAGGGTGTACTTTGAGGGTTTGTGACTCTGCAGACCGTTTACATGCATAAAAACCTTCATAACACACAAGGGGACGGGTAATAACCGGAAAAGCATGACATGGGCCCTTTAACAAATTAACTCATGATGAGAATCCAAGTTCAACTGCTACCATCCTGGGAACATGAAAAAATTCCTACATTTTAAATATGGCTATGAGCATAGGAAACAAATCACCCCTGGGCAAAAGGGGGGACATTGTGTCACCTATGGAGAAAATACTTTGAAATGTAAATGACTTAAAGGGAACTGTCCTCTCAATATGTCAATGTCTATGTTTTTATTAAATGCATTGTTTTTAGCTGTTGCTTAAATGTTGTATGATTGGTTGGTAGCTGTCACCACCAGCTTTAATAATGGGCCTTTTTAACAAACATTTTGACTGATCGCAGTGAAAGCACAGGTTTAATTAATAACAGTCATGCTTCTTTTCCATATCAGTGTATCAGACAGCCTTGTGAATGAGCCAGCAAACACATTGACAAGGCTCTGACAGTATTAATATTATAAATTACACCTTTCCTACTATTACATGTCAAAATATCCGCTGTGGATTTCTTCTTATTTTGCTTTACCTTTCTGTTAATTATTTCATGTGATTGTTTTATTAAAGCACCCCATGGATGTGCTCTCTTTACCCAAGATAAGAACATGCATCACAAAGAATACCTTTCAAACATAATGTAATGTGTGTGGGAGCAATAGGCCTGATAAATTAAGGAAATAATGAAATAATAATATGTCATGTGAGACTCATAGCTCAGGCTACCTCTTTAAAACCGCAGTGTGTTCCGACCTTGAAAATACACACACACGTCTCTGTACATGCATACTGTTCGGCGCCAGTGGGAATGTGCCGTCAAGCCAATTGCAGACACAGTGCTGTACATTGCATGTGACCCACATGGTGATGTGCATGTTACACCGGAGATGGATCCGTATTGTAAATCTCCCAATGCAGTGTATGAATGAGAAGAATGTGATCATGTTGCAAATTCGCAGATACATTATGACTATGGCGAGTAATACATTATTGATGTGTGTTGAGTTATATAGTGCGTAACGCATAGAGACAGATGAGCCCTGTTTGGTGAGTCTTGCCTTCCTCCTATAGGCTCCCAAGGCCACACACACACACACACACACACACACACACACACACACACACACACACACACACACACACACACACACACACACACACACACACACACACACACACACACACACACACACACACACACACACACACACACACACACACACACACACACACACACAAGTGTTTGACACTAGACAGTTCCAGTTGATTAGTAGCAGTTCTCTGTATAAAAGCTCCATTATCTCAAATGGCCATCCTGATAATGATCTTAAGCAGTGAGACAGGCAATTAGGATTGGAGTGTTCAGAGACTGGCCCTGTACATCAAAGCTTTGAATGAGAGACGGTATGAGTCCACCAAAACCAAATGGGCTGGAATGGTGTGTCACTGTCTCAATAGTCCTAACATCCAAACACAATTTCAGAGCGCACCCTCAATCGTTATAATCTCAGAGAGCCGTCATGTCAGGAGGTCTCGATTCCTTTTTATAAAACTGAACAAGCTCTGATGTAGCCTTAAAGATATTCACCAGTTAAATGGCCAGTGTTGTATTTCAAAAGAGGAATACCGACACATTCAACTGGCAGATAAAGCAGCCATTTTGTAAAGCCTAAAGGGATTCAAGTTTTATCTACAATTCAAGTTGGTTTCTAGCCATCTTTTGAAATATCTTTCTTAGACTGATAGCCTAAGAGTAGCAAAAAGTATGATGCAAAGCTATCAGGCTCTCCTTGGAAATATGTCTGAGCAGAGTAGACAGACAATATGTAGATGGTTAAAATGATCATCAATTCCACATCTTTGCAAGTTAGCTGCAATGTCTGGACTGAGCAGACGATCAGGGTAAACTAACAATAACTTCAATAATGTTAAGGTATGATGTACCTAATGAACCCTGATGCACTAACACATGAAAGAATGAATGCTCAATTTAGAATAAAAGCATTCTCAATTACCTCTAGTGTGTAGTTGTGCAGAGATTTGGTTTTTCACAGTTTAAGGGATATTTATCTACCTGTATCTCAATAAAGATGCGGATCAGTTTGTTTGATCTTTAAAAATGACAACAGCAACTAGTCTTTCCAGGAACAGACCTCATTTGCACCGGTTTTCATTGGGACTCTCTGCTGTACTAAATAGTTCCAATAAAAACTTGCAACAGCATTGTCTGTGAATTATCCAGGAAAAATAGTAACTGAATATAATTTTACAAGTGCTAAAATAAACCGTAAAAGCAATGTGTGAACATACACAATTGCTGATTCATCGTTTACTTGTAAGACACACTTGGCTTTCAAATAATTGAAATACCAAATATGAGTCGTAAGAACTGTCTCTTTCCAGGTGTTTACATACCTAAACACTTTAGGGAGAGCATAAACAATCATAAACAGCTACTGCTATGCTGACCAATGAGTATTTTTCCTACTTATCTAATGTTATCGCAAATTCAAAGTCCCCTTGCAGGCTTCATGTGATTTTGGCAAAACAGACATTAATCTTAATTCTGTCTCTCCATCTGGTAATAATTACATTAATTATGTGACCGTCTATGTTTCATGTTTTCTGTAGATATTTAATTGCTCTTTTTACTGCACTTTTAGTGTACAGTTTTACTATTATGCTGCTGTGTTTATTGTATTTGTGTAACTCTGGCACAACAATTTCCTTCGGGATAAATAAAGTCTTATCTTATCTTATTTGCATTCAAGGATCAATCGTGATTCATCAGATCACGCAAACTTTTTTCCATTCTTCATGATTATATAGTCACTGTAACTTCTTGTATTTCATTGGCCAGAGTTGAACACAGCATGGCCTCATCCTGCTGCGGCACATCCACTTTTAACATTTGATGAGCTGCTTGTTTTCAGATACTGCACCACTGTTGTAGAGAGCTATTATTTGCATGTGGGCATTCTGTTCTGTTTGCTTGAATGATTCTTGCCACTCGCCTCTAACAATAAGGTGTTTTCGCCAACAAGATTGCTGCTGACTGCCTGTGTTATGTTTATTTCACCATCCTTGATAAACTGAAGTGAGTGTAAATTGTAACTTAAGTATGGAAATAAATGGAAAACAAGCCATCATGTCACTTACTTTATACTTATGGCATATTCAGTGCATTCTTTACTCCTGTGTCGAATCAGATAGGTGCTGTTTCCTCGGTCCAGAAGCTCCACCTCAGCCTGGTATCTCTCCATAGGCCCTGCAAACCTGAAACACCCATAAACAACTTCTGCACTTACAATGCAATCAATCATTCTAAACAGGATGAAAACAGTCAATGCAATATATCAAATAGAATAGGAATGACTTGTGGTTGTTGCAAGCAATCTGCAGTCATTTGTTGTTATCACTTACCAGGGCTGGGCCGAGTAATCGACAGGTTTTGGAACCTGGCATTGAAAAGTAGTGCTGTTATTTTCTGTTTTAATGGAGTCAATACACAGAGGTGCAGGTCATTTGTTGTAAGGTGATATTCAAGCCACATCTAATGGCTAAAATCAGTCTTCTAGAGCGAAAAAGTGCAATTGAAAAGCCTTACATTTCAGTACCAAGACATCAATAGTAGCCATTATCCACTGAATGCATTGTAATCACACTCAGTGTGTCTTATTGATCATGAAAAATATGCACACTTACACATGGGCATGGCCTCACAGCGTCACTTGGAAAGAAGCCAATCTTGCTTGTTGCCAGGATTCTCCCCTGCAAAGGCAACTGGCTGTTAATCGCATTATATTTGTCTGGAAGCAACTACACCTCTCTCTCCCTCTCGCTGCCTTTTTCCCTTCCCCTCCCACACTAGCTTCAATAAATCCTCAGCAATTAGCACACAACAAGCGGTGCATCTAATTTGCAGCCCAAGTTAATTATGGTTCAAACTCTGCCGGCAGTTAGATTTGTACTGCATCAAAACAAGAGCCTCGTTTAACACTAAATAATGGATCTTATTCTGGTCTTTGAATACCCAAACAGCGCGAGCTCTTTGGCTTGAACTAAAGACTAACAATTGCATTTTAGCTAACCTGCCTCAAGCACAACATGAGCTTTATATGGAAATCAGTAATTCCTTCAACAAACACAGTGTAGACTTAATAAACCACTTTGTTTAAACAAATTACTTAATTTTTAATCCAAACGGGCGGCTACAGATGCTCAGTTTATTTATATAACCTTAGTACTCTATCATGTGCATTACCTGGAAGACAGTAATATGCATATACAGTATATCAACATTAAATTACAGATAATTGGAGTTTCCAGTTCTGAGTTTGAGGTCAATTTGAAGTCCATTGAGTCAATCTGAGAAGACAGTGAGTGTTGAGGGCATGTGGAGCCCCTCATTCAGCTTCCTGCCCTGCATGCTTTCCTCCTCACTCTTCTTTATTAGAGTATGAAATGCTTTTTGGGACCGTGCAAGCCCCGGCAGTAACTAGATTGGAAAGCGAATCTTTACCCATCTCAATGATTCATTCTGTGTAATAACATTTCATCAAAGGTTTTTTGAAAGCCCCTCTCTATTTGTTATGCCTTCGATAAGCGTATGATAAAGATTAAACTTATTACTCTGTTGGCATAAACAGGCAGCAGCCAAAGGATCAAATGAAATTACAGTGATTGATTGTATTGTTCTGCCAGTGGGACGGGGGATAATTGCCTCCTGGGTAACAGGGGATATGAATTCTCAATGTTCTGTAATTCCATCCTCTGGCGCCACTGGGGACGCTGAAGATTAAAGGAACCCTGTGGAGATTTCATTGTAAACAAAGAGGGTTTTCTTTGGATTCAGTGTTTCCCACCAAAATGCATTGTGTGTGACCGCGACACCCTTACAAACGTGTTGAGAACTCTTGAAAAGTCTTTTTCATGCTTTGAAACTTCTATTGTTTATATTTTAGTATTTTAATCCTTTTTTCTCTTTGTATACTGAATCCTACATTTCCTGGCTTATTACTGCCACCATCTGTTGATATGCTACCGCTCTGTGAAAAAAGTAAAAACACAGGCTACAAACCACAAAATATAATGAAGATAACATTTGAATTATTATAATAATAATAATACAATAATATTAAAATAATAATAATAAATGTAATGTATATAGCACTTAAAGACAATTCAATATTGATTGATATAGTGACTTATTAAAGTACATCTGTGGATTGGAGTCAAAGTCAGTTTCTCATTAACATTGCTGTCCAATAGCCTTGCACATGTGATGTATATATATATATATATATATATATATATATAATTGCATCTATTCACTACTTTGCAAAGCCAGAACAATTAGCTAATTGGATCTGACTTTTTGGTGGAGGGCCTTGTTGCAGTATCATTATGCACCCTACTGGAATAGACACAAATGTGTATTATCATTTAATTCCTTTAATTATCCCCCTCCAGCATGCATTGTTGCCATGGCAGCAAACAATGCAGTGCCATCAGGTCTGCAGCGTGACATTCAGCGAGTCGTTCTTTCGGCTTACAAGAAGTCTCCTGGCATTCATGTCCTCTCCATCCACCTTGTGCTCTGCCACAACAGAGGGAAACATGGAGCATAGGAAATCTGGCCAAGCGCCAAATCCCAGCAGTGCTGTTGGCAAAGACTGCAGTCTGATAGGAGCAGCACCAACATGAGGATGAGGCTTTAATGCAGCCGTAAAGCACAGTGAGAAACAGCTAGGGAGTCTGCCGGAAGACCCCAGATAAATCGCCCCATCCTTTCAAAAATAGATAAGGTCAAACGCTGTCAACCTTTGGCTGACCTCGTGAGATGGTTGCTAAATGTGCCTGTACTTGAGGTTGTGCACCAACCATTAAAACGTCCTCCAGAGACTCCCATGTCTGCTGTTTTATCGTCTCTCTGTGGCACTCAATTAATCAACTGAAGCCACTAATTGGTTAGATCATCTGATGGAGGCTGTAATTCAATCCGAGGAGTGAAAGAACAGACAGATATCCTACTTTTAATGTAACTGGGGCTCTGCAGAGTTCAAACAGATATTTCGACTCATATTTCTAATTAACGCTGACCTCATCATTTTGTCATATTTATGGCTCACCTGACAGGACACAGAATGTGATAAAACAACCTCGATATAATGTGTGATTTATAAACAATAACGGCCAAAGGAGATACATTGTTGATGTCACCCCGTTAGTTTCAAAGCTTTTATCGGATAGAAGGACATGCAGCAGGTAAGAGAGAAACGGTGACATGCGGCACAGCTTCAAACCCATGACACTGCAAAGACTTTGCGTGCACTGAGCCAACCCGGTGAGCCGTGACATGTTATTTTTTCATGGAGTCACAGATGTTCAGATAAAACGAAGATGAGCTGAGTGACACGCACCTGCCACCAAGAGCTGTGCAGGTCGGCAAACATCAGTTCAATGACATCCCCCGCATGAATGCTTAGTGGGGGCCCACACTGCGGATAGGGGATGCCACTGTAGTCTCTGATCACAACCATCCTGGGTAAACCTGGCAGACAGGGAATACAAACACATGCACACTCAACTTTTTAAACATTTATCGGAGAGTGTTATGCAGAGGAAGATACAGCAGGTGCAAGATAAATAATATCGTGTAGCATGAATGAGTCTAAGAAGGTCTTGGTCATACATAGTCACAGTATTTTGTATCTATTAAATGTATGTAATAGTTCAAAAATACTGTTAATGTGTACAACAAAGAGATTGAAAATGAGTTACACTGTATGTTAATTTCTTCTTAACTAAAAATGTGATTTTAATGCTTTTAAGTCTAAAGGAACTATTATTTGCAATACAGCCAAGTGGAACTAAGTCTACATGAACAGTGGGCATATGTTTGATGCATTTCCTGTTACTTTTACTTCTATCATTCTTCTTAGTCACAACAGTAATATCTTGCTCTTGAGTACATTTCTATTTAACTGCAGCAAGCTGAAGTGAGCAAACACATGATTTTTGGATCCTGATAAGTTGCTATCTAATTGTAGATTTTCAGTTAACTAAGAACGACTAAGTACATTTTCCGTGACACACTGCATTGTACTGAGTTGACAGCAGAAATCTCAGAGGCATGACTATCTGCATGAATACGCAGTGGGTGATAACCTATTGTTGTTCTTATTTTAATCCAAAAGTATGTATTTTACACATTTTCCTAAAAGTGTCAGCATATATTATCCCTCACAGGTACATACATGTGACTTCCTGACAGTCATTTTGATTGAACCACCACAATGGAACAATCCAAAACACAGGGATTGACTCTCACAGGGAAATGAATCTCTTTGGTTGGTGTACGGTGCAGCTCCAATCTTTTTCCTCGGCATGGCAGACCAACACAGCCACAAGCATCCTGCTAAGGCTAAGACTAAACGGCCCCTGCCAACTTTAAAGACACAGCCACTTACTCTCCACAGACTCACACATCTAGCCCCCTCAGACACATCTCCCCTCCAGCCATGGCTCCCCTGCAAACCAGCCCGAGGAAACTATTAGCTGCCGGTGACCTCAGATGAATGGAATATCTCAAATTCATGTTTTTTAATAAGAACAATAAGCATGGCTGTCTTTCTAATAAAGCCCCTTATGGAACTGGATTCATCACAAAGGCACAGCTCAGCGGTTGAGGCCGAGGCATATAGACAGCTGGAAGTGCTTTTCCGCCAGCATTTCTCCTGCAGGATTCTTCATAATGATTCCACCCACTCCAATTCATCTCAATGCCGTCTCGGGTGTAGGCATCACAGCATGCGGCGAGAAAAGGCTTTTTTGTGCATTGGTTAAGGATCCCTTCTACATCCTTTTATTCATTGGTTATTCTTACTCAAATATATGTGTCAAAAAAGAAACTGCTCAATTTTGCGTGTGGGCATTTTGCTCAGCATGGGAGATTCACGTCCTTGCATTTCCAAGAAGAATACGTTGAGCAATATTTGATAAATAATGTGAGGTTTTGTAGGTTTGATACCACCTAGAGCAGTGGGGGGCGCCAAAGATCGCAGGGGGGGCGCCAGGCCTCAGATGATTTGAGGCCAAATATCATATTTAGACTTTTAATTTGTATTTAAAAAAAAAAAAAAAAAGTTTACATATAATTTTAACGCAATACATGATTGTCACTAAAAGCCTTGTCTCTACATTACAATAAAATATAAAAAATAATTGGCTAATTAATTTGAATAAAAATTCAAGTTAGTAGCTATTATAGGCATAAAAATACAGAAATGTATAATTCTTTCTTTAATAGAAATGTTTCTTCTGCCCGTAAAGTGTCCAAACCAGGCTTTTCTGGATAAGCGCATTTTTAAAACATAGTCATTGTCCATGCCGGTTTCAGATTATTTGTCACAGTTGCTCGGATCAGATCGGTCTCCTCCATTTTTATAGATTATTTACGACTTTTGAATCCACATAAACACATCGGCAAAATCCGGCTTACTTTGAGCATGTGTTTTAAACAGTTTAATCCCTTTGTGAATTGTTTCCACTTGCGCCGTCCTTTAATTTCTTCATACAGCGGGAATCCAGTGTGTGTGTGTGTGTGTGGGGGGGGGCGCAACTTCCAACAGGAGTCATTTGGGGGGGGCTCTTGGGAAAAAAGGTTGGGAACCCCTGACCTAGAGGGTAAGCTATAATCTTTTTCCTTCAGGTCTAACCTTGGCCTCTGACTAACCGTGCCATTTTCCTCCTGTTTGTTGTGTCTGAATTGAGATGGAAACAGCTTAAGAAGGTACCATGTAATGGCTATCAGGTTCATACAGGCAGAGTTCATGAGCCATACTGACCTGAGTTTGGTGGTGTTGGGATTTCCTGTTGTTGGGGAGAGGAAGTACCCTAAGCAAAACGGAACAAAAGAAATAAAAGCAAGGAAGAAATATGGAGAGAGAAATAGACTGGTCATTCAATCAGCCCACCTGAACAATGAGTCACACTTTTAAAAACAATTATCTGTGAGTGTTTACTCTTTGGATGTTTGGTCTAACTATTTTACATAAAAGAGTCAAATGAAGGAAGTCTGTTTCTAAGCTTTTGTCTTTGTCGGAAATTATATATGAAAATATTATCCACAAACCACCTGGATATCTGAACTGAACAGTCTTTAAATTAGCTGTCACAAATTACATAAACAGTGTTTTAAAGGTAAAAGCCCTCGTACTATTCTGACAGGTTAATTACATTGAGCTTCTAATGTGACACAGAAAAAGTCATAAATATACTTTTTGAGAGTTTAATTATGGTTTATAGTTTTTATTTTGACCTAAGATCCATTATCTTTTTGATTCAAAGTGAAGTGACAGCAAATATTAACTTATTCTTAACCCACAGAGCAGCAGCAGTAGATCTTATTGGTCATCTGTTATGAGTTGACAGGAGTTATCAGAACTCCACATGTATTGGTGAATATTATCTTATCTGCTATGTTTTGCTTCACTAAGTACATAGGCATAAGTTACGAAGAAAAACAGTCGAAACTTACCTTGGGCTTCAGCTTGGTGGAATCTGCAGTCAGGTGAGAGACAAACAAAGTGAGAAGAATACAATATGAGTGTGTGGTCGCTTCCTGACATACAACCTCAACTGTCAACCTCTGCTGGCCCTCATCACGCCCCAGAATACATAAAGACCACCGCGCTGCTGCTCCAGAAAAGCATGTCAAAGGCCTGAGCTGCCTTCAGCTGTCGGTGAGGGTAATGTACCTGGACTACAGCCCCACACTGGTGACAAAGAGCTGAAGCTTCACATGGGAGTAAGATGCAACAATGGCTAAATATCTTTAGAGCATAATCTGAATGCTAAACGTCATATTTTTTCTAAAAACACTATTTTAATTTTCTATGAAGAGGGAAAAAGGTATGTTTGAGAAGCAATGTGGGCATGGGGAAGGCTAAGTAAGAGAAGATCAAGGGGTTATATATTCAAAAGCATGGAGACTATGAATATTTACAACAAATGCCATAGCATGCCAGCTGTTAGATAAGATGTGTACAAGGTTGGCAATCTGGCGTCTGTGTATGTGTATGTGTGTGTGTGTGTGTGTGTGTGTGTGTGTGTGTGTGTGTGTGTGTGCGTGTGTGTGTGCGTGTGTGTGTGCGTGTGTGTGTGTGTGTGTGTGTGTGTGTGTGTGTGTGTGTGTGCGTGCGTGCGTGCGTGCGTGCGTGCGTGCGTGTGTTGCTAGAGAGAAGCTCACGAAGTGTTGAAGAGTTCCATTGATCCATTTAACGACAATCTGCTTCTTGGATTTAGATATTTTGTGTGCGGAAAATGAGGCGCTAAAGGGAACTTTCCCGAACAATTAGGAAATGTATCCGTGGTGTTCACAATAAGTTTAAAGGGACCAAAGGGTTAACAAGTGAAACACAATACATGTAGTTTTTCTTCATGTTGACCTCCCTCTCACCTGTTCTCCCGCAGATTCCCAGTCGTCCCAGACACTCCTTATGAGCCCCCAGCCCACATTTAACACAGAGATAACCCTGGTTAAAGATGCCCCTGAAAAACAAACACAGGACATACTTCATGTATAACTGCCTCTTTAAGAAAGGCAATGTGACATTTCAGGCTTCTTTCAAATTGTCCAGGAATGACAAAAATACACAAGAAATGTCCTTTAGCTTTCAAAAACCATAAAACAGATACTGTTTGCTGAAAACTTAGACAGCAGTCCGCAGTTATCTCAGTGCCAGTAAGCTGTTTCCAGTTAAGAGAGAGGATACATTAAGAAACCAAACATTTTGAACACTGAAACAGAAAATGTCATGGTGTTTCTTTCATACGTTCAATAAAGTATAACACATATTTGAAAGTGAATTTGAATAGTGCAATAACACATGATGACTTGCCAACATAGGACAATTAGTGTAGTTACAGTTCATGTTCACCCTTTACAGCTGTGGTTTACAAGGACTTCTGGTCAAAAGCATACAGTGAAATGATTACCTGAGCAAGAGGTGACAGAAACTACAGGAAGTGATTCTCTCAAAGGTGTGCATCTTGAACTGGTGGGAGTTGTGGTTCGCTTTCTCAGGGCGAATATTTGATCTAGGACAGGGAATAACAACAAAACATTGTTAAATGAAAGAGTCTATAATCATACTATGGTAAATGGATTGACATTTGCTTTGGTGTATGAATGCATAACAAATACTTAGAGCAAAACAGTCAAATAAAAAATAAAAGCAGGTAAGAACATAAAGAAAGAAACATTTCTAAATTTGAAATGAAAGAGCTTTGTTTGTTTGTTTATGACCAGTGGTATTTTTGTAAATAAATGTGTTTAATTATCCAAGGAATGCGAAAAGATCACAGTATGAAGAATAAAAAGAATATGTAGTGCACAGAAAAAATCTGTGCGTTATTGTAACTGATATATACAGATTTTAAGATATGAATGTAACTTCTATGGGAGTATAAGAATGGCTGTGTTGATGGCAAGCAGGGGAAATGTTTACCATGTTAACCATCTTAAAAAACATCAGGGGATCAACATTTAAAAAAATAATAATGGCACTGCAGGAAAACGTATGGGATTCCCAAAGTCATTAGGATTTATGGGCAAAAAGTCCTCTTGCAACCTATCCAATGTTTGTTGAGATATTTCAGTCAAGCCCTGAACATTACTGTGTTTCTTAGTAGTGAGAACAACTTTCTTTCATTTAACTCAATTAACAAAACATTCTTAATTATTTCCTCCTCAACTGAACAAAACAAATGTGTTGTGGCAAAAACAATTAGCAATTTGTTCCTTCAACTGATTGAAGTAAAAGCAATTTACCCCCCAGTGCATCTTTACTTGTATGAAGAGGACTTGAATTGGCCCAGACAAATCCAATTTTGAGCTACATGTGTTCAGAAGTGAGAGGGGAAACATGCATTCGCAAATAAGCACCCTTTCCTGGAACATGAACAAACACGACTGAAAAAGAAAAAAAACCCTCTTTTTGGTTGAATACACCATCCAGAAGCCACTTAAACTGAGTGCTCGTATAAGTGGCTCCTTCATCAGCAGCCCATACAGGTACAATGTTCCCTTTCTGAAAAGACCCCTACTAGGGTCCTTACCCAACACACACAGACACACACTGTTCAGTTTTCTGACACAAACCCTGTATCTGCAGAAAACTGTTTTAGGGGGTGGAAAATAGTTATTTGTTCTTCAAATTGTAATAATTACATGTTTTTTTCCAATATTTTGAGCAGGCGTTAAGGGCCAAGTGGTTGTGTAGGTTAATGCATTCGTACTGCAAGTTCAAGTAAGAGAAATAAATACTTTGAAGTAAAGTAATTAGCACATTTTAGTGGGAGATAAATGGTAATTGAGAGAGATAATCTGTGTATGAGTCTCTTCATTGTTTTTGAAGTAAAAGGCTTCATAATAATACCTTTAAATTGCACATTGATTCATCTACCTCCCTACACACTGCATTGTTTTGCCACTGTGCATATATCAAGTGTAATCCGAAATTGTATTCTGCAAGGCCATAGCAGATAGTCAGCATGCATTTCAGAAATATTGTATTCATACATATCCGACCCAAACACAAAAGCATTTGTTCAGTCAATCAGACTGTAATGTCAAAACAACACTGTATACTCCTGAATCAACATAACAAAGGATGCAGACAGGATTCTGCCCGAGAAAAATCCTCCCACTGTTACAAAACAATACAAAATATATACCTCCATAAAGCGCTGATTTGAAGAAGCATCGAGTCGGAGTGACTTCTTTGTAGTTTTGCAGCTCTTTGGCAGAGTTTATGTGTACTGTGCCAGGGTATGTGTGTGCGTGTGCGTGTGCGTGTGTGTGTGTGTGTGTTATCATGGTGTCAGCAGTGTGTGTTTGATTACAGCAAAGACCTGATCAAACACTGCACATGAGAGAGTCAACACCTCTCTCTCGGCCTTGGAATACCATGCATGCGAATGACAAATAAACAACACACACACACACACACACAAATAGACAGCTTTTTTTCCAGTGACATACATACAATGGTCTACTGTGTTGTGTCCTGACTGGTATTCACGCCTCCCTGTACTTACATGGCCATTTCAAACTGATCCAGCCACTTCTTCTTTAGTTCTCTGGTCTTGAAGAAGAGTTCAAAGCCTGTGTGCCCCTGCTGGTGAGTCACGTAGAACCCGTAGCACCACTGGGGAGGACAGAAGGAAAACAGGCATTTTCTCATGAAGGCATACGTACATTTGCAAAAGGATGTGCATAGAAAGGAAATGTAATGGTTATCTGTAAATGATTAACTAACAGAGTGTACACTTTAAATGATGACTGGCTCAAAAATACAATTTGAGTTAAAAATGGGTGTGTTTCTCCTTAAGAGTTTGCATGGTTTTTATTTGTATTTGTTTGATAAATCTCAGCAACCCATGAATAGATAGGATGTGTTTGTAGGTATAGAGAGCGTGATACTCTGAGACTGGCGGTTACATAAATACTTGCGCCGTTTCCAATACCTAAGAAGCATACAGTAAAGAGATCAATTCAACTTGTGTGGCTGTTAAAAATGTGTAAATATGTTTTAAAAAATGAAGAAAATAACCTGGAAACACAAGTGTAATCGAGGGTTGATTTAATGGGCTGACGTACCACCATTAATGCTGTCTTCAATAATTTGGTGCCACTGGGCTCAAAGATCAACCAAGGATGCTGTTATATTTTGTCATTGTCGAGAGAGCAGCAGCAAGAGCAGTTTAACCAAAGCCTGCCCAAAGAGGACTTAAGCTGTGATGACAGAGTCTCCTAATCTGCCTCAAAGGAACCAAAGACGCTGTTCGATCTTTCCCAAACACAACTTAGATTTAGAAACACCATCAAAACTTTTAAACCACAGTTGCAAAAGTCCTCACGTAAAAGAATTCTGGGAGTAAAACACAACTATTGATTGCTTGTTTTCTCTTTAGCCACCCATTCCCAGCTTGGACCACCAAATAAATACTACGAGTGAAACACTTACCGCGTTAAACGCCTTACCCATGGCCATATTTGGGAACCATTTTCAATCAATTCCCAAGCCTCTTAGTTTTGGCCACCCTATTCTGTTGCAGCTTGTTGTGTCATACCTAATAAGAGGAAAAGTGGTCCAGGTTTACCCGGCATGTGATTGGCCAGCCTTGCAAAGTCCTGAGAGTTAAGGGCTCAGCTGAGTGTTAAATCATTGATGACTGTGTGTGTGCTCAGCGGCGCCACAATCACACTCTGAAGTTTCATTTAGTAGAAAATGATATAGAGCTATAAGCAGCCTTGGAGGACTGCACACATTCATCACCCGATATTAGCATCTCTGTCCTGCGGTGTGTGTGTGTGTGTGTGTGTGTGTGTGTGTGTGTGTGTGTGTGTGTGTGTGTGTGTGTGTGTGCGTGCGTGCGTGCGTGCGTGCGTGCGTGCGTGCGTGCGTGCGTGCGTGCGTGCGTGCGTGCGTGCGTGCGTGCGTGCGTGCGTGCGTGTGTTGAGGTGGATGTAGGTACACAGTATCTGTATGTCTGTGGATATGTGTCTCTTCTCTGTGTTTCTGTGTCTCGTTATCAATGAAGTCTTAGACCTGTCTGGCAAGATATTGGAAATTGAACAGGATGAAAATAAAGACAAGCAAATTGCACTGTGTCATTATATGTTTAGAACAAGGTTATTTGTTTCTAAAACCCGGTATAATGCTAACCACACACATGAGACTCAGGAACACATCAGGACCATGACCATAGTTGTTAAATACCAATCACTGCCAGACACATGTCCCACACAAACATACAACACCCAATCACACTATCATTGCACAATGCAGTAAATGTGGATGATAATGGAGTCAATTTGGTTAAAAAACAACAACAACAGAACCATTCCACTCTGGCAAGCTGTCAGTTTCACATTAGCAATTAGCTAATGTGAAACTGTGAGAAGACACCATCTGTGGGCATACATCAACAAGACATCAACAAGTCCCCTTCATTGCGATAACGTTCCCACAGGGCGGAAAATAGCATACTCTGTACAAACTGTGTGTGGTCACCGACCCTACACCAGCAAGGGAGAGCAGAACTCTTACATGGCATCCAACATCTCTCACGTTATGGTTTTCGTTCAGTTTTTTAAAGCTGGATTACAGAAAAATTGCTAGCCATGTTTTCATGTAGAGCAGGAATGTCCAAACTACAGCCCGCGGGCCATTTTGAATCGGCCCTCAGCTAATTAAAAAAGTATAATGGAATGCAGCCCACAAATGAAAATTGAGCTTGTATTGTACTTCTTAAATATATCTGTAAACATATATCACACAGACACTAGTGTTCATGTGTTAATAAGCCCACTTTCAGTCAATTCAAGTTGATAAGAAAAAAGCCCAATAACTTATTAACATAACAACCTTGAAATATACCCTTCCTATTCCTCTCATGATAAGCAATCTAAGGCTTCTGTTTTCAGGAATGAGCTGCTAACACAATAAATGAAACCCTATGGAAAGCTGTTGTATCAAGAATCATGTACTTACATTTGATAGATTTTGCTAACTTATAGCTTCACTTGTGAGGCAATAAACCTCACCTCTAGTGAGTGGCCCAGCCCTTCGAATATCTTTCTGTATGTGGCCCTCGGTGAAAAAAGTTTGGACACCCCTGATGTAAAAGAAACTCTCAAGTTTTGGAGGGTCACAGGGTGGATAAACGCATTATTTTTCACTCATGGAAACGGCCTTGGTGCCCGTCTAGTTTAAGTTATCAAATCTAGAGGCGAACAGAGGTTGAATTGAAACATTTCCATAGAGTGGTTTACTGATATAGACCTTAATATAATCAAAACAAGAGGGACAATATTAAACCCATTCATCCAATATTCAATGCAACGTGAAGTGCACAAATACTCATATACAAGCACATTATGTGTACATGTGCATGTATAGAGGTATATTGTGATTTCACACTCAACTGACCTTTTTACTCTCTCTGTCCGTGGTGGGGTTGTTTGTGATCTTAAAATAGTTGAGGTCGAGGATTTCCTTCATCTCATAGTTGTCTCCTCTTCTCTTGCAAACAATGACGGCCACGTCAAATAGAAAGATGTGTCTGTAAATAAGACAGAATGTTAAATATCTTCATCAGACATTTCTTCTGTGTTGAATGTGTGTCCTAATTTCTTTTTCAGGATGAAGAAGGTGAAACAGAACAACCTGTCCTGTTTCCTCTTGTCCACACTGGAGACCATGCGCACTTCCCCGTCACCTTTCGGGCGACCAAAGTTGATTAGAGGCTGATTCTAAGAAAAAATCAAATAAAACAGGATTCAAAAATATATAAAATATGCATAGATAATACAGGACAAATGTATTCCAAATGAATGCATACGAAATAAACCCATCATAGGCAAAAGCATTAGTAAAAATTCAAATGTGTCAGTAGGGAAACATTTCCAGCATTAACCATCTTTTGCACAATCAGTGTTTCTCAGTTACTTTTTAGATAACCCAGATATCCACCACTAATACCACATCATTGTTTCTTTTCTATAATCCAAATGTATCTATATTGTATTCCCAGTGAAACATCATGCAAGGTATGTCACAATCAGCAGATCAGTCCTAGCAGACTCTTGATACATTCTGCCATGACATTCACTCATTCCACCATATTTGTTCAATCAAGACAAGATAAGGTGAACTTAACCTGACAACTGAGTGATGCTGCTGGTTACACTTTTGAACAACTTTCTACTCTTTCCATCAACTGAATTCTTTCTTCAGCACCATTTATCGTCCTTTTCCACTTTCTTACTACCCCTGTTCGTGATAGCTTATTTTTCCTTATGTATTCCATATATTACACCTTACATAAGGTGGCTTTACTGTATCATATGTCCCTTATTGAAATATAAAAAGCTGTTTAATTTGATAATTTAATGACAATAATAATTAATAACTCAGACCTTTAACTGGTTTAAGGCTGTGATTCACAATTGTTTTCAATTTGTATTTTTACATTTTTACCAGCATTAACCCTTTTAGTCTTGAGTAAGAGCAGTTGTATCCTGTAATACTGATGAATTATTTCAGGGTGGGCTAAATTGAATGACCATGTTTGGAAACTTGACTCAGAAAGGTTTCTGCGACCTTCTGATGTTTCTCACTTTTATAAGAGTACACAAACTGCTGCTAATGGATATAGAAATCAATTTGATTTACCAGGTTTTCAATAGACCGCTGGTACTGGTCGATCTCTCTTATAGTCTCATTGTCTCTCTTCACCTCGTTGACAAACTGAGCCAGGTCCTGAGAGACACAAACACAAATACACACAAACACACACACATTTTCTATAATTAATATAGTCTGGGGGAAATGAAAAACGTTGTGTCGGGTATTTTCTTGCTTCTGTGATCTGAGTTAAGATTCCATGTAAATATCATTTGTATGATCCAAGCCTTCAAGTTTTCTAAAGCTATGCATTTCCTGTTGGTTTTGTCCTTAAATCAGCTGCCTGTCAGGCTCTGGTTCCCCACAGGATCAAAAACGTTTTATATTTTTGCTTTTTCAAATCACAGCCATTTGCAGCAGAGAAACGTGTGATTTTCGAGACAGTCTGAATCAGCCTGCTGTTGGTAAAAAGCTTGAAATACAAAGATGAGGGACCATTAATATTGAGCACTGCACTTACTTTCATGGCATCAAGTGCAATCTTCAAGTTGCTCTTGTCAGCAGCGTCGTGAGTGTGTTTGACTAGCTCCTGTTAGAGCAAGACAGAAAGGAAAGGATGGGTCATGTTCACACACCAAACTCACACACACATTCAGCACAGGTTGTTTAAATGTCACAATGTCATCTTCTTAGCAAATAAACTGGTGTTTTGCTCTATAATTGGAAGACAATTTCCTTAAATGTATCTTTTTGGATGGCAAATGGGGAGTTTTTAGCTGAAGATTGACAAATTGGAACCAATTAATGACATCAAATGGGGAGAGAAACAGTTTACTTTTTGCTTCACTACATTATTTGACAGCTACAGTATATTCAGTAATCACTTTGAATGTTGAGATTTAACTTGCAAAACATGTGATCAGTAGAGAGAATTGTCTTTACCTCAACCAGCAATAACATTAAAATAATTGAATCGTTCATTATTTCATTGTAAAACACTTGTGTTGGTTGATAAACAATATGTAAACTGCATTTATTCAAATATAAAATCACCATTTGTTCTCAGAAGGCAGCTCAGTTCTTGTACAATTAATTAATCTTATTTGCATGCAGAAAATGAATGTGAGGCAGAGATTGGCACGTGCTGTAGAAGTCAAATTATTAATGTCAAATAAACAGGAAATTGAGGATAAGTAGACACATAATTAGGACCTGTTTTTCTTCAGGTAATAAACTAAATATATATATGAATTCTTGAAACTCCACAGCTTTATAAAAAGACTGTCAAATGGAATATAATATATATATATACATTATTATATTTGCATAATAACCACATAATGACAACATTATTCTGCCATTACCTTCAAATATGTCACCATGAAATCTCAGGAGAATAATAATCAAATTACACCAACATGTACATTATATATATATAATATTGAATATAAAAGGTGTGTGCAATCTTTAGGTATCTTGGCCCTTTATTAAAAATCGTATAATATTAAGTATTCCTTCGCAATGCTACAGTTATGTTGCCTTGCTGAGCTGTGTCTACTTTTCCATTCATTTCACCACTTCCTCTTCCATTTCTGTCTTTCTACCCACTTCCCAAAGTCTCTCCTCAGGGGGCCTGAACACTCAGGGTCACCACTATTTACCACGGTGGCCTTTACCCTCCAAAACCATTTAAAACAGCTCTCTAGTTATTGTCCTCATCTCTCCTGCCAGCTGCAGTCTGACCTCTGATCATACTAACCAGGGGAGACGGTGTCACACAGTTATCAGTGAAATTGTGGGGATTTTGAAAGGCTACGTGTCGACAGGAAGCAAGAGTGTAACCACACTGCAACACATAGATATAACCATGTAGAATATAATTATAGTTCCATGCGTATATCCATTTTACACTCAGGTGAAAGACTCTCCTAGAATAAATTATCTTCCCCTTAAAAAGGAGAATCTGTTGACTGAAATATATTGAACTCAGGTGGAAATGATGATTCTTTATGCATTAACTGCACCAATGTTTAAGGGATGTGAAATACAAAGAGTAAATGCAACACTTAAATGACTTACAGGGAGGCACATGAGAAGCTAAGTTGTGGAGAATGTCGCCCTCAAGTGGTCACTTTTCTACTGAACAAAGCACTTAATAGGCCCACAAGAATCAACTGAAATTGACAAAACCCCCCTTGTTATCATTTAATTAATAAAGTAAAACAATAAAATTGGCAGTGTTTGATATCCTCAGAGAAGGAAATATCACTTTACCAAGTAAAACCTGGGCAATGTTGATACTTTTTCACGTCAAAATAACTTCTATGTAGGTGGCTTGGGTTAAAGCTGTAAGCCTAAAAGGTTACAATGGAGTTTTTAATCAAAAACCTTATACACCTTAATTTTTTACTTTGTATTTTTTGCTTCCACTCAAGATTCAGCAAATCCATTCAAAGATGACCAAACAAATCTAAGTCAGGGGACAGGAGAGAGACCGGCAGTGATAAGCACACTTTTCCATACCACGAGAGGCTGATCTCTGGAATAAATCAATCTTCACACACTCTCACAAAGTCGTTTTGACACTCAGAAACGGGTTTATTGCCAGGTAGGTTCACACGTACGAGGAATTTTACTTGATGTCATGGTGCATACATAAAATATAAAACAATTTTTTTTTAAAGTACACATATAGCGAACTATACTAAGAACACTGTAATAAAAATATAGTAAGATAGCAATAAAGCTGAGTGTAGTAACCACTCCCTACCTGAAGTAGTAGATGGTACTTGAGGACTCTCTGCATCGGGACCACAAGCAGATCTCTCAGTGTAAACTTCCCATTGTTGGCCCTCTTTGAGCACTCCTGCAACAAATACAAAACACTTATTTGTAACAGCACAAGCTACATTCATCATTATACAGAAGACTTTGGTGTTGTTGAGACTTTTCACACGGACTGATCAACCAAGAGACACAACTGTGTGCTAACCATAGCTTACATGTATCTGTTGCTGTTTACTTAAGGGCTTTAACTCGTCACAAACCAAATTGTAAAATCTGGTATGAAATATCTATGTATCCTATTTGGTTTAAAAGGGCATGCTACAAGTTCAGAGTTTTCAAAGAAATTACATAAAACAGTTTTTTACACATATATTACGAAGTATCCTATATATTTAATTTCCAGTCAGCAATTGTAATTGATGGTTACTAGTATTATATAGCTTTTCAAATGTTTTAAAGCTGAGACAACAAGCAATAAAGTAAATGTATGTGTAGTGTACAAGATGAACACTAGGGGTCGCTGGAAAAACTGTATCTGTGAGAGATGTTTTTGTGTGTGTGTGTGTGCGTGTGTGCGTGCATGCGTGCGTGCGAAAGTGTGTGTGTGTGTGTGTGTGTGTGTGCATGCGTGCGAAAGTGTGTGTGTGTGTGTGTGTGTGTGTGTGTGTGTGTGTGTGTGTGTGTGTGTGTGTGTGTGTGTGTGTGTGTGTGTGTGTGTGTGAAAGTGTGTGTGTGTGTGTGTGTGCGTGTGTGTGTGTGTGTGTGTGTGTGTGTGTGTGTGTGTGTGTGTGCATGTGAAAGTGTGTTTGTGTGTGTGTGTGTGTGTGTGTGTGTGTGTGTGTGTGTGTGTGTGTGTGTGCGTGCGTGCGTGCGTGCGTGCGTGAGTGCGTGCGTGCGTGCGTGCGTGCGTGAAAGTGTGTGAAAGTGTGTGTGTGATTCAGGTATCTCACCTCCAGCTTCAAGCGAACATCCTCTTTCTCTTTGCAAATGATGTCTAAAACAGCAATGGCAATCTCCACCCGACTGCAGTACATCCCATAAATGAGCAGTCTATTCAGAGCAAAGACAGGATGAAGGGGGATTAGAAATGGAAATGGACTGTGAGTGTGTGCAGAGGCCAGTTAGTGATACAGTGCTAACTAAAAATTAGATAAGTGTAACATGAATATGTTGCGTTCATGTTGCTTGTGACAAAGATGGTATAACGTTAACATTACATCAGTGTATAAGAAAGTAATCCTTCCTCTTAAATGTGAACTTGCACCTGTTTTGTCCCTAAATAGAACACTGCGTACAATCTGAACTCAACACGTCGTAGATGCTTGATACATCATTCAAATGTAAATATTTGCAAACATCCTGCATTCAATTCAAAAGGTCTGATTTAAAGGAAGTGTGTTTGGCAATGTTTCTCTATTAAAAGTCCATTGCAAGGGAAATAACAGTGATCAACTGAACCTAAAATGAATCATCTTTAAATATAAAGCCAATTAAATATAACTCAACAAAAAAAAAGGAAATTATGTGAGGTGCCACTGCAGTTATAACTCAAATATGGTCCTCGCAACCCAACAATACATTTGATTGGATGTTAATTATAAATACCTTTCTTTGTAGCTAATGAATATCTGGTAGAGGTTTAAAGCATTTTTGTTTAAGATGGAGTCCTGCACGTCGACCATCAGGCTCTTGTGAACTTTAACCAGGTCCTGAGAAAGAAGACATCCTGTTTATCTGGAAATTTAAATAATATTTCCACGTCATTTAACAAGGAGGGAAACTTGTGGGACTTACCGTTATGTTGACAAAAACTTTGTCAATTTCAGCTGCAGAGAAGAATGTCCTCAGAGGATTCAGGAAATACTGCGGAAAGAAATAATTTATATCCTGAGTGAAACCTCCATCTTCTCCTCTCAGATTATTTCACTTAGTCATTACTTAACTGGAGTCAATAACCAATATTAAAGGTCATTTTAAATAATAATAATAATAATAACAGCTAGGGGTCACATATACTGAAACTAATAAAATACATCACATTGGACGTCAGATAAAGGGCAATAGTAGGGCAGGAAATGTTCCTTTTAAATGACATTTTAAAAATAAAAAAAGCCTAAATATATTATATGTCCACAGACTTAAAGTGGACCTATCATGCTATATTTAAATGATATATTGTAGGGCCATACCTATATAAGGTATATTTATACGTTTCTGTTTTCAAAATACCAAACAGATCATGGATTTTAGCCATGCCTCATTTCACTCTATGTGCTGTTTGCTGTCTACGGGTCTGATTCTGCTGACCACGCCCCCCTGCAGGAGAGGGGAGACGTGCTCTGATCAGCTGCTGGGCTGTCAGAAGAGGGGGAGAAAAAGAGATCTCCGTCCTCGTGTTTTATTATATAGAGTCGTTATTCATTTGTTTTAAAGCTCAATAAATAACAAAGAAGACCTTTGACCGGCACTTTTCTAATTTTGTCCGGAAGATTTAAACTTTAACGGACATCTTGACCGGCGAAAGTAACTGAAACTGAAACTCTGCCGCACGGTCCCCTCGTTCCTTGGAAGAGGCGGAGAGGTGGGTGTTTGTCATCTGCTGGTGGACTAACCGGAGATAATTACAGTGCTTGCCTCGACGGGGAGGGATTGCATTGAATTAAAGCAGCAGAAGGAGCAAACGCTTGCCTCGGGGAGGGAGAAAAAAAGCCACAGCGGAGAATAAACAGAAGGGTAACCATGGTAACTATGGGCGGGAAGTCTTCTTCGCTGCTTTTGTGGCAGACTACAGCGCCACTTACAGGCCTGGCATATGTACTACAGCGTCTCCAGCGCTTTCGAGCGGCAATGGCCGGCCGTGGCCCAACCCCACATTCCCCTGATAGGTGGAGAGTTGGCCCAATAGCCGTAGCGCCACTTCTGTGACGTAATAGAAGTGTTCAAATCTGGATCAGTTTTTATCAGATCCGTTGCAGCCCCTTTTTTAAAGATTTGGGTATGGAGGAAAATAGAGAGGGTTGTGTTTTCTGACACTTGGTGAGTTCCCTGGAACACCGGGGACACATATTCATGTATAAAAGACGCATGCATTTTGCATGATAGGTCCCCTTTAAAGAAGGTTGATGGTGAAGAATTTGTCTGTGATATTTCTCTACTTTGATCACATTTTAATAATCTACACCCAATTTGTACAATAAATGTCATCAGATTCATGATTTTACACAAAGAAAAGCATATTGTTTATGATCTCATTGCACTATAGAACAGCTGGATGTTTTTGTACCTTCTCGATGGACTCCAGGGTCTCGGTGTATTTCTCCTCCGTCTGTTTGATCTCTGTGAGGCAGCAGCTGCGGACATCCACCTCCGCCTGCTTCTGGAAAGACGCACACCTTAGAAAGTGATGCTTAAACATTACTATCTTTACATTTGGTTATATCTCGTACACTAATGTGTAGTGTTCAATTATTTTCAGTGATACGGTCTTTCATACTGAAGATTAAGAGGGAAATTAGTCTGACATGTTAATTATAAATATTGTATTAGATTAATCTACCTAACAGTTAGGTGACTATGTAACTTGCTACAATATTAGAATTCTGCTTACATGTCTTTTTATAATATTAATTAATAATAATTATACAACATAATACTTGTGTACTCATACAACATTTTGAATTCAGTACTTTTACTTGTAAGGTCATTACATTAAAGTATTGGTACCCCTTTCCCAAAGTGTGTGTCTCTATCGCTCTGTGTGTGTGTGTGTGTGTGTGTGTGTGTGTGTGTGTGTGTGTGCGTGCGTGCGTGCGTGCGTGCGTGCGTGCGTGCGTGTGTGTGTGTGTGTCCTTGCAGTACCAATGGGGCATGCTGCTCAGTCCTCATAAGGTCTTCATAGATCTCCCCCCCCTGCGTTGTCTTCCTCCAGCCCGTACACCGCTGCATACAAGTCGTCATCATTTTCAATCTCATTCTCACTATTACAGACACACACACACACAAACACACACACACACACACACACACACACACACACACACACACACACACACACACACACACACACACACACACACACACACACACACACACACACACACACACACACACACACACACAGTTATAATGTGTTGATTATCAGTCGTAAATAACTTCCTGCTTAGTGTAAGGTAACAGTTTGTGGTTAATGAAAACAGTGTATTAAATGCAATTTAACAGTAAGAAATATACACATATAAACAAACACTATACAGCATTTACATTCTTTTTTTATATCATTACAAAACATTATGATAATGCAAAAATAGATAAGGACTTGTGCTTTTCTTTTTCTCATTTTCATTAACTCATCAATAACTACTAATGACTGCACGTATAAGAGTGCTTTAGAAAGGCATACTGCACAATACAAAGCAAACATATACTCTAATGTCACATTGAAATAAAACGTATTGTATTTGTTCTGTACATATTTCATTTATATTATTTGTCTCTTATCTATCAATAGCTAAATACAGCACACTTCCAGAACCTTGATGTGGGTTGTTTGCAGGCGCTCAGCAAAAACATGCATGATTACTCATTCGTTCCCTCTGACAGCAACAGAGAAACGGAGCCAAACCTTTTACCAACACACGTGGGGGTCCGGACCCCCGGAGAGCGAGGATGATGAGCAGAGCGTTCTGCTACAGAGCGAAATAATCACATTCTATCAACAGCAGTAATGGCCCCGCAGAGAGGAGCCTCATACATACTCAATCAAGTCTTCCAGATTATTGTAAATGTCCTCGTCTCTCAGGCTCTCCTCCGTTGGAAATGGCCTGGAAATGACAGCAAAGCAGTGTGAGGCTCAGCAGCTACCAGAAAAACATCACTATACGGAAAATATAATAAAAGAGGGAGTTAACTTCTAAGTGTATTAGCACAACCAACAGCTCAATAAGGATGTGTACAGCAGATGAAATACATACATTCGTGAAGGTTTAGGTACTCCAAAACTTCTTCTTTTTTTTTTAATCATGGATAACTTTATGAAATGTCTACTAAGATCCAAGTTGTTTTTGTTTTATTTTTGTTGACTTACTTGAATCCTCCTTGTTGTGCAGTTGTTGTGTAGGAGAGCTTGGATAAAGTGTCCATCACCTGGTGAAAAAGAGGTGTGTTCATTCATATATTTTTTTCTAGCTGGCATCATTACTGCATTGCTCTACTTTGAAGTTATGTGCAAGCCATTGTTTGTGTTTTTTTCTTAAATGTCAGATTGTAAATTATGTACATTCTGTTTGGCAAAAACTTTACTTAAAGGTCCCATGTCATGGCCATTTCTACTGATCCATTGTTGAGGTATAATAGAATAGATTTATACTGTGCAATTTTCCAAAATCACATTGGTTTCTCATACAGCATCTCTGTATAGTGTGTATTCACTCTCTGTCCTAAACGGCTTGTTGGAGCTCCTGCCCCCCCCTCCCTATGAGCCCAGTGGCCATCTGCGAGACAGCGAGACACAGCTAAACCCAGCCCGAAACCAGCTCGAAACCAGCCGAGCACACACACACACCCGCAGCTTGGCTGGGAGTTTGTGTGTGTGCTCACACACCGACTTACAGCCTCGCCGCGTCCTGCCGTCTCAGGGAGGAGAAATCGGCGGAGCTGCAGCTGAGAAAAGATTGAGTGTGTGTGTGTGAGAAAGTCCGCGGATTGGTCCATTTGGACCAATCCACGAATTTAGCGTAACGGCTCCGCGGAAGTAACGTAACGGCTCCACGGATTGGTCCATTTGGACCAATGGGTCCATTTGGGTATGGGCACGTCACTGTACCCAGGAAGAAAAAGAGACATTTCCAACGAGGCGTTTTGGAGCAGCATAGACAGGTCTTTTCTGTGTTAGAGTTTTACTCGCTACAGGGTGTACTTTGAGGGTTTGTGACTCTGCAGACTGTTTACATGCATAAAAACCTTCATAACACACAAGGGGACGGGTAATAACCGGAAAAGCATGACATGGGACCTTTAAATAATTATTATTTAAAATGACAGCAAGAGCTGAAAAGAAGAAAAACGGAAAGAGCGACAGAGAAAGAGAAAAGAAAATTGTCTGCAGGAAATGGTCATGCTACCTCAGAATCTCCCACCTTTGCATCTGTGTGTGTGTGTGTGTGTGTGCGTGCGTGCGTGCGTGCGTGCGTGCGTGCGTGCGTGTGTGTGTATGTGGTAACTTTTTTGAAATACTGGCCATCAAATAGAAAGTCACTCTTTCACAATCACATTTATAGACACTTGCCATTATTTCTGCATAAGCAACCTTAAACACCTCAAAAACATACAGTAATTGCAAGTACATTAGTAACACATTGATGTCTTCTGGAGACTGCAAACTGAATTGGTGCCAAATGTGTTCATTTATCGGGGCTTTTAAGAATAAATGTAATACAATCAGATACTCAGTTTTGACAGTTCCAACAGTGCAGTAAATATATGCTTTAGGAGAAATAGTGAAAGGAAATATGTGTTTGATAAGGGTCATAGAAGTCCTTAGAAATCAATTCTAATCTCATGCTTCTCGGAATGAAGAAGTTTCAATTGATTCATCTTCTTATTATAGACACATGCATTTCCAAACATTTAGTCTACCTATGCTGTAAAATGTATTATCTCTTTGATTTACACACGGCATCTATTGCACGTCTGTCCGTCCTGGGAGAGGGATCCCTCCTCTGATGCTCTCCCTGAGGTTTCTCCCATTTTCCCCTTTAAACTGTGGGGGTTTCTCTGGAAGTGTTTCCTTGTACGATGTGAGGGTCTAAGGACAGAGGGTGTCGTATTGTCATACTGATATTCTGTACAAACTGTGAAGTCCACTGAGACAAATGTAACATTTGTGATATTGGGCTATATAAATAAACATTGATTGTTTCATTCATTGAATTGATAATGCTGCAAATGACACTCTTTGAATTGCATGCATGGTAAGGCATAGTTGATGATGTTGGTTTTGCCAGCCAGTCTATCTGCAGTGTGCCTCCTCTTCCTGTGTGAAGTGTACGCTTTGTGGCTTTGGCTAAGCCCAGGTGTGCTGATGAATTCAAAGAGTCATGTCTGTAGTGTATGAGTCAAGCTGCCAAACCACAAAAGACCTCTGCATCTTCACAAGCAAATATGTTTCTGTCTGGTTGGATTGTTTCACTTATTCAAATAGGGTGTTCATTATTATTATTTAGATTTGTATAACTTATCCACAACTAGATAGTGAGAGACACTCTGGTGATTTCTTTCAGTCAGTTGATTCTACAAGAAAATGATCAGCATTAGAATCCCTATTCGCCTTTGCTTTAACAGCATTATGTATTGAGAGAACAAATGACTTTTTACTATTTTTGCAAAAGAAAGACTTTTGTTACTTTCAGTGTCAATTTCATTTTGATGCACATGTTTCACACTGAAACATAAAAAGACAAATCTAATTGACTTTGTGTAATGAATTTTAAATCATTCTACACAGGTTTGAACCAAGTTGTTCTCACAACTGACATGTCTGACGGTAGGTAAATCCACAAGAGACACATGAGACAGAAAGCCACAAGCTGAGCTGAATTCAAACCGTCGTGGTGAGTGTGGCCTGTTCATAAAGTGTAGCTTTCATTCTCAGAGCAACATGAAAAGACACTCCTCCTCACGTACAAGTCCCTCCATACCCTCGCCCCCCAGTACTTATCGGACCTCCTCCATCCCTACACCCCTTCTCGGAGTCTGCGGTCCTCAGACACGGGCCTGCTCTCCATCCCCCGCTCTCGCCTCCGAACTGTTGGTGACAGGGCGTTCAGTGTTGCGGCCCCCACCCTCTGGAATGCACTTTCTGCCGAGATCCGTAATGCTGCCTCCCTGGACATCTTCAAATCATCATTAAAAACACACCTGTTCACCCTGGCCTTCGGGCCCTAGCCCTTTCTTGGTCCCCCGGCTTCCTTTCTTTTTTGTTTGCCCTTTGATTGTCTGTTTGTTTTGTTCGTCCACCATGTACAGCGACCTTGGGTCAAGGGAAAGGCGCTATATAAATATCATTTATTATTATTATTATTATTATTATTAAAAGATAAGAAAGCAAAAGAAAGCAATGGCAAAGTCACATGTGCATGTTTGTCTCACAGTTATTTTGTCATCTTAATTATTCAAGCAGTAGTATTTACATATATGAACACACATTAAAGTCCACACATCTTCCGTCGCAGACTGAAAACCCACGTTTTTTTGTACCTCGGCCATTAAACCCAACACACCAAAGATAATCAATTGTAGCCCATTTGAAACTAAATCAAAAGCACTTACTATGGTTTGGCCTATTTGAAGGGAATATATCAGATTCTTGTGTTGTCCTTGTAAAATGCCTTGGATAAAAATGTCAGCTAAATGAAATGCAATGTGATTAACATCTAATAGGGTCTAATTTTAAGAATGTCACACAAACTAAAGGTATCTTGTTTGTTTTATTTGTACTAAAAAACTAATTTGTTGGTTTCAGAGGAAAGGTGGACTTTCAGACCAAGCCAAGCTAGCCTTCTCTCCTGTTTGTTAATGCTAAGCCAATCACCACTTAGCCAGTAGCTTTATACTTTCTTTCTTTATATTTAATAATAAGTAAGAGAGAACAATTTGCTAAAACATTTAACTTTTTTTTATAGGAAGACGTTTTTGTTTTTTTTAAATGTCCATTCACTTTTCATTTTACATTACATTGCATTTACAGTAAGCAAACATCATGCTTCTACAGTCAAAGTTGACACATTTTATGTTGAGCGAAGAAGTAAACACATGTTGGCCTCCGGGTGCAGCCTGTAGAAACTCTGCAGAGGAATGTAGGTTAGAGAGCTCTCATTAGATATTCAGTGGACTAATGCTTAGTCTACGGGCAGAGTTGGCACAAGTCAACCCGAGTGGATTAGACTGGCTGAGATTTGAGATGTTCTCTTTTGAATGTTTTCTGGAAAATAGGAAAGAGCATTTCTTGTTTGGCTTAACAACCCTCCCTGGAGCCGATTCAACCCGCTGAACCTGCAGTCACCCGTATTCCTAACTAATGATGAAAAAACAAGTGAAGATGCGGCACAATCTTCCCACTACTGAAGCTTGTCTGTCTGATGGACAACTCTTGGACATGACTGAGATTATGCAGCCCAGCTTGTATGTACTGTACATATTTACAGGCAGCACCTCCCCTACGGGATTATCAGCAGCCAGATTAACTGCAAGCTTCTTTAGAGCGCAATACACTGGGCTGAGAGAAAGGAGAGTCTGTGTGGGAAACTGCACGCAATCCCTCACACTTATAGAGAGAACCAAAGACCAGTTGCTATTCTCTGCAGGGAAGTGAATTAAAAACATTAATCATGTATAATACACCTGATTTAAATACTTTTGATATAGCTTTTGCCTGCAGGAACTTTTCGTTTAATTGAAATTTGCTCACAAATTATCAGTAGGGAGTTCTAAAACGACCTGCGATACTATATCAATTATTTTAAAAAGATGTTCGGACAAAATAATTAAATTATAGGAAGAAAATATTATATTATTTACATAAAGGATATTAGTTTTGCCAAATGAAGCCCCATTGGCACGGTTTTCACACTTTAACTGCCTTAATCAAATGACTGGATGTGTCAGAACTTTCTCCAATTAAACAAAGATAAAACTGAGGTAATGGTTTTTGGAGCCAAGGCAGAACGTATAACAGTTAGCGCTGAGCTTCAGTCTGCAATGTTCAAAACAACAGATAAAGCCAGAAATCTAGGTGTAGTCATGGACTCTGACCTGAGTTTTAACAGTCACATTAAAACAGTTACTAAATCAGCCTACTATCACCTAAAGAACATATCTAGGATTAAAAGACTAATGTCACAGCAGGATTTGGAAAAACTTGTCCATGCTTTTATCTTCAGTAGACTGGACTACTGTAATGGTGTCTTCACAGGTCTCACTAAAAAATCTATTAGAAAGCTGCAGCTAATTCAGAACGCCGCTGCTCGAGTCCTCACTAACACTAAGAAAGTGGATCACATCACTCCTGTTCTGAAGTCTTTACACTGGCTTCCTGTGTGTCAAAGAATAGATTTCAAAATATTGTTGCTGGTTTATAAAGCTTTGAATGGTTTAGGCCCAAAATACATGTCTGACCTACTGCTAAATTATGAACCATCCAGATCTCTCAGGTCTTCAGGGACTGGTCAGCTTTCTGTCCCCAGAGTCAGAACTAAACATGGAGAAGCAGCATTCAGTTATTATGCTCCAAATATCTGGAACAAACTCCCAGAAACCTGCAGGTCCGCTGCAACTCTTACTACTTTTAAATCCAGGCTGAAGACTTTTCTTGTTGCCGCTGCTTTTAATTGAACTATTCACATCTTAAACTGCACTGTAACTTTTAACTTTTATCCATGTATTTTTTCTTTTAATGTTTATTTTATTATCTTTTCTTTTTAATGATTTTAAATGCCATTTTCATAATGTCTTCCATTTTTGTAAAGCACTTTGAATTGCCTTGTGTTGAAAGGTGCTATATAAATAAACTTGCCTTGCCTTGCCTTGCCTTAATGTTCTGTATTTTAGACCTATTAAATAATACAATTAATATATTCAGTACAGATTAAAAGAAGGGAAATATGTTCAGAAGGAAATCTTATTATATTTCCCCATGGATAACGCAGATGCTGAGACAACTCAGGATGCTCCGAGCTAATGTATGCACTGAATGCACGGAAGCAGGGTATTGTGGGAAAAGGCTGTTCCAAAGTGAGCGTGCTTTCTTCAGTTAAATCATTCTCCTGTGCTGCGAGCGAGGAGGAGCGCACTACAAACCCACTGGCCTGGTAACTCTGTGTACTCAGACTAAAACCAGCTCCCACAAAAATGCAGCAATAAAAATAAGTCAACCAATCCTGTAAAAGAAATGCCGCAGAAAAAGCAACACCAGGCAATGAGAGGGCACGAATTGAAACTCACTTACACACATGCAATGCTTTCTTCAGAGGAAAACCTCTGGCTCGATATCACACGGGTATTATACTGTTAGACTTCCCTCAACCTTCATAGTCATCTAAATATGCGACTGGATATTCAAGCAGTCAGATTCATGAGCATTTTTATAATCTTCAGGTTTTAAATGATGACATTTCAACGACATTTGTTATACATTCTAGTTTCATGATCTAGATTTAACAATTCCTTTCTCTTGTGTAAAAACTTTGTTGTGGTTTTTCTGAGTAATTGCAGCTGCAAACCCAGGATTTTATGAGCTATGGTAAAGAAAAGTATTTTGCTGTCTTTGAGGTGTTTTTTCTCACATTTCTTCACAAGACACCATTATGTTTTGTTTCGTAAGAAGACATTACAATTGCTGTTGTGCAAACTATAACTCATTGTTGATGTTTTCGTCATCTGAACAATGGCAAACACAATCGATTAGACAGCCAGTAAAATCCCTCCGTTCTAATAGATGTCAAACAAAGGATAAAATATGTTTCATTTTGTTGTCTTGTTTTTAAAGACACCATAAGGTTTTGTTAAGTAGGAATAGTTTTGATGACAAATATGAATTCCCTGTTAGGCAAACTTCATCACAGTTATGATGTATGTGTCACCAATTTCCCCGTGTGGTTTCTAACAACTGAACAATGGAGAAAATGTAAAACATACTATCAATTAGACAGCCAGCATAATAGCTGTAATAGAAGTCATATCAATTCAGCAGACACTGTGCTCACTCTAACGTATTTTCTTGTAAAACAGCTTGTAAATGTGTGATTTCCTGTAAAGACGTACGTAAATCATGGCAACCAGAGAAGAAGGCAGCCGATAGAGGAAAGCAGAGCAGAAAAATAATAGAAGAAATATGTGCATCGTTGGAGAATACCATCAGTTGTGAAGACAGAGGACTGTTTCCTCGAGTTGTGACAGAATAATGGATGAGGGTTTTACCTTTCCAAAGTCTCGAACATCGAAGAGATCAAAGGCTTCAAACAAGTAAGTCTTCCTCATCCCAAACACCTCGTAGCAAGACGTCAGGAAGGTGCGGATGTTCTTCAAGCACAGGAACTGCAAATAGAAAAAAATGATTGTTTTAGATATCAATTTTGTAATATTCCTGGTCTCCACACATTTTCACACATTTGTTTGAATCATTCAAATTCTAATTTCATATAAATTACTGCCCAGGTTTAGAGAGGTCAGATGTCTCACACAACAATGAAAGATTATAAATAATACATCACAAATTCCACAATTATTTTATTGAAATAGTTTCATATTTATATTTTACAAATATATTTATAAGGTGAAAGTACTTTAGATCAACTGAATTGTATATATTCTATGGACTAAACAACGTAGTCTACAGATTCTTCAGAGTAACAACTTTAGTGTTTATGGAAAGAAATGTTGTGGCTGTTAAAAATAAAATGTAATGCTTTAAACGTCAAGAATAGGCACGCACTTATGTGCCCCTTTTGCATGGTTAGTGACAACTGTTTAACTTTCTTTTTTGTTTGTTTGAAGAATTTACCCTTTATTTGATTTCACCTTGATAAAGTTAAAGTAACACCATAATGCAAGCAAAGGGCACAAGAAGTCCACTTAAGAAAAGTGAAGGTGAACCGCACATAAAACAAAGCAAACTGAAAATGAAAACGAAAAATGTCATTTGTGAAAGAAACCACTAAGCAAGCATGTGCTCTTTTGGTGTCACTTCCTATTAAGGATCTGTGTCTCGGTGGGAAGAAAACCAAAAAACATTCAAAAAGACAATGGCGAGTGGTTCAAGAGGTCAAATAGCATTGTCAAAAAACAACACCTTAAGCATTCATCAACAATAAACAAGCTATAAACATGTGTCCCAGCATACTGTAGTTAGCCCGTGTGCACATTAGTGATATTACTAAACTAGAAATTGTGTATGTGATAACGTGCAGCAAATACAGAGCGGATTCTTGCGGATAGATAGGCTCTTTTTTATCATTTGAGCTCATCGTGGAGACGCCTGTAATCACTCCACCAATCCCCCCCCCCCCCCCCCCCCCCCCCCCGGGGCCCTGTTAGTCTGCGGAGGAAGTGCATGAACATGATGGCTTTGCACCACCATCAGCCTCTTACTCCTGATTACAGCCTCAGTCCTGGTGCATACTCACTTTCCTCTCATCTTCTTTGGAAATAAACACTGCATTCTTGCCTTCAAGGATGAAAGAACTATAAAGTAAAAGTGCACATCTTTCTTGGTACAGTCAAATTATTGAAGGAGGGTTTGCTTTTGCAGTATTTAGTCAAAATCCTGTTTCTGATGATCTTATATTGCATATCTTTTAATCTGTAACATTTTACATCAGATATTACCATGTTTGTGCTCAGATGTATTGATGTTTAGCAGCATGACTTTCTCTGATGCTGAAGTCTCTTGTCTTATCCTCTCTATATGAACAAATATAGATCAACAGCAGAGGTTATGTGTCACCAATTTCCCCGTGTGGTTTCTAACAACTGAACAATGGAGAAAATGTAAAACATACTATCAATTAGACAGCCAGCATAATAGCTGTAATATAAGTCATATCAATTCAACAGACACTGTGCTCACTCTAACGTATTTTCTTGGTACAAGTTGAGGGTCTTTTGTCCACACATAAGAATATTACTGTCACAATCCATATTTTTTATTTGAACTGAGGCCTAGAAGGGAAAAATATCACTTCTGGGTGCATTTTCACTTCAGTACACTGCACTCTCATCCTGCAGTACATTACTTTTATGCCCATATTTCCATTTCCAAGATCTTAGGTCAGCGGGGCACAAAGAAAGGACCATTTCAAATCTGGAGCCCACTGACACACATGCCTTTCTGGACCATATTCAGATGGCCTACAGCTGCAGGCTATGGCTAGCCATTGTTCAGGACATTATGCCCTGGGTTTGCTCTTATTGTCCATCAAGAAGATAAGAGACGAGTAGACATGCACTGACAGAGCACATACACAACACTGCAGTTTATACCACAGAGCACAATGTGATGCCCTACTGGGAAGGATTTCATTTTTTATGGAGGCTAAGATTTTTGTAGGCAAAATATGTAATTTTGACTACATGTCTCCATTCATTTATGGCAGTGAAAGAAATGTAAAACTGATTAAATAATTGTACAGAGATTGTGGTGATGCAACATTTCAAGCAAACAAATAAGAATACAGTTGCACCCTTTAGAAAAATAACCATGTGAAGTCCAGTAAGAAATGATCACACCTACTCATATCAAAACGTTGTGTGTGTGCGCTTCATACTGTGTGTTTTTAAATTAGGAGTTCTTTGACCTTAATAGATTAAGATTACGATTACTTGTAATTGTACATGTTCAAAGCCTGACTAGATAATCATGTGTCATATGTGTCATACTTATAAGAAGATAAAGATCTCATCACCGGCAAAAGGAAGTCTTGTTCCTATAGTGACACATATGTAGTAGTAGTAGGCCTAATAGTAGTTTGAAAATCCAAGCTGATTTTTTAATACAGATTATTTGCAGCTATAGCTATCTCGATTATATCTGAGCAAGTCAAATATGCTTTTAATTTCTTTCTTCCTTTTGTTTTATTAAATATAAAAGAGATTTTAAATTTGTGATCTGTTTTTGAATGAAAATGTGTAGTTTTGAGCTTTTACTATTTATAAGTGTAAGAAATCTCCTAATGACTAACTAAACATGGTTTGAAACTCAGTTGCGAGACAAATTAAAGCTGCTGCACACACATAGTAAAAGTTCCCGAACAAATGGGTGGATCAAAGCCGGGATTTTATCAGGCCTCTCCAGTGACAGAGGCAAAAATTATGGGTAAAGAGGTAAAAAGAGGTTAAGCCTGGGACCATCTCTGTGCGAAAAGAGAGTTGCATTTGCTTAAAGTAAGATTTAAAAACACATAGAGAAAGGCAAATAATGAATCAATCATCTTTAGAGGAAGTAGACAGAGGAAGCCTTGTCCATATTAGATCTCCAAATGATTTAGAGGTCATTTTGTCGCATTATTTGTATTACATTACATGTTAGACACTTTTATCCAAGGCGACTTACATACTCAATACTGTGGAGAATCCCCACAGGAGCAATTTGGGGTGAAGTGTCTTGCCCAGGGACACAACGACATGCTGACTGCAGTGAGGTTTGAACCTGTGCTCCCCTGATCCGAACACCAACGCACTAGTCCACTGCGCCACACACCTCCCTTTTATGAAATGCTTACAGTGACACAGAACCACAGGAGAGAGGATGGCTTTATGTACACTTATTCTGGACTTGAATGTAAGGAGTTTGACGGATTAAAAATTATGATAAGCTTGCCTTATCTTCACTACATTTGTGTATTATCCTAAAGGAAGATAATTCCTCTCACATCCTACAATACACTCTAAAGAACCCTGGAATAATGCACATTTTTACCATATGTAATGTGTTGTTTTGAGGTGAGGTTTTGAATAGTTTGTCAACCTTATGTGTCTAATTGTTCCTTTAAAAGCATCATTGTGTTAGCCTTCTAAGTTCATGCAAACCAGAACACATTTTTCTGTCAGTGTTAATAAGCATAAGTCACATTGAATTGATTTCTCCCACTAACAGGGCTAATTGATTCTGGAGCGCGTGATATTTAGTAAATTAACTTACATTGACGTGTAACACTAAATTAACTATTCTGGCACGCTTTTAATCACATTAATGTAATGGAACGTACATTGTAGTGTAGTGTTTGTAAGTGTATATCATATATTCAATGTTTACATTTTGGGAGTTTGATAGGTTGTACAAGCCTAATGTAGGCCTACACTGCCTTCCATTCTGTATATTTGTATATGTATATTGTGTATTCAATATATATCCTTCATTATTGATATTCACTGTTTTGCGTATTTTGTTTATCTTCTGCTGATATGTATATATTTTTTGTATTTTTGTTATTGTATGTTAGTTAGTTACCTAAATTACATTGCACATTATTCATATGCAATGTCCTATCAATGCTGCTGTGATTAATTGGGACCAAATTGGGATCAATAGTAGGCCTACATCTTATCTTATCTTATTACTAATGTCTGGCAACACTAATTTTAACTTCACAACAGTTACGCAGTTCCTCAGTTTGCACACGTTACCACCACAGTAAAAGCAGAGCTGAAGAGTCTACCTGTGACATCTGCGGCCTGAGATTGATCTCCTTCAGGTTGATGGTGTGAGGTTTCAGGTTGTTGAGCAGCTGGCACAGCAGCACCCCGTCCCGCAGGGTCTGCGCCAGGTCGAACACCTGCGCGGTGTCCGCAGTCACCCGGTGGTTGGCGGGCAGCACGTTGCAGCTGATCAGCCACATCGCACACTGCCTCCAGTACTCCATGTTGTCGGTGAAAACAGAAGGTTAGTACCAAATGTGTAAACTTTGTCCCTATCTGAAGCCTGTGTACGGCATGGTAGCTGCGCTCAGCGGCGTCCCCTCGTCTCTCTGAACTCCTTCATGTCCTCTGGAGGGGGGGGGGGGGGGGGGGGGGGGGGGAGCTGCAGCTTTTAGGCGCTGCACAGCTGGGAGGCTGTCTGAAACCCCCTCTGCATGTGTGAACTTCCCCTTCCTCCCTCTGTGACACTGTTTCCACAGAGGTGGTCGTACAATGTTCGTAAGCCTTCCCCTTGCTTATCAAGTTTTAAAAGTTTATATAGGAAGCTCTTCTAGCTGTTGGCAGCAATTTAAAGTAATTTCACATACATAATCTAAATGGAAATTGTTTTTTCATTCAATATAAAACATGTTTTAATAAATCTATTATTTCTATTAATTCTGAACGATTGCTTAATAATCTAGGCCTATATACCCATTACATGTTCCTAAACCCATTCTAAAAAAAAAAATGAATTTGTTTTAAGAAATATATGCATTGTCTGAAACAGCAATCGAAAAAGATATCAATCCAAAATTGAGATTTTCCTCGATAAATGTTGATCAACGGCAATTTGTGACAGTTTAACCTACTAAATATTTTAGTACTTTTTCTTCATTCAAAAACAGTGTATCTATTTATTCTATGAAAAACTGTGTGTGTTGCAGTAATCCCTCAATCACCCACTACCAGTTGACATTCCATGTGGATTATAGACAGTTTTGACAGGTGACTGTAATCTGAGTTCTTAGAGAAACTGTGAAAACTGTTTTTGTGTTTTGTACAAGTCAGATAGTAAAGAATCGAGGGATAACAAATATGGAGAGAAGGACATCCTCCTTCCACGATTTACTGTAGATCGCTGTCATCAAGGCCACGACATAAACACAGGAAGGAAGCGGAGGGATCCCATCTTGTTTCACCCTAAATGAGGGAGCCAGATGTTTCCGCAGATATTGGCTCATAAACTACAACTTCTTATATAAGAGTAAGTAGGTTTAGCAAGGAAACTTGCCCTCTTGATTACTTAAAGGGGACATATGAAAAACATACTTTTGCATATTTGGGCATTTTGAGTGCCCAACCCACTGTGCAATAAGTCACTCCAGTTCGTTTTTTCTTGAGCTGCCGATGTCAGAAAGCATGTGATTCAACAAGCCATTCAGATTTGGCTCCCATGTCCCATGCAGGGACATTAGAATATACAGTACTGCCCCTTTCTTAATATCTCCACCCTCTACTTGAGATCTACTGTAAACATGCAGCAAGTTTTTCTCACAATATATTCAGAGCACTGCTCTTAACTATTTTGGTCCCTGTAGCTTAACTCCCTATTCATGTGTATTTTTTACTAAGGCTTAAAGTTACAAATTATTAGGGTGGCGTATACTTTGAGTGACAGCTGGATGCCATCTCAGGGCATTAGCCTCTTGGGGTCTGCTCTGTTGTGTGACCTGGCATGATCAATTCCACTATGATGCCCATTATACGATTAGCTTTGAGTTAGACGGTGGCATCACTGCCAGAATGTCTCCAGCCAGTCACATTGAGCTTGACAACAGATCTTCAGAGATCTATGGGTCATGTGATTCAGACTATGTGTTGTATGTATTCTATCCTGAATACAGGTATATTGAGTCAAAAGTGTTTTTTGATCAATTAAGCATTAAAGAGAACAGTTATATTTCTATTAGGTTTTTTTTTTTGTGATTACAATTATTTTAAGTATGATTTATAGACTGAACCAGAAGCCCTGGACAAACGGTTAGGTCTGTGCCAAGCTGAAAGTGTGGCCTATGAACAGAGGCAGAGATTTGGACAAGTACAGGAACTCAAGGTACGTGCTCCGCAGAGCCATTAGCAGTGCAAAAGGCTCTGACGACAGGGTGCCATGTGGGCGGGACTAAGAACAATGACTGACAAAGGGACATCGGGTGGTGCTGGGGGATAATCTGTGTGTGTGTCTCTCCCAGATGAGCTGAACTCTTTTTATGCACATTTTGAGAGCAGCCATGCTGTGGAGGTACAGAAGGCCCAGGAGCCATTTTTAAAAGGGCATATGTTGTACAGATCCTTTAAAAGGGTTCATCCGCACCAGGCTCCTAGACCTGATGGCATCCCTGGCCCTGTTCTCAGGGTGTGTGCAGTTCAGCTGGCAGAGGTGTTCACGGACATATATCAACAGGGCACTGCTGCAGTCTGTAGTCCCTCCACCATCGTTCCTGTCCCCAAAAAGACTAAAACACCAGCCTCAATTAATACCACCCAGTGGCACTCCCTTCCATCGTCATGAAGTGCTTTGAGCGGTTAGTCAAAACCCACATCACCTCCTCCCTCCCTGACCCCATGGACCCCCTGCAGTTTGCCTACAGAGCAAACAGGTCCACAGACGCCATAGCCCTCACCAAGGGTGTAACTTTGGTTTGAGAAGTGGGGGGGACACAAAACAGGGGGTCCTCCGCAATGAAATATTTTCTCAATTTAATTCCATTTCCTGCCTTTCTACAAATATATTAGGGACTATAGTGTTAACAAATCCAAGAAAAATGTGTAGTGTATATAATGAGTGTGCACACTTATCTAGTGTCCTATCCATGTGAACCTGTTTTATTTGTGATTACCTGACATCCTCTAGGGGGGTCCGGGGGCATGCACCCCGGGAAGATTTGTTTCTTTAAATTGAAGTTGAATGCATCAATCTGGTGCACTTTGAGGGCAACATTAAGAGATTTATGGATACAGTTCTCAACACTCATATGAAACAGAACTGTATATATTTCAATAATCAAAAAGCCATTAGAATATGCTCACAACCAATAACAAATCATTGATAAACTCCTCTCTCCTATCTTTATCTTACCTAGTCTGCATTTTTTCTTTTTATTTATGCATATTTGACTAATCACTCCCCTTTCAAACTGTGTTTTTTATTTTTGTACTGACCTATAGTACACATTGGAAGGATTTCTTAACTTATTTTATATACAACTATATATTACATAGATGGAAATATTTGTTTACATAGATGACCAAACCGTTTGAGACCCACTGAGATAACTAGACTAAAGTTTACAACCTAATCACTCAGAGAGTCCTTTACCTCCCTGAGCTGACGTTATCTCTCTCAGTCCGACAGGAGAGGACTCTCCCTCTCCTTATTGTTGAAACAGCTTCTAATCTCCGTTAGCTCCGAGCTAGCACCAGATGCTAACAACAACCCACGTAACTCTCTCAGTCTCTCTCTCTCTGTCTCTCTCTCTGTCTCTCTCTCTCTCTCTCTCTCTCTCTATTTCTCTCTCTCTCTCTCTCAGTCTCTCAAAGTCCGACAGGAAAGAGCTCTCCCTCTCCTTATTGTTGAAACAGCTACTAATCTCCATTAGCTCCGAGCTAGCACCAAATGCTAACAACAACCCCCGTAACTCTCTATGTCTCTCTCTCTCTGTCTCTCTCTCTTTATATCTCTCTCTCTCACAAGATGCGCTCGTGCCACACACACACACAGACGCTCCTCCGTGACGATGACCGCTTGCGTAAAAAAAAAAAATTAAAAAGTGGGGGGGACACAAATGGGATTTTGAAAAGTGGGGGGGACATGTCCCCCCTGTCCCCAGTGGAAATTACGCCCATGGCCCTCACCATCCACACTACCCTCTCACAACTGAACACATGTGGGAATGCTGTTCATTGACTACAGGTCAGCTTTTAACACCATTGTGCCCTCCAAGCTTGTCATCTAGCTCAGAGATGTCGGGCTCAGCAGCGTCCTCTGTGATTGGATCCTGAACTTCCTGACGGGCAGACCCCAGGCCGTCCTCCACCCTGATCCTCAACACCGGAGCACCTCAGGGTTGTGAGCTCAGCCCTCTCCTGTACTCCCTTTTCACACACGACCACATGGCCACACACAGCTCCAACACCATTGTGAAGTTTGCTGACGACACGACCGTCATCGGCCTGATCACCGACGGCAACGAGACGCTGTACAGAGAGGAGGTTAGACAATTTATTTATCTTAATGTTAATCACCACAATAAACAGTATTAAATGTTTTCACTACAATATTTAAATTGACATATTCTATTCTACTGTTTCTTCTTGCACTATTTTTGTTATTTTATTTTTTGTATTCTTATTTTTGAATTTGTTTTATTGTTTTATGTCATATATATATATATATGATGTTGCATTGTTGGAGGAGCTTGGGACTTAAGATTTTCATTGGTATACACTATAGCATCAGTGTGCATATGACAATAAAGCCTTTGAACTTGATACTGTTTATAATGTATACAGTGGTGTGAAGTAACTAGATGTACTCAAGTACTGTACTTAAGTACTATTTTGTATATTTGTACTTTAAGGTGGGGTAGGTAAGTTTGAGAAACCGGCTCGAGATACACTTGTTGTTATATTCCATGGAATGCTCTTAACATCCCGATAGCAATGAATATCTTAAGTGCTTTGACAAAAAATCCATAAAAAAAATTCATCTGTGGAAGCCGTAGTACTGTAAAAAGCACGACCAATTATTTTAGCCGGCCCGGCTAAAATAACTGGATGGCCTACCTGCCTGTCAGCCTTCCATCTGTGCACAAACTTATCTCGTGCCCTCATTGGTCATGTGCGCGTTCGTGTGTGTTAGAGGAGGGGCTCTGTAAGTAAGTGGCAGATTTTTTCCGGCTGTGTATTTTCAAATTCTAGCGCACTCGAGCTGGTTTCTCCAAAATTACCTACCCCACCTTTAACTTTTCAATTGTATGCTACTCTATACTTCTACTCAACAACATTTTGGAAGAATTTATTTTACTTCATTAAAAAAATGTAACAGCTACTGTTAAAACACATGGCATTTGTATATGACATAGTGCAGTATTGAACTAGCAATATTGAAAATAAATCTAAAATGGTCTTAATATAACAAACTGCAACATTTAAATGCTATAATAATATGATAGTTTCACCACAGCCATTGTGCATAATGAGTACTTTTACTTTTAATATTTTAAGTACATTTAGCTGACAATACTTCTGTACTTCCACTTGAGCAACATTTTGTATCAAAGACTTTCCCTTGAAATGGAATATTTTCAAATCAAAGTATTTCTACCTTTACTAAAGTAAAGAATCGAAGTACTTCTTGCACCTCTGAGTATAATATATACAGTATTATTTTGTAATTGTACTGTAAACTTCCGGCGAAAAAAACCGAAACAAGCACGACACCGGAAATGGAACAAAAAAAACAAAAAAGAAAGAACCGTCAAAACATAAACAGAGCCGTCAACCTTGCAGTTAGCTTGCTTTATAGTCTGTCTTTTGCAAACACCTTTATGCACGCTTTCCTAATGTCGTGTATTTACGGCCAGAGGATCCCTTGTCACGGCACTTAGCTCAATTGCTAAGCAGTGAGTTGGAGAGCATAAATCTGCAATAAAGATTAGGACTAAACTGAGAAGTACGCCTCGTCGGGCCTTCGAGTAGAGGTAACGCATGCTATGCTAGTTAGCAACCACGAGCAATGCTTACTGCTTGCCTTTTGACAACCAGCTGTTTGGTGCTTACGCAGGATTCAGCAGTATTTAGTTTCATTTGTGTTAGCCACACGCAGGCTAGTTAGCATTAGCTCACGACAATAACAATGACAGATAGTCAAGCACTGTAGAGGACAATGCACTGTTTAAATGCAGTAATAAGCAAGTCAGGCCTGTGAGCCAGCTACCAAGCGAGTAAGTTTGTTTATGTGTTTGCAGGCAGTGGGACTGGGTACTAAAATTAGCCTCGCTGTTAGTTTGGAAGAGCTAACAGGTTACTTGTGCCCCACGGCGCACAGTGCGGCAACAGATTAGCGACTGCAAGCAACAGTGTTGGCTTACTAAAGAATACAAGTAGTTTATCATCTCAATAACAGCCCTAGTTAATGTGTTTCCTTAACAACCTACATTTTGTTTTCGATCTAAGGTTCCCCCTCGGGGCGACGCAGGACAAAGAGACAGAATGGCTGAACCTGAAGTCAAATCTACTGCGCTGAAAGGTAAAGGATCAGTGCAAGAAAGTGACTAACTATTTATATAGACTACCTGTTCCTAGGGTACTTAATTTGAGTGTTTTTTACCAGGTGGCTCTGAAGAAAAAGATCCAGGAGAAGATCAACACAAGGAGGAAGGTGCCTCTGGAAGTAAAGAGGGACAAACACAGTCTTCATCTCAAGATGGTATCCACATTCTTTTTGTTTAACAGCAACTTAAACGTGTATTCTTTTAACAGAGTAACATAATATGGTAGAGACTTTGCTTTGATCATTTTTAATGTATGTTCATTTTTAAATGCAAATGTAACATTGATACCAGTAGCAGTTATGCACCTTTAGTTGAATCTCCCAGTGAGACAGAAATGTCTTGACCTAGTCCTCTATGGCTCTGACTTTTCCTATTTCTGTAGATCCCAAAGAAACAGGAGAGGCTTCAGGGGACAAGCCTATGCCAGATGTGGAAGGAGGGATGAGGGCAAACAGAGAGGGAGAGGAGGAGGAGGAAGACACAGACAGCATGGATGGAAGCGGTCTTTACTCCCTAACTGAGGATGGTGACAGAGAGAGCGAGGGAGGCAGACGGGAGAGAGTTAGGGATAAAGATCGCGAGAAAAGAGCAGCCAGAAAGAGGAATAGACCTGGCGGCGGCACCAACCACTCCTCCAGCTCAGATGATGATGACGATGACGATGACGACGAAGAAGAAGAAGAACAGAAAGATGATGATGACGACGACGACGAAGATGATAACGAGGCTATGGAGGCGTGGCTGGGAGCAGAGGTCCGTGACATGCGTGGCCCTATATGGAGGTCGATACCCTCGCTGCGCTCCAGGGAGATCGGCAGGGACACACACCAGTTTGTGAGGCGTGTGTGTGGAGCCCGGGGTCTGGTGCAGAGGCTGGAGCTGCAGGGCCGGCTGGAGAGGCACACGGGCTGCGTCAACACGCTGCACTTCAACCCCTCGGGCACACGCCTGGCTTCAGGCAGCGATGACCTGCGGGTGGTCATCTGGGATTGGGCGATCCGCCGTGCTGAGCTGGAGTTTGACAGTGGCCACAAGAGCAATGTCTTTCAGGTAAGGAAAGCAAAAAACTTTACCAACGCTACAGCACTATCAGAAATGATAATGATATACTTTGATTTCATTATGAGGGTGAGTCATAGCTTTATATTGATGATTAGTTCAAGAATAAAACAGGAGGGTAGTGAGTGGCAACGAAGCGACCAATGAAGTCGGAAATGTAAAATGAGTCTCCCCCTTCCCTTCATGTGCACAGGCAAAGTTCCTGCCTCACAGTGGGGACTCCACCTTGGCCATGTGTGCTCGAGATGGGCAGATCAGAGTGGCGGAGCTCTCTGCCACACAGCGCTGCAAGAACACCAAGCGGGTAGCTCAGCATAAAGGGGCGGCACACAAGGTGAGTGTCTGTACTGTATGTGCCAATGGATGTGTGAATGCAGTATATCTCAGAAACACTTGAGGGGAATGTATTCAAATTTGGCCCAAAGATCCACTTGGACCCAAGGACGAACTGATAAGATTAGAAAGACCAAGGTTTTTTTAAATTCTAGATGTGTTGTAAATACTTTTTGTTTACTGTCTTGGACTCTATTCTAAAACTTTGGATAGTTCCTCTGGGTGTCTCATTTCACATATCTCCATTATGATTGCATTTTTAAACTGTGAATACATGAATTACATTGAATTGAACTGTGACCTTGCAAAACACAAATATCTTAAGAATGAACCTTATGACAATTTCACACATGTCTAATAGGTTACATTTATGAAGTGTGGACATTTAGGACAGACATGGATGAAAGTTGCAACTTGACTTTTTTTGTAAAGGCATACAACTTGTAAGGCGCTTATATTAGTTTCTACTTGTTTTTGTTCCAGCTGGCCCTGGAGCCAGACTCCCCCTGCTCCTTTCTGTCTGCGGGGGAGGACGCTGTGGTGTTTGGTATTGACCTGCGCCTTGACCGTCCCGCCAAGTGAGTGATACCGTAATTAAAGTTGTCCAAGTTTAAATTCATTCACCTCAGGAATTGAATTTGGCTTTTGCAATAGGTGAGGAAAATATCATAAACTGACACAATACACTTCTAATCATTGATTTCTGTTCAGGCAGTGTCTTGTTTTAATATAACTATGGCCTTTTTAGACCATGTTTGCAGTGTTGTTACACAAACATCCTTTCACTCAATGTTGGTGAACATTCAACAACTTTCTCTTTTCACTTTTCTTGCGTTTGTTACAGTATAAAAAAAAACGTGTCCCCTTGCCAGAGCTAATACGTGCCTTTCCTTTGTGTCTCCTTTCATTGGCAGTAAACTGGTGACCGTAAAGGAGGGGGATAAAAAAGTGGGCTTGTACACCATCTATGTCAACCCAGCGAAGACACAACACTTTGCTGTGGGAGGAAGGGATCAGTATGTGAGGTATGAAGCAGGTTTTGATAAAGTATCATCATATTTCATATTGTTGCTTATAGGGCTGTGCAATTAATCGTATTTTAATCGCAATTACGATTTTGGCCTGCCACAATTACGAAAACAACATAATCGAAAAAAACAATTATTTTGCTTTGCTAGGTTGTGACAGACAGTGCACTGCAACATATTTGATCTAATTAATTTTGGTCTCATTTATTTGTATTTATCATATTTATATATGTTTAGTAGCTTGGGGAATTGCGCTCCAAAATATTTGTTGATCTTGTTTATTGGTATTTATTATTTTGATATTATTTATTTAAATGTATCATTTATTTTTGTATTGGTTTTTCAGTTGAATTATACGTTCAGGGTAATTAACAGTTAAAAAGATACTGTTCAAATTATTATTTGTATTTGTTTTAAAGTTCAATAAATGGATTTTTTTCAAAGTCAATGACTAATCGTATTTAATAATCGTGATATCAATTATTGACCCAAATAATCGTGATTATGATTTTTGCCATAATCGCACAGCCCTAGTTGCTTACTATTTCTTGGATGTCACTTCTGAATGTATTTCTTCTGTTCTCACTGTCTCTTTTTCTCACCCTCTTTAGGATCTATGACCAGAGGAAGATCAATGAGAACGATAACAATGGTGTACTGAAAAAGTTTTGTCCCTCACATCTGGTATCCAGTGAGTCCAAAACCAACATCACCTGCCTTGTGTACAGCCACGATGGCACAGGTAAAACACTGATTAACATTGAAAGAAGAAGTCAAAGCATTCAAAATGGTTATCTTACATTTAAGTATCATAAGTACAGAATAGCATGCATGCTGTAAGAAAATACAGTAGATTAGTATTCCAAGGCATGATTTCATTTCCCTGCAATCTACATAATCCTGTTTCCTATTTATATGTAAATGTATTTTGATTATCTGTACCCTTTTTTTCTAATTCGGTTATGAACAAAATAATGATCCCTTTACCTTATACTTACTTGATTTACTTTTTGAAAATACCAACATTTCAGGCCTTCTCAGCCTTCCTGATGCAACCACAATGCAATCAGTGAAACGTACACAGAATGAGGATTATTCTATAAAAGCATGTGCTCTCATCTTTGCAGAACATCACTAAGGTCGACTTTAGAGCGAGATACACAAATCTACTAAATCCAATTTTTTTCTCTCTTCGAAAACTTGGCTAAACATTGCGTTCAAAGAAACCAAACATAATCTGACTTGTGTTTTTCTGTGCAGAGCTCCTGATCAGTTACAATGATGAGGACATCTACCTGTTTGACTCCAACCACAGTGACGGGGCAGACTATCGCAGGAGATACAAGGGACACCGCAATAATGCTACAGGTGCTACATTCAGTTCCTATTTATAGCAAGCATGTAAGAACAGTAATAAAGATGCACCCTTTGCTTGAAGACCATAGTTTCCAAAATCAACCACATCAGTTATGGCCCAACTTCGGAAGCATTTACCTGTTAACCAATCATTCATGCTGTTTGGAACTGTATATATGATGTGCTTTACGCCTGAATCTGTACTGCAGGACTGTTAAACGATTTGGTTATCACACAGACTGAAACTGTGTCCACTTTTCTTTCTCACAGTGAAGGGGGTGAACTTCTATGGGCCGTGCAGTGAGTTTGTGGTCAGTGGCAGTGACTGCGGACACATCTACCTGTGGGACAAGAACTCTGCTCACATTGTCCAGTTTATGGAGGGAGACAGGGGAGGAGTGGTGAGTTAAAGACAGAGAATTCATATTGTTTTGTTGGGTTCAAAGATGACTTGGCAAAGGCTGTACAAACACACTCGGTAGTGCTTCTGTCTTCATCTGGTTGTATTACCTCCACAGTAGAGTTAGCGTTTTACTGCTAAGACATGCATCCCAAGAATATTCAATTTATCGTAAACTTCATCTCAGTCATTTTTCTCCACCCCCTCGACAATGACAGGTGAACTGTTTGGAGCCACACCCCCATCTGCCAGGCATGGCCACCAGCGGACTGGACCACGACGTCAAACTGTGGGCCCCCACAGCTGAATGCCCCACTGGACTCAAGGGTCTGAAAGAGGTATTTTAAATCATCCCTACATTTAATTCTGCTTTTTATGGGTTTGTCTATTATACTCTTTGTTGTGGTAACATTTCACCCACTTCCTTGTAGAGACAAGGCTTGAGTTAAACCATTTAGAATCATTTTTAACAGCATGTATATTTTACAAACCCAGTTTTACTCATTTATCTAAAGCGGTTATTTGAAATAAAAAAATGAAGGTTTCATTTAACTGAACTGTCCATTATAAATGTCCATTGCACTGCAAAAAAGCTAACTCTGTATTGTTATGGATGGAGGTCAACTTAATCTTCTTTGTTCCTGTTTGAATTGTTATCATTACTTCCCATAATAGCACATATGGCAATAATGGCTATTCAAGTGGCTCGTTTTAAGTTTGAAAAAGTCCTGGGAAAGTAGTGAAAATTCAAAGGCATATTCCCCTTTGCGCCCCCCCCCTCCACACTAACACCTGTCGGTTGTGTTTGTGAAGGTGATGAAGAAGAACAAGCGGGAGCGTGATGAAGACAGTGTTCGTCATGGCGACCAGTACGACACCCAGCTGCTGTGGTTCCTGATGAGACACATGAGGAACAGAAGGCCTCCCAGGGTAAACACTCAAACAACACAACACCCCAATTTCTTTGTTCTTTTGGAAGTTTTTTTCTCTCCCAGTGTGCACCTTGTTGGCATACTATATCAGCCGTTAATAGTCTGATTTGTCTCTGTTCTCTTTGTCTGGATACAGGCCCGCCGTGAGGGTGCTGACGCAGACACAGACGAGTCGTGGAGCTCTCCAGATTCCTCCGATGAAGAGGAGGGAGGTCCAGACAACGTCCAGTGCATGTCCTCCTGAGCTACACATACTTAGACCCACACACATACATACATACATACACACTGTATTGCCCTTGAATTGATGCACATAGGCAAGCACTATTGACACACTGGCACACTCAAACACAGACGAGCCACAGACTTTGTTTTTCCTCATACACATACAGTCTCACAGAGATAAAAAACACCCATTTACTTAAACATACTTTTGAAGAAGAGATGCTTAACGCCTGGTTTCCCAGCAGTTGTGTGTGTGCAAATGACAACTAAAGACTATATACACACTTCCAGAATCCTGATTTTTGGGAATTGTACAAAGAGGTTTAGTGAGTGCTTACACCCCCTACGAGCCCCTTGGAGGCTCCTGCTTGTCTATACATTATCTCTAAGCTCTGCCTAGCCCCAGAACATTGTACTGTGCATGTATGGCAACAAGCACCTCTTCTTTAGGTACCCTGTAGGAAGCTATACACCACCAGCAGGCATCCCTTCTCTCACACACCTTCTCTGGAGCTCTCTGTGCTGATGGAGGGAGGGTCAGCAGGGGGTAGAATGGTACCCTCAAACCATCCCCTTAAATGTGACTCCCTTTTCAGATTTGAACACAGGAGGGAACCCCCAGTGTACTCTGCATCGCCCCAGTCTCATATTGATTTCTGGCCCTGAGCTTGTGCAGCTAGTTTCATTTTTCACACAATAACCCCCCCCCCCTGGAGGACTACTACATCCCTACATGCTGCATCACCAGACATGCTACTTCCTCCCCCTCCTCTCTGCATCACCCCCTCCCCTTCACTACTGAGTGCACTTTGAATCAGGGAAGCTTTTAGTTTGAGACAAAGACTAAATGTGCACCGAGTGTGATTTTTGGGGGGGGGGAAGAGCTTTTGTCTTGTATCCTTCATTGGAGACCCCACAGTGAAGTTTAGTTAATTTCTATTGATTATTTGAGTGGGGAGATATTTTGCACTTAAGAGTTTTTTGACTGAAGATTGCTTCCACCAATCTTCCCTCCTCCTCCTCCTACTCCTTCCTTTCTTCCTCCCTCGCTCTCCATCTTTGAAAGGAAAGATGAAATGTTGAGGCAAATCGCATAGGATGATGAGGGGATCTGACATTTAAAAAAAAGAAAGCAAGATTCAACCTGGATTGAATCCCAATTAAAAAAACAGCCAATGTGATAATTCAGATTGGAGTTATAACCACGTGGTTCCCCAAAATCCATCTGTGACGCTAAAAGTAAAAAATAATTGTCTCAACGACATATTAGACAAACATTTGATCTAAGTGGTGCGTTAGAAGCTAGCACACCACTTGTTAGGAAAGAGGAGAGGGGAGGGAGGGGGGGGGTCAATGTTCTTGCCAGTCATTTGTTGTGTGAGAGCGATAAAGTCCAGCTTTTCTCATTTTCTATGAGAACTCATAGTTGAATTTATATGTACATATATAAATATATATTAAAACTGTAAAACGTACGCAAATGCTGTTTGACTCCAAAAAAAATAAAAAAAGATGTCAAATCAGTTGATTGGTATTGATGCAGAGGTTTATATTCTATATGAGGACAAAGTACTTTTAAAATCAAGAGAAAAAGACATGAGGCACCATTTCTGTTCTATTTTTCTTTTTATGAATGGCATCCCTCTGTTATGAACAGATCAGCTGTCATTTCAAGTATTACAGATTCTATTTCTTGTTCAAGGAAAAGGCTAAAAATAGTATTTCCTTTCTAGATCTTAATCCATCATTTGAGAAAGTTCTATCCAGATTTTCCCACTGGCTATTTTTGGCATCTTGTATACATAAGGCGTTCGATGAACAATTTTGTTGTCCACCACTGCCTAATATTGCGTTCTACCAGTTAAGTTGGAAGTATGTTCGATTCGTGCAATAAACAAAAAGACAGTGCTCTTGATGTTGTTGTCATTTCATGGTCTCGTGTTATATTCATTTTATTTATCGACTGACAAATAAGTACTCTGTGAAGTCTTTTGCTTTTACCAGTTTTGCAGGCTGCTGTATATTCACTTAGCAGAGTTGGAGAATGATGGGCTCCTCACAGATCACTCTTTAGATTCAGGTAATTGATTGATATGCTGTGCAAATATTAGCAGAGCACAAGAGGTCCAAACCAGATCCAGCTCCAAAAAATGTGGATCCTACGTTCCCCATAAAGGAAATCAACTTTTGTGTTAAAGATGTCACTTAAGATATTACTATACATCTCAAGAAATGTGACTAATGCTGGCTTTACAATTCTTTTCTCCTTTGGTTAGGATAGTAATTCATATTTCAGGCCCTTTCTTGATTTGAGATGGTTTGGCTCAAAGGCACAGGTGTAAAGATGATTAATAATGGTTGAATTTAACGTGGCTGTTTCTGGTGCAGCCTTAAAGGGGACCTATCATGCAAAATGCACTTTTGTACGTCTTTTATACATGAATATGTGTCCCCGGTGTTCCAGGGAACTCACCAAGTGTCAGAAAACACAACCCTCTCTATTTTCCTCCATACCCAAATCTCTAAAAAAGGGGCTGCAACAGATCTGATAAAAACTGAACCAGATTTGAACACTGTCCTGACGTCAGGACGGTGGCGCTACGGCTATTGGGCCAACTCCACCAATCAGGAGGAGACAGCCACGGCCATTGCCGTTCGAAAGCGCTGGAGACGCTGTAGTACATATGCCAGGCCTGTAGGTGGTGCTGTTCTCACAGAATCAGCCCTTGCAAAAACAGAGCTAACATTTTTCAAATTGAGCGAAATGAGGCATGGCTAAAATGCATGATCTGTTTGGTATTTTGAAAAAAAAAAAGTATAAATATGCCTTATATAGGTATGGTCCTACACTATATTATTCAAATATAGCATGATAGGTCCACTTTAAGTGGCATCATGTGTGCCATTCCCAAAAGAATAAGTCAAATCTGAAAAAAGGTTGACTATATTTAACAAATGTTGCAAGCAGACACTAGCCTTCACCTCATGGCTGTTTCCATGCAACCTCATAAAGCCTTCTGTCCAATTGTTGATAAGGGGGGTTTTAATACTCCCAGGTACCCAGATAAGTACACTACAGCTGAGCAAATAGTCATTGCAAAATACTAAACATTTTATAACCCTGCCTTTATCTTTATTAAGCACATCAAATCCCTTGATCTATAAACAACATTTTAATTTCTGGGAGCAGTTGATAATTTGATTGTTTCTGCTGAGAAATGACAACATGAAAATGGATCTTTACATAATATTTTTATTCAACAGGCCTCTGAGTGGATATCAAACGCAATACGCATTTGCAATCAAAACATTTTGCCCACACTTTTACCAGTCACACCAAATCTCCATTCTTTATCTGACATGAAAGACGGCCTCATTTCTCATGAACAAAAGCTGACAAACAAAATAGTTAACAGACAAACGGGTGTCTGATCTGTACATCTGATGGTGTATTTTCTAGTTAGAGAACCTGAACTGAGGTGGACAGTAAACGAGTTCTCCAGGCTGGAGTTTAGAACAAAACCAGATCTTTAAAAATATATATATTTCCAGAACACATTTCAGATACCCGTCAAGCTGAAGAGAGCAACACGGCTTCTTTCTCATCACTGACACGCCATACCAACTCTCTCACTCACACCAAATGATAATGTTTTGAAACCAGAAGGATATCATAATTCCATAAGACAGCTTATGAAGTGCGGTACCAAAAAGCACATAATGTAAAAGCCCTTTACAACTTTTCCAAATGAATGAGTCATGTCAAATATCATTATCTCGTAATACAAATGAAACAAATATTTTGGAGTAAGTTGTTTTTGTGTAAAGTGAGCTAGTTTAAATCTCCTAAAGAGGAAGAACAGCTGGGCTTCTATCCTGTTTCAGTCTGTCAGTGTAGCAGGAAGCCTCACACATGGAGGATGTGATATAACTATCAAATACATTCCACCATGACATCTTGCACACATAAATATTAAAAAAAAGGAGGCACTATCATGGGCTTTCAGTATTGGCCTCACTCATGCTAGTGCACACACACAAGCTGATAAGAATCTGCAGGCACAAGAGCCAAGTGTCAGGTGTTTTTACTCCTTGTTTTCCAGGAACTGCTGCAATCGTTTCCGGTGCTCTGCAGACATCTGAACAGCACTGAGGATACAAACAAATATATACATTATGCATTTTTATAGTCACACATTTTTTGTATAATTTGAAGAGAGTCAATTTCAACGACAGGCCTTACCTTAAGTGATTTCCAAAAGTAGTAGTTATCCTGTAGATGGCAGTCTTGAGAGTGGCTCTGAGGGCAAAGCGCAGTGTTTTGTGAGTGGAGTCTCCCAGGCTGCTGGCCGACCGCACGGGCTTACTGGAGGCGTGAGGCAGCTTGAAGTGCCGATCTACTGCCTGGAGACGGGGGGGAAACACACGCAACACAATTCACTCAATTTCCTTGATGTCTCAGCTTTTTGTCAAACAGATAAAAATGGTCTTTTCTATATATCTATGTTGAACTTCTAGAGCGTGAGTAAGTCTCTTCCAGTAGAAGGTTTTCACTTGCAAAGCCAATTCACACTCGGCACAATACAGATGGGCTATTACATTTGATAGCAGTCCCTTTTTTCCCCCATATCTCAGGGTAGTTGCCGCAAACCATAAGACAGCTTACCTCTTGTAAGACGAGCATACACCCGAGAATGCTGGGTAATGCAGTCTGTACGACCCCAAACTGGTCTTCTGAGAAGGAGGCTTGAACAAGGTACGACAGCCCTGGGGGAGGATGTAACAGAATATATTGTACATGGTGTATCAACAGGACATATTGGCTTTAAATGAAAAGTCCACCATCTCTGCCCACCTTCTAAAGCCCAGATGTGAGCCTGGCTGTCTGCAAACAGAGCCTGACTGGAGGCTTCTGGAAGCTGAAAGAGAAAACGTTAACTAGTACAGAGTTTTCTAACGATTCAGACGGAAGCATAGTTACAGTAGACTGATGAATCAGGAACTTGGGTTTAGTGATACTACACTACAAAATGCATGCATGTTCAAAGGAAAATACATACCACTCAGAAAGACACGCAGACTAATCAAACTAGTTTCTAGTTCTACAATAAGGACATCGTGCTATGCCTTAGAACATTTGATTGGTACAAACAACGCGGGAGAGTTGCGAGACACGCATGCTACACAACTCCTGGAATCCAGCTTTTAAAGTAATTAGTAAGGCTCATTGTAACATCTAGGGGGGGATGGAAAAGAGCTACATTAGTAATGTGTGTACAACTACATCCAAACAGTGATACATTAGTGATATCTGCAGGTGGAGGGGGGGGGGGGGGGGGGGGGGGGGGGGTTAGATTTGGTCAAACACGATGAACATCTAAAGATGAGAACATGCAAAGAACCCCTCACCGTGTTCACATGCCACACATCCTTACCTCCTTACCTTGTTAAACAAATACATTATCAGCACGCGCTTTGCCAAGAAATGTTTAACCTGAATGGGACAATTAAGTGTAAAGTTGTTTCGCTTTAAAAACAACACAACAAAATGAAACACACGTAGCAATAATGGCGTTTCACACTTAACCCTGGGCTAAGAAAACCCTGATCAACTCTGTACTCCACCAGAAGGTGACTTTATGAAGCAGAAGTAACCATCAGAAAAGGAAATCAATAGCCAGGCTACAGATAGGACACATGTTCCTAACATTTGTGGCACTCCTCCTGATTCATCTCTCCAGTGGCAGCACAGAAATGATTGGTGTGATTGAGCTGTGAAAAAAAAAAGTGGCGCAAATAGTGCTATGTCCATTTTCTCACCTACGCCTTCCTGGCCCATCACGGCTTAAAGGATTTTTGGCTTTGGAAATTCATGAAAATCAGCCGAGAGAGAGAGACCCCTCTGTGGGATTACTTTTGTTAGCCCAGGGTTAATAAATGTGTGAAAGCCTTTGTCAACACTGTATAAACATAATTATATTGATACTGTCATTCTGTATTGACAAGACTGAAATACCTGTTCTTTTCTGTTTTGGAGGAACTGAGCCAGGAGACTTGGTTTGGACGGTTCCTGTTTGGGACTGGGAACTGAGGCAGGGGATGCTGGGGGACTTCCATTGACTTGTGAATCTGGACAGAGATACTAAATCACAAATGGGGAACCAGCAGTAAAACCTCGACTTGCAGATATCTATTTTTATTTTAATACTACTTAAAGGTAGGGTAGGTAAGTTTGAGAAACCGGCTCGAGATCGCTAGAATTTGAAAATACACAACCGGAGAAAATCTGCCACTTCCTTACAGAGCCCCTCCTCCAACACACACGAACGCGCACATGACCAATGAGGGCACGAGATAAGTTTGTGCACAGATGGAAGGCTGACAGGCAGGTAGGCCATCCAGTTATTTTAGCCGGGCCGGCTCAGATGATTGGTCGTACTTTTTACAGTATTACGGCTTCCACAGATGACATTTTTTTATGGATTTTTTGTCAAAGCACTTAAGATATTCATTGCTATCGGGATGTTAAGAGCATTCCATGGAATATAACAAAAAGTGTATCTCGAGCCGGTTTCTCAAACTTACCTACCCTACCTTTAACCTATGTAATTATACCCTGACGCACTTAAAAGTCGAGATAATGTCACACCTAAAGCATCAAAACCTCTGGCAATATTATGAATGTACTCAAAATACTACCATTAGTTTCAGAGCTATGAACCACAGTTTGAACATGTAAATACTGGATCAAAGTGTTTCGTCCGAGTGACCTCCTCTCACCTGTGGGGGTGGACCAGAGTTTTGGGACTCTCCTCATGATGTGGGGGCTCTGCACTGTGCCGAACCACGGGGAACACGGGTCCGCAGGAGCAGTCAGACGCCGCAGAGCGGGAGAAGCAAAAGGGCTGTTCAGGTCAGGACTAGTGAAGGGCGCTGTCAGAGGGCTCTGTGAGCTGCCTACAATGGAGCGAGCAAACACCGACGCTGGGGTTTTCATCAGAAACGTGGGCCTCGGGCTCATCAGATCTTCTGTACCTGAGGTTAATTTGATTAAGCAAAATGGGACAAAATGTAAGATTCAAAAGGTTTATCTTATATGCACAATAGCTAGGGAGGAGTTTTGGCAAAGACAATCTCAAAGGATAAAGAGCAGAGGTAAAAAAACAATGACATTTCTATATGTTTTATAATAACATACTTGATGTCTCAGATGAAGTCTTCCTCTCACTCCCAGTAGAAAGGGATTTGGCCCGGCCATTGGTTGCTACAGTGTCATGATAGGCTATGAGTCTCTGGGTCAGATCATTCAGAAGAGACAGACACTCCTTACTGATGGCGTTCCAGTTATGAGGATGGCCACCTGTTGAGACAAGAATGAAAAGATAAATACATTTTTCTACTTTAAATACAATCAGAAGTGTGTCAAGAAGTATGTTACAAAAGGTCAATCAAAAGCAGTCGAAGAAAGGACCTCTCGTGGACAAACCTGGCTGACTCAGACTGAAGACCTCCGAGCGTCTCAATGGAGAGTGTTGAGAGAGCAGAGCAAGGTCCTGCAGAGCTAGAAACTGAAATGTGGAGAAAAGAATAGTTACAATAACCAAATGCAAAAATTAGAAGCAGAGAAGAGAGTTACCATGTGTTTTATTTACCTTTAATACCATGGGCTGCTTGCCGGTAATAACTTTAGGAAGACACTGATGGGCATCCTCGGTAAAAGAAGACTGCACAGGAAAACTGTACACCTGCAGATAACAGGAAATATATTATTAGTTTCAAGCTACTAAATGCAAGTTTAATTGATCACTTGAGATGAATCCTGGGAAGTTCATGAATATTATAAACAAGTTAGGCCTAGTGCACTTCAGACACTTGAGCACTCAAAGCTATGACAACATTGCCCCCTAGTGTCCCTAAATTATTTAAAAAGCGAACTGAAGTCGTCCCTGCAACACAACACTTTACTTTTAAGCAAATAGCAATCACAGATTGGCAGTAAGATGTGGTTATCAGAACTTGGCCGAGTCAATGGTCACAGACGGCTGGCACTGATGTTAATCTTTAACCTTTGAATGAGCTTGAGACAGGTAAATAATATATAATCGGAAGGAAAGTTACATGGTATAGAAGAGAAACAGAATGGAAAAATACATATACGTTTGTAAATTAAACTTCAACCACAATGCGAGACCTTTGCTTTTGAAATATTAGCCGTTGTATACATGTTGTCTTCTATGGACATACATACCTCAGTGACAAAGATCCTAAAGAGCAGCAGGGTGACGTGCCATGTGAGGAGGAGGAAGCCGGCACTGACCCACAGCTGGTACAGCAGGTTGAGGTCCAGCAGTCCAGCTATGCTGTCAAGAGGGTGGACAGAGCTGGGGATCACAGAAAGACATTAATGGAGTCCAAGAAACAGCACTGAGTGGCTGCATGTATTATTGTTTGAACAGATTGTAAAGACTTGATAACACAGAAGCCACACTGACCTGTTCAAATGCAGATTCAGTGTTTTACAAATCCATGCTTTTGGAATGTATCCTGTTAATAAGAAAATAGATATTTTGTTAAATACGAAGACCAGGTACAATAATTGAACAATAACTAATAGCATGCGTATGAACAAAAACTATATGAGATAACATCATTCAAGCCTCTCCTAGCAGTTCATTCTAGGAGCAGGAGTATTAGTGAAATGATAAATGTAAACAGAAATGACTTACCCAAAAAGAAATACACAACAATGTAGTTCCTGACAGAGTAAAGGGCCTGAGTGGCGCTGCACTTCACCAACGAAGGTAGGGATCCCTTAAAGCGAAGGTATTTGTATTGCTGGAGGGAATAATAGTGGGTTAACATTAACAGTGGATGATAACAGAATGTAAGACTAATTCAATCTTAGGTATTTCATCTTGCCTAATGATCATTAGGGAGATAAATGAGTCGCATCACATACCTGAACAGTGAGAAAAGGGACATAGTTCATGTTGTAGATCACACCCAGCATACTGTGAGATAGTCCAACAAAGGCTCCAGCCAGCAGAAGGATGAAGTGATGCTCGTTCAGACACATCTGATGGGAACTGTCGACACTGAAAACAAATGGAGGAAATTAGACTATGGATGAAGCATGTATAGTCAACATGATAGTTATGTTGTGCTGCTTACCCATCATCCGGTGTGCAGGGGTAGGCGATCGTTTCATATCTGCCCCCGATGGCGATGGCACAACACCAAGCCACGATTATTCCCATGATGCAGTGTGCCAGGGAGTTGACGAACTGACGAGGGTGGAGCAGCTGACCCAACAGGGCGATTTTCGAGCATGCAATCGTTGGGATGACTGAAAAGAAACAACAGGTTTACAACCGAAGAATATCATATGCTAGATGTCAATTCTTGGGCTGTCAAACCTGACAATGTTCTCAACACCATTTTATTAAAAAAAAGGTATGTATATTTAGAATCATTGACAAGGAGTGCACATTTTGGAATTATTCTTTATACTGATTGATGTATGTTATACTGTGTGTTAAGCAGTGTGAAAAGTATTACATATATTAAAAAATGTCCAGAAAAGGTGAGGTGTTTCTTTAAATGCATTCATCACTCTACAATGAACAACCTGATAAGGAAATTATGTATCAAATGATGTTATTCCAATTATTTCATTTGCAGATACAATTATTTACTTTCACAGTGAGCTGTCACTTCTGATTTATGAACCCTACAGTCTGTATTGTATACAGCAAAGGCTCATGTAATGTATCTATGTTCTGCTAAGCCAAAAGCCTAAACTATCAAGGCACCTCCTTTGAGACAAAGCCATTTACTATTTAACAAAAACAACAACACAGGAATATTTCAGAATGACATCATGTCTCTCACCTGTATAATATTCCAGGTTGAGGAACCCCACCATGATGATGACTCCACACAGCAGGATGAAGGAGAAGATGGCACTTGCACTCGTTAAGAAGGACAGACATTCTGCATGTAAAAAAACAAGTCTACAGTGAGCTTCAGACAACTTCAGATAGTCATGAGTCTCATATCACAATGACCACTGACCTGATACTGTCTGGATGGGGTGAAGCAGACTGAACCTGCTGAGGAGCACAAACACTGCTGTGATGGAGGGCAACAACAGGACAGCCCAAGCGATACTCGCCACAGCTCTCCAGCAAATCACCTGTAGAAAACAGCCAGTCATTATTAAATACATAACAAACACAATGTTAACTCACATTGACAGTTTGAAAACTTCGAGATGATGAATATTGTTGTTAATATTTCTGACATGCTTACCGATTCATTCGTAAGTAATAGTTATGATCATTTTTGTTTTCCTGTGGTATGAACTTCTTTGAGTTTGTACATACATTTTGAAACAAAAGACATCCGTATCTGGAAAATTCTATAAAAATATATTTTAAGTTGAAATATTCTCATGTTGAGATAGTCATATAAAACACGTTAAATTAATTAAACAATTGCATTTTTCACTTTTTAGATATTTTTGTTTTAATCATAGCGCTGTTTACAAGTGTGCAAGAGGACTAACAAACTCTCTCTTTAAATAATTCCTGCTGAATTTGGCTCACTTCTCAAAGTCATTTAAACTCATCTCGTTAAAAAAACGTAACTTTAGACTGAAATGTGTTGATGTATTTGTATTATAATTGTCAAACGTGTGCTACCTAGCCTTTATTTCAAAACAAAGCTTTTTCGCTCTTGATAATCCTATGAACTTTTTTCAAATTACTCCGGTTTCTTGTATGGTATATGCTTTTAAACTGTGCCACTTTTCTTAATATTTGTGTAACCTTTGTGCTTTTGTGTGGATTAATGGAAGCTGAATGTTAGCTACAGCCACAGCTAGCATAAACAGAGAGGCTAACGGTAATGTATTAACGCAAACTCACGCGAAACATTTTCCCATTTTTACTTAAGTTAAAGACTCACCTTGCGGACAAACCAACAGCTTTGCTCAGCAGAAAACATGTTGCTTGGATAAATAGAGAGCCAAATGGTGATAATAATCTCTTCGGCTCTCCTGCTGTCAAACTATTTTCCACTGTTTCCCATATCGCGCCACATGCATTCAAAGGACCCTGAAGGACCCCGTTAAGAGTTGTCCGTGTACCTGCCTGTTGCTAGCCAGACGATTGTAGTATAATGAGCTTGTTCGACAATAACATATTTTTAAATTCGGCCAGTCGGTCCAACTCAAGCTAGGTTAAAAAGTACAAGCTAACAAAGTATAGCTTTTAAAGACTGTTATAGGTAAATGTTGACTGAAACAGAGTGATACAAATTCTGAAATAACTACATTGTCACAGAATTAAATGACAGAAGGCATCAAAACAAGCCAGAAATCAGCTTTACATTATTTTATATTGCATATGTTTTACTTGTTTGTTTGATATTTACAGATATATCACACACTAATAATTATCTGCTTTATCTCGCTCTACTTTCTCACTGCAGTCTGTCACAGAGTTAAGTTAATTCTTAATTCCATTGGTTTCGTCGTGCATGAAAGATGTCTTTTCATGATGAAAGTCATTTCCATAAGTTGGGAAACTGTGTTTATCCAAAACTGTCTTTTTGTCATGGTCCAGGGAGAATTGCTTGATCTCAAATGCATTGACTGGGAGCTTTTGCGATGAATTGATAGACATCTCAGTTTGAATGGCTTTATGAACAAATGGTTTCTGTGCAGGTTTCTGGATAATTGCTGGGAGGGCGGCGGGTTGATCCCTCTGGACCTTCTTGTCTTCCCACAATTTCAGCAGGCGGCGTTGATTATTTGTCATATCCTTGAGATTTTGCTGCAATGACTGCACTTGATCCTCTAAAAGTGTTTTAGATGTGACTGTGTTTGCCAACTCAGAGGTCAAATCATCAATGGTCAGACTCAGTTTGGCAGCCTTCTCCACAAGGGAAATGCACTCACGGTCCTTATCTTGCATGTCATTGATTATGTCCTTTGTGGTCTTTCCAGTGAATTTAGGGTTGCACTCAAGTCCAATCTCAGTGCGAAGACCCTTCACTTGTTTCCTCAGCTCCTTGTTTTCAACCACCAAGGTCTTCAGCTTCTGTTTCTGAGCATCAGTTGAACGCATCCTGGACTCATACTGTCTCAGTTTCTCTCTGAGAACACCTTCTCTGTGCATGGCATCATCTCTTTCGTTTCTGCATTTCTCCAAAAGTCTTAATGTCTCAAATTTGGACACTTTTTCACCTTTCCCTTGTGAAGTGGCCATCTTGTGGCAAATTCTCCAAATCAGAAAAAAGAAAATGAAAATGGCAATTGCTTCAAACTAATGTTATAACGCACAAGCTTTTCCAATAGTTCTTGCACATTATGTTGGTAAATCCACTTCGCAAGCTGGAGCAGCTACATAGATGAGGCAGGTAACATTCCTCTAAGAGGGTTGTCTGTTTGACAGGCACCTCCTGTGTAACTCAAAGCTGGGGCTAGAATGACCATTAATTAGGGCGCCACCATCCATTGACACAGTTTCAAGTGACAAAATGTTTTTCCTAATTTGTTGATTAATCAGCTAACGTTGCCCCTGTTAATTAATGGAAATCATAAACTTAACAGAGTTCCCCCCTGCGTGCAATGTATTAGCCAACACTGTGTGCTTGTACACAGGATTTACATACATAAGTAACATTTTTCCACTGTGTGCATCCAAACAGTGACACAGTAGATCCTATCAGACAGGACAGTTAAGATGGATGAGTTGGAAAACAGTAACAGCAGCCAAATGTCCACTTTTAAAGTGAACGCTCTTTTTGAGATGTTGAAGTTATATCAATTAGGTACAATCTATCCCTTAAATATTTAAAATGTCCAACTGTTGAAATGTACTGGCAGCTTTTACCGCTGTCAGGAGCGGGTAGAAGTGGAACACGTTGTCTAGACGTGTCTGAGCTTCGGTGAGTTTTCATACATATAAACTTATATAAAATAAGGTGAACAAAAGTTGTGAACTAACATTTTATGCATTTATATATTGCAACTGTTCAGGTTCACAAGAGGAGTTTTGAAGTAGACAAAGATGGCAAATATTACATTCACATCTTTATGAAAAATAGTTAGTGTGTTAGATTGCCTTAAAACAATTGAATATCTAATGTTGTTTATTGTACGTTTCCCACATTTTAAAAGTTTGGTTAATAGTAGTATGTATTTTAATGTGAGTGAAAACAGTTTGCAAATAATCGGTTCATTTGCGATTGAAAATTCACTAAATAATGTAAATGTAAATAATTTTGTCCAATACCTTTATTATTGATGATTTTATCAAAAACGTGGGTCCCACAAAGAACATATTTTATTTGTTTACCCATGAAACACTCATTGCAAATGAACATATTCAATGTTATACATTTTATGAAATGCAGTTATTCAAAGTAAAAACAAATTATTTAAAAAAGTTACACAATTGTAACAGCCTTGGACATTTAGAATGGGTCTTTGGCATTAGTTTGCGGCACTTATGGTTATATCAGTGAAAAGATGATACAAAAATTGTTCATAATAAGTCCAAGTCTTGAATTTCTTACTAACACCTGTTATTATTATGCTGTGAATAAAGAATCTTCATAACACAAAATTAACTAGCCAGTTACCATTAACTGAGTATAAAAAATGTATATACACAAAATCACTTTGATGTCACCAACATTACTGCATAGACTAGTTATTTAAGTACTTTGAAAAAAGGACTATAAAGCGGAAAACTGCCATACTGCAAGAGATCATATATGTGCTGAGTAACACCATACCCCATGTATCTTTAAGGAAGCTTAGAACCCATCCCATTATAAATAACATACTTAGTACCAGTGTTAATTTCCTGAGGTTATTCAATTGAAACAAGCATTGACACTGGGGTTTTAGGTCTTGGGCCAGAATGTCCGAGTGCAGGTGAAATCCAACCGACCCATTACTTCATCACTGCAGCAACCCGATTCTCTCTAATAAGGCAACAGGAGAACCTGCAATTTAAAAAACAAATAACACTTGGTTTGAAAAGGAGGAATCATGTAAAGGAAGTCCGGTGTCGGATGTGCTGCAGGTTAGAAAAAAAAAACACTTGAGAAAAAAACACTAATATAAGCCAACAGTGTAGTGCAGCTACTGCCATAGGAGGACATTTTGTATGCCATTGCATGTGAATAAAATAAAGTCCATGAAAAGTACAAGGATGAGGAAGATGACACACACCTATCAGGTTATTAGTGTATGTACAAAAGGATCATGGCTTAAAAGGCTTGTGTGTCACTATTGTTTACCTTTAGACAATGAAAGGCTTCATGTCGCAGACGGTGCCTTGGTCAACTCCAGTGCAGCAGAAGGTGCAGGTGATAGTGCTGCTTCTGGTTTGCTAAAGAAATAGGCCTGGAAAAGCAAACAAGGATAGGAGTCAAACAAGTGTAAAACAATCCGGCATTTACAATATCAAGAGAAACTACTAATCAATCAAAATAAAAGCCGGTGTCTTTAAGTAAGTGTGTTGCAAATGTTCAGTGTTCCAAGAGAGAACGCGGCCTTATTGCAATCCATTCATCTTTGTCAACCTTCAGACACAAGCTTACTTTGTAGACTAATTACATAGACCAGACGTATGATACCTCTGTGCAGCTGACAGTATTACACTAATAGCCCATTCTCACACCAGTTAGCCAATGCAGTCACAGTTTCCTATTGAGAGTCTCCTCAGTGGGAGTGAACTTAACACTATCAGGTATAGTCATTTCCCAGAAACACACAAGGAGGATATACAAAATGCTATCCATGTAGTATAGTGTAGTGTCTGTGTTTGACATTGACAAGAGGGGTCAAAGCTTGGCCACGCTACTGAGTTCATTGAGGACAAATGAGAGAGTCTCTCATTGCCTCAATATACAAGGAGATGGACAAGCAGCTTGAATTGAATGGATTAATAAATAAGTGTTTTGCCAAAGAAGGATATTAAATGTTGTATCTTATTTCCCTGAACAGTTTTATTTTCCATTGCTCCCAAGTTTGTAATAAATCCTAACAGTAAACTGATGTAAAAGCAGCTTCAAAGCTATAGCAAGAGCAATTACCTTACAGCCTACAGCGAGCAGGACGTTGAGCAGAACAATGGCCGACATTATTGCTGCAATAACTTTGGGGTGGTCTTCCCTGACTGCAGGCCAGAAAGTCATCACCAGAACGGAGCCAGAGAGGCAGAGAGCCACCACGATGGAGCACCACCTCAGCCATTCAAATGGGATAATCCATAAGACCTAGTATGGGAAAGAACAGTGCATTGTTTAATATTCATCTCCATTACAAGACACATTCAAGGCTCTGAATATATTCATGATACAGGGAAAAGTAGCATTAATCATCAAAACGTTTTTCATTAGATGTAATCATTCAATTGACAATATTACACTTGTTCTTATGAGATAAAATAAATCAGGTCTTACCACTGCTGGTATGTATATTGCAAGGGAATATCCATATACACAGACGATCTCCATAAAGGAATATGACACTAAGTTCATGATCTTGTTGTTTCTCCAGAGCAGGCAACCCCAGAGGGCAAGGGGTACAAACCAAGCATAGCTGAAGATCGCTGTTGCAGCTATTGTCACTGGAAAACACATCAAATACAAACAAATTAATAAGTAAAATGTTCAGTTCCATCTTACCTTCAAACTGAGAATGTTGAGCCATAATATTAAAAAATAACAGCACTTACCTTTTCCAAACTGTGGGCTATACTTATGGTCTGGTTTGCCTAAATTCAGCAGGAAGTTGGAAAAGTTTCCACTAATGGCTAGAGCAAACACAAGGGTGGTGCAAATCCAGAATGGTCCTGAAAGCACAAATATCAGGCATCAGAAACTCTGTTTGTGTGCCCATTTGGTGGTACAACAATTAAGTACAGCATTACATCAACAGTACAAACAGGGAAACTTCTCTTCTTTTCCAAATTAGAAGAAGCCGGACAACCTCTAATAATTAGGACTTGAATGTTAAACTGTTTAAGTGCTAACCATAAAGATCAGGTTTTCTACGAAGGTGGACATGAATGAAGTTCTTTCCAGGCCATGGCAGCATGGATCCAATGATTCTTTCCTTCACCTGAAACAAATGTTAATAACCATTACACATGTAATCAAATCTATTAATGTTCTGAACTCCATATTATAAGACAACATATCACAGTGTTAAAACAAGTTATGAATGCATTACGTGATGGGTCTCGATGTCAAAAAATCTTTGGTAGTACTCAAAAGTCCAGAAGGGGGCACTTTTCTTTTGCCCAGAGAGGAGCTTTAATACAAAAAATAGAGAAGGGCAACATTAATCAAATACGTTTTTGATGCAACAACATTGAATAGTTCATAGTTCAAAAAGTAAGAAATACGTTTTAAAAAAGTGTTATTGTTGTGCAGACCTCTGTCTTGTCATCACTGGCATGTGGGTCCTCGTCATTAACATCCGGAGTGAAACCAGCAGCATTTCTCTGCTTCTCTGGTATGTCATCATCTTCAATGCTGATAGTGGTTGCATCTCTATTGGCTTCCAGCAGATTGCCAGCTTCTTCAAATTCTAATTTCATAGCAAGGATAAATGGAAAATATGAATCCAAAAAAAGTGGATGTTGCTACCGATGCATAACAATGCAGCAGTTTAGAGAGATGTGGGTTTACAAGTGCCATAGAGACTTTGAAAGAGCCGAGTAAACTGTCTAACATCATCATTGAGTAAACTTCATTTCCATATCACATAAAGCAGACGTGTCAAACTCAAGGCCCGCGGGCCAAATGTGGCCCGCCACGTCATTTTATGTGGCCCGCGAGAGCTCGCAAAGAATATAAACAGTTTATTATACGGTTACATGCCGTTTAAGCACGTTGCCCATAAACTGCATGTCCCAAAATGCATTTCGTTTTGTGACGTGCGCACTGAAGCGACTTCCTATCAGCAGCGGCACTCTGAGGCGGTGAGTGACCAGTGTGTGACTGTGAGTGACACAGAGTTGAAGGAACATAATTTACAGCGGCACAGAGACACCAAACACGGAGCAAAGTCTGCTTCAGCAACCGAGACAAGCAACTCCAGTCCCAGAACAAACAGACAGAATGACCCGCTCTTTAAGAATCAGTCGGTGTTGCTGCGGCTCAGAGACACACATGGATTTATTATGTTTTAGAAAAACTCGCATTACGGTTATTTCCGGTTTCTGGTTGATTAAAATATATGAGGTCTTGGCTTGCAGAGTATGAACGTCTTTTTGCTATATTCAGACGATAAATACTTATAAATACTTGTGTAAAGTTTGTAAAGGAAGGAGGAAAACTTCCGCGATCCCTGTCCCCTCTCACTCTGTTCCTCCTCAACACGCCGCCGCCCCCACTCACTGCTTACTGAAATAGTGAGTGACAGGTGATAGTAACACAGCAGGATCTGGGACAGGGGGTTCTCAAAGTCTTGGCTTTCAGACTATTAAAATATTATTGCTGAATTCAAATGAAATATAGCCTACTTAAATAATGCTTGATATACAAAAGAAAAATACTTTATTATTCACAAAAAATAGATTTCACAAACATTGTATCTCTTTTTGATAAGATATGATGAGGCTAACTAAATTTCATAAATTCATGGGATTTATGTAACAGTAAGAGAGTGAAATGTTAGTCTGAGCCCACATACAGTATTTTTGTGTCTACGTGCACAATACATTAATGCACAACCATGTGCTTTCAGACGTAGTTATTGCCAAAACCAATAATACTCCAATGCAGAGGCAATATTGTTATACAGTATAAAACATTATTTTGATATTTATATATGTATATTTATATAGTGTTAAAATTACAACCGGCCCTTTGAGGGCAACCATAATGCTGATGTGGCCCGCGATGAAATTGAGTTTGACACCCCTGACATAAAGGATGGTGGAGGACACTTACCTTGAAATTGGAAAGGATCATTAGTCGACGCCATTTACACGGATTCACTGTCCGTGACGTGGAGCGTCTAACAGGAACTTATCGGCAAGTTTATGTTTCACAAAGACGATCAAAAGTAATCTTAGCAAGCTGTTGGATAAAGAAACAACATTTGAAATAGCTTAACCCCACGTTTACCGTGTCTGAATGATGGTTAAAAATGGTGTACTCTATGAGCAACACAGTGAAAAAGAAACAAAGTTATAAGTTAGCTCAAGTTAGCTACCAACTCCAAGTCCTCACTTGACAGCTCACCAATAATTACATTAGCTAACTTAATAACATCATTTTCAGACTGGGTAAACATATCAAGACAGCCTCTGTTTTATTAACAAATATAGTGCACAGTATCAGTTATTTTCTGAACAATTAATGCTTACCAAAGTATCTATTAGCACCTCTAAAAATCATTTAATTTCTCTCAGCTAGGTTAGCGTTGGCCGGAACCGGATATACTGGGCATGTAAACAAGCCTTCTTCCTGTATCGAAACCTTTTCAAAGTAAGATATTGAACCTTTTGAATTTAAAATATAATTAACTGTTACATGATTGGTTGCATAAAATATTTGTATAAGTTAATATATGCAAGATATCTGCTATCTATTTTGATTTTTTGGGGATCTTGAAATAAGTTTATATTAGCATTGGGCTTTTATTTTGAAGTTATCAAGCAAAGACCACCACCACCAACTGTGTGAACTTGCACGGTAGGCTACAATGAGGAACTCGAAGTACTTTACTCTGATACAAGCATAAGTTGTAAATAACTTGTCTTTATAAGCCAAATAAGATGAGAAAAGAAAGCAGATAATAGAAGACACTCACATAGGAATTGTGGGTCCTTTTTGGTCATGGTTTTAGCTCATTCAACGACCATGGATTAGCTCACAAGTGAGGTAGCCTACTTTTGTTTTTTTTAATGCTTAAGTTGTTTTTGAACGCAACTTGGAAGCTGACTTTTGTGCATCTGTTAAGAGTGTCCTTCTTACAGGAAAAGAAAAATACGTTAAGATGGAAAATAGCGCCATTTATGTCCGAGAAAGAGGAAACCTTCGTCGTGTCAGTGACATAGTCCTGGCCCAGCCAAAGCCTGTGTCATCATGCAGAAGGACAAATCCCTTTGTGCTGAGAAAAGAGAACTTTATATTCACCTACAATGCAGAGGGAAGTCTGAGATACACAACCAAATCTCTCTTTGACATCACTCTGTTATTCGTAGCTGACAACATTCACCATGTGGACTCTCTGGTGGGCTTCCCTGATCAAATAGGAGACAGACTGTTTGCAGCAGCAGAGGAGAATCGTGTATTTTTAAACGCAGACATTTCCTCAAAAGCCCTGCAGTTATTCAGTGACGCTTATGGGGAGATGGTGCTTGGATCCCTCTGTCTGAGAAATAGGTCAGTTATCATGCCAACATATATCCAGCCTCACAGTTTGATGTGCCCGAGACAGAAACAGCATGTTATGTCATTTTCATTTCTACAGATTTCCACTCTTGCATGAGAGGATGGATGAAATAAAAACATTTCATAGTCTGAAGTGTCTGGATCTGTTTGGCTGCAGACTGGGTGATGATCATGAGATATTCCAGCATTTAACATCATCAAGCTCATTGGCAAGGTAATACTTGATTTGTCAGTCCCAAAGATATGATGTGGAAAATATATGAAGCTATGTTACTAACAATTCTGCCTTTCATTTCCAGCAGCCTAATGCAGCTTTCCATTGGTGGTAACAGGCTGTCAGACGTGGGCCTCCAAAGATTTACTGCACCTATTCGGATGCAGAGGAAAGGACTGGACTGTCTTCAGTTACTTGACGTTTCCTGTTAGTAACCAAACTATTTTCCCATTTTAGTGCAGATACTACCACCTCCACAATTAAAACGGGTTCATATTCATCATTACCTGTTTAATAATTATTATGTTTCATGCACAGATAACCCTATATCAGTCAGGGCTTTGAGATACATCACATGCTTCCCCAAACTTGAAAATCTTGATGTATCTGGGACCAGTTTGAAGGTACGACACTAACTACTGTGCATTACATTTGGCTGCAAATTATTGTGATGCTGACATCTAAATGTAATTTATACTTCTAGCTTGGCACAGGATTGAAGACCACCATATGGGACCTGTTGGGGCTCATTTATTCTGAGAAATCACTAGACAGCTTTGATCACTCGAGATGTAAAACAGAAGGCTGGGCAGAGCAGGTAAATATATTCAGACAATGATTAAAGGAAACACGTTTCTGTAATGTAAGCACTGTTCTTCAAATAAAGACTAAATGTTGCAATTTAGTGCTGGTTCACATCTCATGAATAAATGCATTGTTTCCTTTCCAGGTGGTAAACCAGTGGGAAACAAATAACTCACAAATGCCAACACTGAAGAAAATTGATGAATCCAGAACATCAGCACTTCACTTTTGTAAGTTTATTTTACCTTAAATTCCCATTGTAATACTTTTTAGAATTAATGATGATGACACAGTGTCTAAGACAGACTTTACAGTGTTTGTTTTTGTTGTAGTTGGCAGGCAGAAGTTTGTCAGAGACGTACTGAATGCAGCACCCTTGGTATGCGAGAGCGAGGAAGAGGCCCAGAGAGAGAGACTGCATTTCTTCCGACCTGCAGCAAACAGTCACATACCTGAGAAACAGACTCCTTCCACAACAAATCAACAAGGCAAACCTTCCTGGCTCAAAAAAAGGCAGCGTCAGTCAGAGAGGTGTGACAGTTCACGTCAAAGTCCTCCAACCAAACGTCTTCCCTCATCAGCTCTTACTGCAGAGGACCTTGACTTGTTGAACAAATACTGAACTATTCGCCCTTGTAGCATGCCACAAAGAGCAGAGAGCAGCTTTGGTATGCAGGTTAACTGGTAACACATAAGTGCAAATTACAATAATGTTTTTCAAGATGATTCAAACTGATGAACCGTCTTGGATACAGGTGGTGTTGTGTATATATATTTTTATAAATAAAGTTTAGTATTTTGTACGTCTCCATGTCCTTGCCTTTCATTTTGCTGTTTGGAAACGGTCTAGATTATTTTTGAACAGTGCACATAATACAAAATATGGCAATTTTTTTGCCTATTGCATCAATACTTAATTACTAACAGGGCAAGGTGGAATATTGCAGTGAAACAGCTCCATGCTAACAGTGTTTGAAATTGATTATAATATTTAAACAGAATTTGCTTAGGAATACGCAGCACTGGTGTCAACAGCAGCGGCTAGACCTCTGGACTGGAGGGCTGTGACTAACATGGTTTTATGCTACAACCAAATATTTTTTTAATTTCCAAACTTATATTCCTCAGCCCAAATTGATGCAAGCAACACCACTTTAGGCAATTTATCACACTTTGCTAAGCTCCTTAAGCCACAAAACGCTTTATACATCATCTTTTTTCACATATGCAAGACCTGTAAACAGACTTTGATGTATTAAATCGGTGCAGTTCCGCTGTAAATCAAATTACCACACAGTAAACCTGGAGGCTAGGTAGTATTCCAACACAGAAACACAGTATGCAGCACAGAGCTGGAAAAAGAGGGTTACTAGGGGGTCTAGCGGATCATTTGTGTGTGTGCTGGCCACCCAGCAGGTTAATTCAGCCATGAATAACATATTTTATGTATTGTGTAACTGCTGTGTCTTTGAAATGCCACCATAGAGCAGTCCTCACACTCTTTTATGCCATATTTAAGATATTTACACTAATATAGCAAACAATGAAAATGGCTACGTAAACTCGCTGTTGATTTAAAAAAATGTAAGATTGTACCTTAAATTATAATTCCAGTGCAAGGGTAAACGTGTTATGATTCATAACAGCACACAAGCCCCAAGGCAGTTGACTTGTCACTACACAGGAAACTAGTGCTATTCTCAGACTAAATTACTAAGTGTAATGCTTTTAATTGGAAGCAGTCACTAGAGCTTTAAATGTGCTGCAGATCATGCTCAAATGTTAGCAGCATGTTCACTGTAATCATAGAGGCTGGAGATCCAAAGATGACATTTACAGCAGTGTTACTTGATCAAGAAATATGGTATCATACTGAAGTTTAGTTTGACTTTTTAAGGACATTTTTCAGATTTAAAACAAGGAGTATTTTAGGAATGTATCCCCTTGAAATGTATGACGTTGGTTACTTCTACAGCTACATTGTTTTGTTCAAAATGTGTTTACCAATTGAGTCCAATTCCAAAGCTAGAGTATACAATGATTGAGAAAAGTCACACCCATGTCAATTATGTCAATCCATTGTATTTAATTCTGATCCATCATTAAAAGAACAGACAACAGTAAAGCAGGAAAGACATACTGTGTGTACCGTCACTATTAGTTAAGATAAAGAGCATACCAGTTTATTGTAAAATTCAATATCATCTGTAAATCATGGCAGTAAAAACATGAACAAACAGGGAAAGTCTGCAATATTAGCACAATCTTACTTAAAAGTTGAGGGTATGGGTTTAAACCTGTATCACTTCAAGTCACAAATAGTTCATTTCAACATTTTTCAAGAAAACAAGCACACCAACACCACCAGCTAACGCACACATTGAATTTAAAGAAAACTTCCAAAACATTTTACTGCTGCCATCACTATATCATAATGCCTCAATTATACCAATATACAGAAAAAAACCTTTATCAATCTAATTTAGAAAGCATTAATAAAGGAGACATATCAGTAATGCAGTTACTCCTGTTTAGACCAAAGGAAGCACGTGTCTTGTGCCAGAGGATAAAAATCAACTAAAGATTATTCATTAAAAGAGGAAATTGCTTCTTTGCTACAGCTTTGGCTTCTAGATGTCGGACTGGCCCAGGTTGACTTTGGAAGGGAGGGGCCCGGCTTCTTCCTCAGAGCCTTTGGAGGTAATGATCAGCAGGGAGGAGGCTGGATATGGAGTCAGCTTCTTTTCACTTAAATACTCCCTGTCACCATAGATGCTCAATTTCTAAAAGGAAGAATAAAGAAATTATTGGAATGTAGTTTAAATATAAACAGTACTCAGAAGTAAATGTAATCACAACCTTGAAAATAACTACACTCAACTTTATTATGAAGCAAGATGTTACGTAAGGAATCAATTAAGAATCAAGATCTGCATTTACCAGATCCCGTTTCACTCAATAGAATCATAATTATCATTTTGAGAAATACACTCATTAACTTTAATGCTGCGAACCAGATGAGGAGACCAATGCTACCTTCACACCTGTACTGTTAACATGAAGCTTAATTCAGCACAAAGACTGGAAACAGTTCGCTTTGATCTATCCGAAGGTTCAAAATGTGCATCACCTCAAAAGCTCACATGTTAAATCTTGTTTATTTAATCCATACAAAAACAGAAGGGTTACTAAGATACAGATGCTAGGCAACCAGATTTTACATCTCAGTTTTTGTACAGATTTAACAAACATTATATGCGTTAATACCTTTTGAAGCTAACTAGTTGTTTGCCCCAGCCACATATTTACACTACAGATATACAAAAAGGTATTAATCACCTCATCTACATTTCAGCAAGAAAATTAGGATAAGACACGTCTAAAAATTTGATTTAAAGTAACCCGAGAGCCAACACAAAAAATTAAAAAAAGCACAGAACTTACCTCAGCAGGTACATACTGGTCCACAGCAGTAGCCACGGTGGCGCAGCAGATCCAGATCAGGACCAGCACGGACAGGATCAGGGTTGTGGTTAGGATCCACCCTGGTAGCCAAGGGTTCCTGAGGAGGACATAACAAATAGAGAGCTTGTGTGGGCAGCATTGCTAATATCGTGCTTTGCAAAGCAAGTTCAAAAGTGTAACCCCCTTGACAAATAGATAAATGTGTGCTAACCAACCTTGAAAGGCAGCTGAAGAGGTTGTATCCATCATCGTAGCTGCGGTCGCCGGTCATATCTCTGTCCCTCTCCTGGATTAAAGTGCGGTGGTATTCTTTGTAAAATGGGCCCAACCCTGGGACTAGAAAAGGAGAAAAAGAGGTTAAACATTTGCTCCGTATATGAAGATGCAAACTAGTAAAGACTGCCCAAAGATATATACTTTCATTACATTTAATTATTATGTAAAACAGCTGGGCAATGTAGTTTCTAGAAAATGTTACTCAAAACTGAGTCACTAAAGCATTTGGTGGTCTTGTCTGAGCATATATTGTGGCAGGATGATGCATGTGAGAATGGTTAAAAAATAATGTTTTGTGTCAATGTTCAATATTCAATATAACAAACAAACATGTCACTCAGTACAGCTATGTGGCTCTCTATTGCATTTTCTGGGTGATCAGAAGAGTACACTAGGTCAGGTTAAGACTATACTGGCTATACCCAAACACACGTTTATACGTATAATAAAGAAATGCAGAGAATAACGACAACTTCATTCATAAGGTGTATTTTAAGAAAATTAAATAAAAAGGACTTACAGCTCCTCTGCGGCTCTTCTTTAACTTCTTTTTCTACTTCAAACTGGGTGAAAAACTTGAGTTGTGGTTCAGTCTGTTACACAGAATATGTTTAACAGGGTAATTTTTGCAAACAGTATGTTGGATAAGATTGCCTAGTCTGTTATGTTTTCCCTACTCAGTACAATACCTGGAAAATGACAACTTTGCCATCATCAGCCTGGAGGTAGAAAGTCCAGGTGGAGGTGATGAAGCTGTGAGCCTGATTCATTACATCCTCCCAGAATCCTCTGACCAGCGTCAGGGGGTACAGCATGTGGATCCTAGGCATCATGGCCTCCAACTGCAAAGCAAAAACAAGCAATACTGAGTAAACAGTTCTTTATTGAAAGATGTGTACATCCATCCCTACATGCTACTCATTGATTCACACTTGATTGTACCTGCTCATTTCGCTGCTCAGCAAATGGAAGCTGATTCTGACAGCCCAGGTTGCATGCATACTGCTCATCAGAATGAGTGTAGGCTTCACGACAGGCTGTAAAAAAAAGTTTGGATGTAAAGAGAAGTAACAGTTGAAACAGGTTTGACAAAAGGAGTATAATTGGTCTACCTTTTATGTAACTGGGTGTGCCAATACCAGGGTTTATTATGAGGAGGCGCACCTGTTTACAGCTTTACAGTTGGTGATGACTTCAGAATGGTATCATAAAAGGCCTGGACACTTTGCATTGGTGAATAAAATAGGTCGGTAGCTAAATACATAACTTACTTGATTCACACTCGGATTTGGTTTGATTCAGATCATCACTGTCACGGACAAACTGGCAAATTGAGAACAGACGGCAGCCTCTCTGACAGGCATACAGTTCCTCCTCCTAAAAAACAAACCACAGGACCAGTTAAATGGCAACATAAACAACAACCGTGAAATAATATAACGCCATTAACTTTTGCATGAGCTCTCCTTTGCAACATTTAACAAGACAGAAGGCGTTGTGACAAAGTGAGGTTTACACTTCTGCTCAACCAAGTTACCAACGTTAGCTAACACTAGCAGACATTACTTTCCTCATCGGAAGGAGTACTTACCCGTGGATACGTGTGCAAACTGTATGTCATTTCACATGACTTATGGCAGGATGCCGTGTTTCCCAACACGCTGTCGAAAGCATCAGTAGATGCAGATGTGAACGCAAGCAGGACGAAAAGTCCTAACACACAAACAAAGGAGGAGAGAGTCCCCATTTTGTCTGCGAAAACCTAAACAAACAACACGCTCTTCTTCCTCCTCCCTAATCGGCCTGTTATATCACGGGAACTCTGCCTCACGCGAGACTTCCTGAATGTTTTGCTGTGTTTGAGTGTTCCTCGTAAACTGTTAAATCCTTCACATGATAGATAATTAAACAACAAATTGGGTGAGAATCAGCATGTTTTTATTTTATGAACCAACAATGTTTTATTGTCATGAATTTCAGGAGATACCTAGATAATTAAAAAAGGAATTCAAATTAAGAGTTAATGTTACACAGAGAATAAGAAACACTGAATATTGAAGCTTGTTGTAGTTTATTAATATTACAATTTTCTTTCTGAATTCATTCTTATCATTTGTATGTATTGCACAATACTTTCCGCAGAAATGTACTTTCCATCTTGTTGGTTCGGGTTCAACAAGCATACTGGTATTCTGGTAATTTCTCCAGCACCTGAAGGCAACATCGGTCGCTACTGTTTACTAGCAATTCAGCTGCAGCTAGCAATACTAACCAAACTGATTTGTCACAGTTGAGGTTATGAAGGAAACTTGTAATTAGTGTAGTATGAAGGAATGACTTGAATCAAGCTGACAATGGCTTCAATTCACTGAATTTCAAAAGGAGATTAGAGTTAGCTGGGCAACATTATATACCTAAGTGCTAACAGCAGTCCTTATCAGTTTGCCTGTCTTAATCTAATAGGTATCTTGCTACTTTGTTTTTGAAGATGGACAAGTTTGTAGTACGACTTCCCAAGGGGGAAACACCTACAAAATCCAAAAGCAACGGAAAGGTTTACAAACAAACTACAATTGAATCTTTACGGGTGAGATATGAGTCCGACATGTGATGATCAGGCAAAGTCAGTGTTACTTTGTGACATACTTACTCTGGTCATTCATTGCCCTTGTGTTTTGCTGACAGAGGGTGGTTGTGATTGAGGATATCATGCGCTACAAGTCCATGTTGGAGCTGCCAGAACAGAGCAAGGACAACCTGCTGTCTGCCCTCACAGAGCTCGGCAAGAAGATCCCATCCAGAGAGGTGCTCAAGTCCACTAAAATAGGTAAATTAAGGAAACTCCAACAAGTTATTTTACAATTTGCTGGTTGCTGTGCTGATATGGAAAGTATAAACATGTATTATACATCTTAAGCATGTACAGTACTGAGCACTGACTGTATAACAACCACCTTATTTCAAACTAATGTAATGAATATCTCAAAGATTGACATAGCCTACTGCATAGTTACAACAAGTGCTGAGCAATATATCAATAATACATAAATATCATGAGACTTGATATCTTCTTACATTTTGGATATTGTAGTATTGCTTAAGTGTCTTTTCCTGGTTTTAAAGGCTGCTTACAGTAAATGGATATTATTTTCTGAACTTAACCAGACTGTACTAGCCCTTCAATAATTTACCACAAATTAGATTGTTTAAAGGGGACCTATCATGCAAAATGCACTTGTGTACGTCTTTTATACATGAATATGTGTCCCCGGTGTTCCAGGGAACTCACCAAGTGTCAGAAAACACAACCCTCTCTATTTTCCTCCATACCCAAATCTCTAAAAAAGGGGCTGCGTCGGATCTGATAAAAACTGATCCAGATTTGAACACTGTCCTGACGTCAGGACGGTGGCGCTACGGCTATTGGGCCAACTCCACCAATCAGGAGGAGACAGCCACGGCCATTGCCGTTCGAAAGCGCTGGAGACGCTGTAGTACATATGCCAGGCCTGTAAGTGGCGCTGTAGTCTGCCACAAAAGCAGTGAAGAAGACTTGGTTACCATGGTTACCCTTCTGTTTATTCTCTGCTGTGGCTTTCTTTCTCCCTCCCCGAGGCAAGCGTTTGCTCCCGCTGCAATGCAATCCCTCCCCGTCGAGGCAAGCACTGTAATTATCTCCGGTTAGTCCACCAGCAGATGACAAACACCCACCTCTCCGCCTCTTCCAAGGAACGAGGGGACCGTGCGGCAGAGTTTCAGTTTCAGTTTGTTTCGCCGGTCAAGATGTCCGTTAAAGTTTAAATCTTCCGGACAAAATTAGAAAAGTGCCGGTCAAAGGTCTTCTTTGTTATTTATTGAGCTTTAAAACAAATGAATAACGACTCTATATAATAAACACGGAGGACGGAGATCTCTTTTTCTCCCCCTCTTCTGACAGCCCAGCAGCTGATCAGAGCACGTCTCCCCTCTCCTGCAGGGGGGCGTGGTCAGCAGAATCAGACCCGTAGACAGCAAACAGCACATAGAGCGAAATGAGGCATGGCTAAAATGCATGATCTGTTTGGTATTTTGAAAACAGAAACGTATAAATATACCTTATATAGGTATGGCCCTACAATATATCATTTAAATATAGCATGATAGGTTTCCTTTAAATATTTGGTGAAAGCTTCAATAGTTTACCCTGCAATTGTGTTGTAAAACATGGTGATATTTTTTCCATATCGCACAGCCCTAGGTTCAAGTCCTGAGTTGGAGTTGACTGCATTGTTACATCAGCACTAATACCTGCCAGGCCCTGAATCAGATTCACATTGTTTATTTCAACACATTATGAAAACCTCTCTCTCTTCTAAGGTCACACTGTCAACCAAATGCGCAAGCATCTGGACCCTGAAGTTAGTTCATTGGCAGCAAAGGTTTACACTGACTGGAGGACATTCATTGAGGAGAATTCCAATAAGCCGTCAATTGAAGTGCGCTCCGACAAACAATCTGAAGGACTCCGGAGCAACGCCAGAAGACTAATGTCTGAGGCCCTGGAGGTCAAGGTGAGAAGGAGCGTCTCAGTGAAGTCTAATGTGATGCCTACTACTTATTCTGTACCTCGCATCTAATTTACATTTGACATTACACCGGTTGCGGTAGTCTGGTAATATAAATTGATGACTAATGTATAATACATTCTACAAGTACAATTTTGATTGGAAAAAACCTCTTTCTCACCATGTTACTCTTTATACAAATACACAAACATACAGTTTGATTCAAGACCATTGACATGTTTTTGTATGCCTGTTTTTTAATGTATTCTGGTTCTTTTTATTTTCTTATCTGGCCTACAGGAGGATTCGGGTCTAATAGACAACATTGAGAGAGAAGTGTTTCACCTGAGCTCCCGGTTAGTCAGCGGTTCATACAGACGGACCATTAGAGCGCTGGTGTTTGCCTTCAAACACAACCCAGAAATCAGAACTCAAGTGAAGGACAACACAATGTCAGTCAACCAGCTGGTTTCCAAATACAAAAAATAACTGGTGTAAAGACCTCTGGATGGTTTTACTTGAACATTGCCAATCTTTTTGATGCATTTGATTTTTTTATCTTTTTATTATTTTCTGTAAAGGAGATACAAAATATGTTTACACTTTGTGGCACATCAGCAACCTTACACTGTTTCATAACTGAATGTAAAACACAGTCAAGAATAATTTATTGTTGATGGTGATGATAATGCCGTCTTTTATCTGGAATCATAGACGTTTTTTGTAAATTATGTGTTTTTATACTATTGGTGAAATTTTTTTTATAAAAAAAAATATGATTGAAAATATGCCAACTTAAGCATTTGAGTCCTCTTTTGTCATATAAGATCATTAACATATATTACTAAAGCAGCACCAGCCAAATTATAGCAATCACCATGAGAATAACAGCCAGAACACAGATGCTAATAAAGACAATATCACTCAGGTCATGAGGCACAGCTTCTGGACCCCCTGGAGCTTCAGGACTTTTTTTGTCAGTTTGCTTGGCCTGCTCCTCCAGACGACGCTCCTCCGCTGAAATGATGGAGACTGACGCTATCTTCCTCAGGGCGTCGCACTGCACTCTATATTCCTGCACATTCTGCTGTTTCCCATCAGAGAAATCGATGTAGAGTTTGTTCACCAGCACGGTGATGTTCCGAATTTTCTGGAAGGGATCATGAGTTACAGTATTAGAAAAAAGCAAGACATACAAAACATCTCTTTTACAGCTAAAGTATGGTTAATATTTTGCTAATTTGATGCATCTGAAAGTGACAGGATACGGGATAGTCACCTGTCCAGCAGTTCCACAGTTGACAAACTGAGCAAGTATCTTATATGAGGTGGCTGTGAGCTGGGCTGTACAGGAGGGGTCTCCCAGGTAGATGCTCTCTCTGTCCAGCTGAGGTAAGGACTGCTGTGGTATCAGTATGGTAAATTCTGATCTTGTGCAGCTAATGTTTACAGGAACCACTTGGATTAAGGGGTAAAAAGAACATAGTTGTAACTTTTTTAAACAACATGGAAAACATTTTTGCATATTAGAGTCTAGCCAAGAGTATTTTTAGCGGAGATTTAGACAGTAGCAGTAGGGGGTGCACCCTTAGTAGAAGTAACACAGATACAAATAAGAAGTTTTTCCTTCTGAAATGAATCAAATGCTTTGGTAGGGAACATTTACCTCCAAGATAAGAAGCAGTAAACCCTCTGTGAGCCTCATTTCTGTCTGTGTTGAGGACCACCAGCAACTTGTTTCCTTTGGAGACGAGAAAGGGGGTGTGATCTCTGCCACACCAGCGCCCCAGCAGGGGGTCCGTCTGACTTTCCCCGTCATAAACTGCCACAGAGTCGTAGTCGCACTCGTCTGACAGACTGTTGCGGTCTTCCAAGTCCATGACAGGGAAGAAGAGTTTGATGCGGTACCCAGCCGCTAGAGTGATGCTCCAGTGGCAGTTGATGTTGTTTGGGTAGATGTTTGGGAAGTGCGGGCTGCTGAAGTTTCCGTTTACATCTGACAGGATCTGCTGGCACTCATCTGTTAAGTACAGTTGATCAGATAAGTTAGTCAACACTATTTATAACACATTACTCACATTACTTTTCTAAGGATGCTGCTTCCAATGTTTGATTCAAGTGAGTACCACAAAAGTAAAAGTTCATGTTTGTAAAAGTATCTCTCTTTTCATGCGTCATAGATACGGGAGTCATTGAAAGTGTTACCAAATAAGAAGTATCTATATGTCCTAAACTGTCTAACAGTTCATTCACTGGTGTGGTCATCAGAATTCAAAATAGATTCAAAATAATGTGAAAAGCATTATTTTGTGACAAATTAAATAAGTGAGGATTAATGATACAGTCAAATCTGTCTCAATCCTTTTGCAACTGTGTTGAAGGATTTTCATCCTCTTGCAAATTGGTTTATGCTCGACAAGGTCAGACGGGGACATTCTGTGATCAGCTGTCTAAAAAGTTATTATGCAGTGTTTGAATTGGATTTAATTCTGGGCTTTGGCTCGAACACTCAAGGAATTTTACTGTGTGGAATCTTTTTCTTCTTGCTGGACGGTGATGACCGATTTGCATTGCTGCAGTGGTATTCAATTTTCATTCATCAGACGTCAACATCTTTAGAGCTATTTTGTAGGTCATTTTTGTCTTGTTTCAAATGTTCAGTGTGATGTAATATTTTTTTTCCTTATTTTTTTTATTTCATGGTAGATTTTCTCTTCTGAATTAGATTTGATTGAATAACAGCTGCTTTATGATAACCTGAAAGTCTCATATTGAAGTATTTCACCTTGTCCTTTGTTACATTTCCAATTCCTGTTGTTATTCAAAAAGCATAAAGGGGCAATAAAAATACTCAAAGGAATTTAAATTGCATTCTGTTACTTCTTTTCAAGTACAACCTATTACATTAAACTTTCCTACCTGAGTAATAGTAGGCCTTGAACCCACGCCCACCAATGTTGAAGTCAGACTTGAAGAGCACCAGAAGATGATTGGAGGTGGTGACAATGATAGGAGGTGTATCTGCCCCGCAGTATTTGCCCAGGTGGTGATGGGTGACTGTCGGGCCATCAAACAAGGCGACAAAGTCAAAATTACACCCCTCGTTGTTTTCCAGCTGGAAGTCCAAGAAGACCAAGGTGACCACGCTGGTGTTGGACACGTGGATGGCCCAGGAGCAGTCAGCATTGTTGCTGTACTCCAGAGGGTAGCCTGGACTGGAGATCACACCTGAAAGACCTGTGAGGACTCCACCACACACATCTATAGAGAAAAGAAGGCAAACTCAGATGCATCTTGCACTTATGATGTGAATGGGAACAATAACCTTTCATGTAGTGTTGTGCCAAGTCTAATTTCCAATGAACGACAATCCCTATAGCCTATAGTTAAGGGTTCATTATCAAAGGTTAGTATGATAACACACTCAACGCAGATGATGACATTGTAACTAAACATAAAAATGCATGCAACTTCCATTATTATTGTGAGCATGATAGCATGCTGATGTTGACATTTAGCTCAAAGCACCACTGTGCTTACAGCCTGACAGAGACATAAGGATGTCTTAAGAGTTTTTTCTATATAATGATTTTGTGAGATCTAAATTATTCTAAGGTTAAGAAGTTTTAGCTTAAAGCCATGGATTTGATCATAGCTAGAAAAAAATTAACTCCCTGTCACATTGCATCAAAGATAATGAGTTACCTTTTCTGTAGCCAACACTGAAGCCCCTGTAGGCCACATGGCGGTCTGAATGGAAGATAATGGACATGACATTCCAAGAAGATGTGAACTGAGGAGGGGAGATGTCACCACAAAATGTCCCAAGGAGGTTCCCTTCATCCTCGGATATGCCATTGTAGATCTTGATGTAGTCATAAGCACAGTTGGCATGGTACTCCAGCTCAAAGTGGTGAAAGGTGAGGAGGACGGAGGAGCCCTCGGCCACAACAATGAGCCAGGAACAGTCGATGTTGTAGGGATACAGGCCAGGGAAGTTTGGACTAGAGATATTACCAGACGGAGCAGAGAGGATTCCTCCACATTTGACACCTTATAATTACAAAACTCAAGTTTAATTTCTTGTCAAAAGGAAAATATACTTTGTAGCTCTTTCCTTGCTCAATTATTTATTTGACACTTTTTCTCCAGCAACCTGATACAACCTCTGAAAGTAGTATTACAACCTGACATTGAACAATTGAGGCCCAACTTTCTCTGTATATACAGTACCTGCAAGACAAAGCACTTTCATCAAATGTAAGCTTTGCAAGATAACAAATAGCAACTCACCTTTTTTAGAATCAGCCTTGTCAACAAGCAGTAATAAATGAATCAGTATAGCCACCCTGAGACTCATGTTGTTATTGTTGATTCTGCTTTTGTCACGCCTTAGCTACAACAACAGCAAAGACAAACAACAGCAGTGTCAGAGCACACAGCCTTGAGACATCAGCAGCGGTGCCTGTAGAGGTAATAGGACTTTGAAAAATTCATCCACAGCCTGAATGAGAAACCCGATACCAACGTAGCCCACGCTTTGGCCTCTTTGCTAAATTTTAATGACTGATACCCAATGAGCATGAGTGGCTTGTCAGGACAGTGCTTGGAGAGTTGCTATACATTTTTAATGATAGTCTCTCTCTCTCACACACACACTGAACACCAGCTGCAAGTGGAGTTGATAAAAGAGACAGGAAGAAAGAGAGGCGAATAATCACATTTGTCACTTATATAAATGGCTTCATTAGAGCAATGTGAGAGGAGCCCAGAACTATTGATGTCTTGGAGTAAGGGGCACTGCGTAGACTTTTATTTTCTTGTGTAAAAGCAGCTCACGCACAACACACAGACTCCAACATCTCTCCTTTGAATGGGTATGTAAGTCTATTAAGAAATGCACAGGTGTGTTAGATGGTTTCAGAGTAAAAATAAAATGATAAGTATCTCACTTTCTCCAATGCGATGTTACTATTCGAATAGCTACATCGGGGTGTTAAGCACAGTCAGTAAAGTGTACACTATTGAGCATGAAAGCTAGTAATCCACAAAAATATATTCATATTTGCCCTAGAAGAAGACTGTGAGATGCAGCTGAAAGTGTGAGATCAGAATCAGAATCAGAATCAGAAACAGGTTTATTGCCAGGTAGGTTCACACATACTAGGAATTTGACTTGATGTCATGGTGCATACATAAAATATAAAAAACAAGAAATCTAATATAAAACACAAAATCTTTTTTACACCGTAATAAAATACAGTTAAATAGCAAGAGATAGAGATAGTAGGGGGCCCACAAAAAATGTAACAACCTAAAACCCTTCACAGGAATAGTTTCACTTTCTTTTCGAAAGTTAAATAAGAAGATATCATACCACTCACCATTGAATATGAAGCAGCTAGGAAATGGTTAGCTTAGCTTAGCACAAAGACTGGAAATGGGCCAAATTGTTAGCCTATACAGCTCCTGAGTTAGACCCACAACCCCACCCCTCTCAGTAGCACCTCTTAAGAAATGAACATGTATTATGTAATTTGTTTGATTTGGGTTGGGGGTGTCGGTGTATGAGGTAATCTATTTCTTGGCAGGAGCAGTGACATGCGGGAGCCAAGCCAACTGTCTCCTGGCTGAAGCTTCATATTTAACTGACAGATTGGTATCGACCTTCTCAGCTAATTCTCCAACAATATACCCCGCTGTTCCTTTATGTTTAAGTTATTCTCTAATATGCAATTACAAGTAGTCATTCCGCATTTAAATTTGACTAAAGTAAAAGTCCTCGAGCATTTGCACTTTAATTGAATCAAAAATGAAAGTACCTGCTGTGAGGAATGGTTCATGTCTCTGTTGTTTATGTTACCGCTGAGGCTCACACCAGCAGCTTGTATTTGAGTGGGAGAAAAATACATCCTTCATTGTGTACCATCTAACATTTTAATGGTGCATCATACTGTGTATTTAAATAGCCCATAAAAAATGTCTCTGTGAAAAACCTAATTACAGCTGTCCAATACATGTTGTTAAGAAAAAAGTAGAGTTATAACGAAAAGTTTAGTGAAATTATAACTGAGATGGCAGAAGTCTTAACATTTTTGATAGATGCAAGCTTTTTAATGAAAATTCTGTTTACACTCCACACACTAAATGCTGCAATGTCTCTCAGAGGGAGATTTTGTTGTATTTGCCAAATGCCAATCATATCCCCTGACTCATTCCTCCTGGCAGTCTTATAACTGAACAATACAGACAAGCAACAATAATCCTGACTCAATGGAGTGTATAACAGACAGGGAGATAAAGTACTCTTAGCAAAAACCTATTCTGCAAATAAATGTTTGCTATTCCAGCAGTGCTGTGAAGGCCGGGCTTTTAGAGGGAATATCTAATGGTTTCAGTGAGCAAAGATAATACCTGCAGAGACCTTCTAGATGGTGCTGTTGCACTATAAAAACTGAAGAGAAAATCACCAGCTTTTAAAAAGTCATACCGAGCTCTAAGCTGAAATAACTAAGAATGTGATTAAAATCAGTCAAGTGTTTTTCACACAGCGGTTCCTGGAACTAAAATGAACAGCCTTGCCTTTGAATTTTAATTCTGTCCTCCCTGAAAGCTTGTCATTGTTCAAGGATGTGAGCACTGGGCAGTGCTGAAATGTGTTTCTGAAAGATATCGTTTGTTTAGAGCAATTAAATCACCTATTAGCAAGTAAATACTCAATAAACAAATAAGGCTGAAACTATTAGAAAATTCCAGCAGATTAAAGAGGGGAACGTCAGTCAAACAAATAGCAGCCTATTGACCTGGAGCTTAATTGAATAATTGTGGTACAAATATACATGAAATTAGCATTTTGTTATATATATTCAGCAGTATAACAAAATCCATTATTAATATACTGAATCATATGTGGAAGGGATTTTCTTGTTGGCAGGGGTGCACATTTCTATATTTGTAGGTGTGTGTGTCTGTGTGTGTCTGAGTTAATGTTGTTGGGCAGGGGGCATTTGACAGCTATGGCATCTGGCATCTTTGGATCCAAACAACAAGAGCGCAATTGATGCAAATATTTTGTACACAAGAAATTAATGAAACGTACTCTGTTTACAAAACACACTTTTCCACATCAAGAGAGATTATGTACGATTCTGTTACAGCTATACAGGGACTGTTGGTAACTGCTCACTCTGATGAATGCTCTCTAAAGCTCTTGACAGTCCGGGGGAAATTAAATGAATATATAAGCATATGTCACAAGACGATAAAAAGTTAATGTTTCTGACACAGCCTGCAGCTTGGCAGCACATCTCCATGCCACCTCCAAGTGTACTATGGTGTGTCTTAGTAAGCATGATTTGTCTTTTAATATTTTTTAATGCATGGTGTGTTTTATAAAGACAGAGCCTAAGGAAAAACCTGAATGAGTTAATGCTGCATGATTTTTAGATGTACACAACAACACATTGTTTCATGAATTGTTGACTCCTATATCAGCAGTTTTTTGAAAGCACATAATACAAAAAACGTCGTTTCTAACAGTGGGTTTACCTAATGACAGAGTTTTCAGCATCACAATAATAGTCCTACAGCACTTGTGGCACTTTTTATGCAGGACTGGACCAGCCAAACTGAATGAATACAGAGGGAACATTGCTACAACCTTGTACCTTGTATTCCCAGCTGGTGCTCACTTTCAGACAGAAATGTTTTTTGACACAGTAATCTTTTAACATTTTCTCCGAGCCACTTTGTTACATTTCCACCCTCTCTCTCTCTACCAAGGACAATATTGATATGTCATTGCACTTCGAATTTAGGGAGCTTTCAGATTGGATTATGGACCATAATGAGCTAAGCCTCCCTCTATGGTTATGAGGGCAATGAAAAACCATTAGAGGCTAAGCTACACAAAGGAGAAAGAATCATCTTCCCTTGACAACTTCTTCTATACCTTCACGATACTTCAAGAAATTATCGTGAATTAATCTAATACATACAATACTATAAATATACAATATGTAGGACATTATCAGATACATCAGCAGTATCACTGATTCCATCACTAAATACTATTTTATATTTACATTTGAATATAAAACAAATATAAGAGCCCAGAATTGTGAGAAGTGGTACTAAATAAAATGCCGTTTGGGACATCTAAAGCTTACAATTCTTATGTAATGTGTTACATTTAGATTGGTATATTAGTATTCATTTATTTTGAATGCTAAGGCAAGCCAATTGTCTCCTGGAGGAGCTTCATATTAATAGACACAGTGGTATTGAACTTGTTTTCTAATTCTTAAGCAATGTATCTCCTGCTGTTCCTTTAGGTATCAACAACACTTTAATATTGTATAATAAGTAGTCATCTTGCATTTAAATTTGACTCAAGTAAATGTGTTTAAAACATTTGCATTTTAATTAAATCAAAAATAAATGTACCTGCTGTGAGGAATGTTTCCTTTCTCTGTTGTTTATGAGACTCACACAAGCATATATTGTATTTGAGTAGGAGGAAATTACACCATACACCCTGATCTGTCGCTATTTTCACGGTGCATATAATTTGTGTACCAAATTATGTGTTTCATCAATATGAACACATTTTAATACATTACACAAATAATGTAAAATGCTGGTATTGTGGAAAGGATAAGGTTTAGTAGGCAATAATTACACTGAATACTTTTAAGGATTCTATTATATTTGCACCAATCATAGGTCAAAACTTTGTAAAAATGGCTGAAAAAAAACAAACAATATGTGGTAGGCCTACTAAATAAAGAACCGTTTGGGAGCCAAATGTGACTGTTTAGTATTTTGTAAGTTGATCCTAAAGATCTGGCTCTTTAAAAAAGTTTTCCCATCATCTTCAAACACCTGAGGTTGGCTGCTACACTCATGTGACATAGCTTCTAGCTACCTTCTACACAAGTTACATGGAACGCACCTTTTGCAGCGTGGCGGTCATTTTACATGGATGTATAAGAAATATCTTCATTCAGTATCTTCATTAAAAGAAGGAATAACAACAATGTATCAAATTACATTGTTAAAACAGTGTGACAATTTAAAAGTGGTCGCCCGGCCTTAACCTGGAGATAATTATCACGCGAATCCGCAGCTCCTTGACACAAGATGCGTTCAAGTACATCACCTGCGAAATGTCAGTGCAAGGCACACAAAATAGTAACCCGCGCAAAATAGTTAAGTAGCTTTGAAGCAAAGACAAATATCACAGAGATATAATGAGTGAGTTTCATATTGTTTTGTGCGTTATCTGTCCGTAAGGTTACTGTTTTGGTTCACAGATAGTGTCGTTATCGCCAACAGGAAGCTGTTTTCACCTACAGTAGAACACTTATCTGCACCAAAGACAAAGTTAGCAACTAATGTTAGCTAGAAGCTTGTGAACACAGTGTAGCATTTAGCAGCTAAACAAAGCCAGATTGCCACCAAGAGTTGGAAAAGGCCAAAGACAGTGCTAAAGGAGAGTGAAAACAAGACTTCCATTTTTTCAGGTAAGTTAGACTACATAATGCATCTTAATGAATGTTTCTCTTGAACTGCTGGGTGTGTAATTAAGTTACTCTTTTAAAAAAATGTAAGCCATATTCACTTTTAAAAAGATGTGTGACATCTCTATTTCACATTTTCCCCAAACGAAATAGTGTGTTTGTCACTTGTTTTTGCTAACTCTGCTCCTCATAGCCCATATAATCTTATTATTAGGTAGCTTGCTAACTATCCCTTAATGTCATTTACAGGATGCCTTTGTAAAATGTCATCCGTGGTCCTCCTATCAGTGCAATTTTCTGGTCTTGGACGTGGCACGTCGATGTTGACTCTTCCCAAACGAATACCAAGCTAAGTGCTGCATACTTGAGCAAACTAATGCAGCTTGAGCTCAAGTCTTGTCTCTGTGTTTGTCCAAACGCTATGCTGCTGCAATCTGTGTGCAATTGTGTAGACTTTTCCTCTACAGTAGCTGAGCATGGTTGTGGTTCTTTATGTATGGCATATTCTATTTTAAATAATTCATGCTGTTGTTGTATGAGTGATGATGATGCATCATTGTGCACCTTAGTTCATAATAGCGGTGAAGACTGTGTTGCTGTAGGGATGTAAACATGATTGTTGCATTGCACACAGCCTCTTCACATAATTGTTCCCATTTACAGTTGGACATGCTGCCTATCAATGTAACAAAACCTTTCATAGAATAAATGGTCTCCTCCCATCTATACCTTTGTGTGATTTCAACGCTCAAGATAATAGTTCTGCTGCATAGCTGAATTGTTTGGTGTTCATACTGAAAACAGCATGTTGCTGCAGGTGGCTGTAAAATTCTGAAATATCATCCAGGAAGGTTGGTCTGAGTAATTGATTGTGAGTTTGAGCACTTACGAGACACCAAAACACTGCACAACAGTTTATAGCACTACGAGGAAAGATTTTACAACTCTGAAAATCATCAGGATGGCAATTGTTTTATCCCTTCTGTTGCACTTGGAAGGTAAACAATATACCATTTGAGATTTCAAAGTGATTTACTTTTTTAATTTAATTAAGAATGTTTATTGTATTGATTTAATTTTCTTACACATTGTGTTGCCAGATAGCAGGTTCAACGGGTTTTCCATGCAGCACTATGTGTTTTTGTTTTTCTGCTGTAGCACTCTGTTGGCCCTTTGCTGTATCAAAGCATTGCTGTCATTGAAATAAATGATAATGTTGGATTTCCGCGCTGTGCTAACATGAAGGCCATGATGGCAATACAATGGATTGATACGTTTAGAAAGGTTGCTGCCATTCTTTCAGCTTGTTTCCTATGAAGGCTGTTTACTTCAAACCACATCTCCAGATATGGTAAATTGTTCATTGGCTTTGAACAGCATTGTTTTCTGTACACACTTGATCACATTCATTCCCAGTTCTATTGGCTACATTGTAAACTCAACATGGCTTTTGTCATAGAGTAGGTAGTCATTTACATATCCTTAACATGTTTTATATTGAGCAAAGCTTTGGCAAAATACTGTAATTTAACTCAAAGCAATAGGTTTGTACAACGGGTAAAAAACAATCCAAACACAATCCTTTTAATAGCTGGCTTTGGGTTCAGTATGTAATTAATTTTTTGATTGAGAAGTTTATCATCATCACTTACCAAATCTCCTCTATGGTGTATTTTTGTGGGGAGCGTCTGGTTTATCACTGCAACTAGACTGTGGGGAAATCTAAATTCAAATTGATTGACTAGACTTTTGATGCACAGACACTAGACAAGTTTCTAGTATTTGCTGATGCTGTTTGTTTACATAAATGCATTCAATATTAATCAGTTCAGCTTTGCTAATTGTGCAAATTATCTTTGGAGGCTCATTCCGAGATGTACTTTCATCTGTGACAAGTGAAGTGTTGGTTTATAATTAAAATGTATATCGCAGCTTTTGACAGCAAATACACAAAAGTATAGCATCAATAGCTAAGCTCTGTAAATCAATTCCGACTGAGGCGTCTAGACGGCTGTATTGTTTTAGGCAAAAACTGACAGAATTTTAATTAATCACTTACGTGGTGATGCTGCAGTGTAAATACTTCACATAACAGGAAGTCTAAAGGGTGGGGGATAAACCCACTGGCACGTAAACAGAGCACAATTATGGCCCTTAGCAAGAGCACCTGATTAAGCTGTTTTGGTACCCTTTACTCACTGGGTACAAAATATCTGACTCTTAAATGCATCAGCGATATCCGAAGATTGCTCTTGCTATGATATGCATGAATATTCACCCAAGTAATTAAAGGAGTGCAATGATGAAGTGGTTGGGAACACAAACGGCTTAGCTTCTCAATTACAAATTTGAGTGCGGTGAATTGAAAATGTTAGACTTATTATGTCACTTGTGTCGCACATTTTGATCTTATGGAGTGAATCTAGTAACTGTCAGTTTAACATATTAAGACAGCCCTCTCAAAAAACGAAAGCAATAGTCGTTTTAACAGATGCCCAAAAACATGTATTAAGATACAAGTGACTACATCCTTTCTCAGCCGTAGGAGTTATGCGTCTTGTCTGTCAGGATTATAAGATGTATGTTTGTCTTTGTTATTGAGCAACAAAGTCTGTAGAAGGTAGGAGGGAATGTAGGGGTGGGATGGGACAACAAACGTTCTAAAACCAAATCATGGTATAACTTAAACTAGTCCTCTTTAATGTGTACTAAATCACAGTATCCTTGTGAGAAGCTGTTGCTCAGGGTCGAAGATATAATGCCTCTTTACAATGTCAAATAATAACCCATCT